TGTTAGATCAATAAAAAAATAAAAACGTGCCCAATTTCCATAGTTAATTTAAAAAATAGATCAAACTAATATATCAGAGAATCTGTACAGAACGCGATTGAAACCTTGCTTTCAAAGGGACAATTGTCACTGAATGTCGGATAATGGTACAACCCTACATGATAAAATTAATTTACAATAGAAAAATCCCCTGAAACAAATAAAAAAGAAAGAAATTAAGAAACCATTTTTTACAGTATAGTAAATTATCATCTTCTTCTCGGTAAATTAAATTTACTTTCCTTGTTGTTCTTGCAGACTAGGGTTTATTGTGGATTTTCTTTCGCATGCGACTATAGTAGGATTCATGGCAGGGGCAGCCACTGTAGTGATCTTGCAACAGCTTAAGGGAATTTTAGGACTTGATCACTTTACTCATTCTACCGACATTATCTCGGTCTTGCGCTCTGTCTTCACCCAAACTCATGAGGTCTTCTTTTTTTTTTTTTTTCACTACCCATATTCACTTTTTTTCTTTTTTTTTTAGATATTGGAATGGAAAATTAAAAAAATATGCATTAGTTATTGAATTAAATGTTCGGATTTAACATTATCCACTTATAAATCCTACATTGAGTATCTTAATTGAAAAAAAATGAAAGTAAAAATATTATTAATTTGTATACAGTATTTTTCTATATACGTCAACTAATAATATTATATACTACAGATAATGAAGAATCTAAGTAGCAAAATTTTGTTTCATCAAATTTTCTTTATATCTTCTATACTAGCTAGCTACTACCATGAAAAGTTTGCATGCTTTAGTTTTCTTTGGTCAATTTAATTGTCTGACAGCCCTAATATGTAATATTTGACAGTGGCGATGGGAGAGTGGTGTTTTGGGCGTCGGCTTCCTCTTCTTCCTCCTCATCACCAGATTCTTTGTAAGTACATCTAACCGACAATTAGATCTAATCTTTATTAATCATTATATATTAATTTATCATAATTAGCATGGTTAAATTAATAAGATAATTCAGATTATCGTTTTCCGCACCAATGATGTCAGGTGTCAAACTTTTAGTTTTCAGGAAGTAAAATAACTTCAAATAAGGAATGAACTTAATTTCCAAGAAAAGGGCTAAAATTTACATATAATTAAGCAAAAAAATTTTCTCTTATTGGGTTGTTGTGTATAATAATCTTTGTTTTGTAACTTTTTTTTCCCTTTTAAAACTCCTTAGTATAAGTATGCATCACGAGTCTCCATTTAGCTTCCAAATCTGCTTCCACTTCATATATTTGTGGCAAAAGAAAGTATAGAGTAAACATGCATGTTAAATATATATGACTCTACTTCAATCTTTATTGGCGTCCATTTCTTTGAATTTGACTTGTGAGTTTAGAGGGATGGTCTTTTGAGCTTTATTATATGGGAAGAGCATGTTCTTTAATTTCTTATTAATTACTTGCTAGAATTAATAATATAATATGTTTTAAGATAATCTAATAGTATGTATTTGACGACAAATAGAGCAAGAGACGACCCAAATTCTTTTGGATATCAGCAATGGCACCTTTGACATCAGTCGTCCTTGGAAGTCTCCTCGTTTATCTCACCCATGCCGAAAAACACGGAGTTCAAGTGGTATGCGCTTTGGTTTCTTCCTCTTTTTTTATTCATTAAAATATGACTGTTTTTCTTTAACTTCTGAACTTCAATCTACCTTAATAAAAAAACGACGTAGCTTTTGTAGATTAAAAAGGCCATTTATAGCTATACATATAAACAAATCATCTTTTGGTAAAGAATGTTGGTTTTGATTCAATTATTAGGGCACGATTTCATTTTTTTAATAAATCAAATCTGAAAAAACAGCTGTGATGATCTGTAGCAAAACAAGTTGGGTCATGTTAGGCCATGATCCATAGTAAATGTATTTTCGGCCTTTTAGATAAGTTTTGTCTTGGGCCAATCCGAATAATTGTTTAGTGTGCCCGGCCCCACCAATAATACCACTGCAGCCTGCTGCTCTATTGGATAGATCTCAATCCCAGCATGCCTCTTGCTAATAGGGGCGGTTGACCATCGATTGACTTAAATTCCTTTGTTTCTTGGCATTGGTTAAATGATATGATCAAAATATTTCTTATTATATACATATATTTATATGTGTGTGTCATGAAAGATGAAGAGTTCTGATTTGTTGCAAGTTTGGTGGTGGTGGTGGTGTGACATTGGCAGATAGGAAACCTGAAGAAAGGGTTGAATCCACTGTCTTTTGGGGATTTGATATTTACCTCGCGATATATGACAACGGCTGTGAAAACTGGAATGATCACGGGCATCATTGCTCTTGCTGTAAGCTGCCTTCTAACTTATCTCTAGCTCTACACATTTTTGGTTCCATGTGTGTCTTACCATTGCCAAAATCACCTCTTTTCAAAGGAAAAAGACAACAAGAAAGAAAATGTATCTTTTATTTGCTAAGGACAAATAAACAATAGCTTGGGCCATGGATTATCTATATTCTTTTTGCTTGCTTATGGGAAATGGCAAAATATAGACTGATTGAAGTTGTTGGTTGTTGTGAATACAGGAAGGAATAGCAGTGGGGAGAAGTTTTGCAATGTTTAAGCACTACCATATTGATGGGAACAAAGAAATGGTAGCTATTGGGTCCATGAATGTTATTGGTTCTTGCTTTTCTTGCTATCTCACAACAGGTAAATAATTACCCTTTCACTATTATTAAAATTTGAAGTTTTTGCTGCTGCTTTTGTAATTTGCTAATTGTGCCATTGCTGTTGATATATTTCAGGGCCATTTTCGCGATCAGCTGTTAACTTCAATGCGGGATGTAAAACAGCAATGTCGAATGTCATCATGGCCGTTGCAGTTATGTTAACATTGCTGTTCCTAACACCATTGTTCTATTACACTCCCCTCGTAGTGTTGTCTGCAATTATAATTGCTGCAATGCTTGGCCTCATTGATTATGAAGCTGCAATTTATCTATTCAAGGTCGATAAATTTGATTTTTTGGTGTGTATGGGTGCATATATTGGTGTCGTTTTTGCAAGCGTGGAGGTTGGCTTAGTCATAGCGGTATGATCATCATATATATCAGCCAAACACAGCTGAAATAAACTTAGTTTGTTCATCCATACACAAAATTCTCTAACCCCTTACCTAATTAATCATTTGTGTAAAATGCAGGTTGCAATTTCTGTGCTCAGAGTGCTGCTGTTTGTTGCGAGACCAAGGACCTTTGTTCTTGGAAACATTCCAAATTCCACCATCTATAGAAATGTTGAGCAATATCCAGCTGCAAAAAATGTTCCTGGGGTTCTTATACTTGAGATAGATGCTCCAATTTACTTCGCTAACTCAAGCTACTTAAGAGAAAGGTACCAGAATTGATTGCTTAATACTACCGTAAACAGTACCAAATCAATTTCAAAGTTATCAGACATTGTCAATGGATCAAAACAAACTGACGCTGATTGTTGAGATTGCTAATGTTATCAGGATCTCCAGGTGGATTGATGAAGAGGAAGACAAGCTGAAATCCACAGGCGAAACCAGCTTACAATATGTTATACTTGACATGAGTGGTGAGTGATTCAAAGAATTGCAGCATATTATTTCTAACATAAAAAATAAATTTACAGAATCTCACAAGGATTACATTTATGGTTCACAGCTGTTGGTAACATTGACACAAGTGGGATGAGCATGTTTGAAGAGGTCAAGAAAACTACTGACAGAAGGGGACTCAAGGTATTTCCTCCTACAATTACTTTGCATTGTGTAAAATGGTCAATATCTAACTCCAGGCACTGGCAAAAAGGTGACCGTATTCTAATTTATCTTTATGCTTTTGTAGCTTGTATTGGCCAACCCTGGAGCTGAAGTGATGAAGAAACTCAACAAATCCAAGTTCCTAGAAATCATAGGTCAAGAATGGATATATTTGACAGCAGGAGAAGCTGTTGAAGCCTGCAATTACAAGCTTCATACATGCAAACCAGAGTCCACCAAAGAAGAATCGCAGCCATGGAACAATGTTTAAGCTTAATATATTCTGATGCAGTAGAAACATAATTTTTTTTTATTTATAATTACAGGCCAAGTATGTATTAATACTCACTTGTGCATCTGAGAATCAAGATGCAAAGCATGTCAGGCATCGCTGAATCAACATGAAATGATTAAAATGCTTAAATTTAAAGCTGTAGCTCACATTTGAAAGTGTCATTTAAACTCACTAAACGCTTAACTTCGTTCATCAATTGACCGTCTCAAGTTTTCCAACTCAAGCCGTTAATGCTTTATTCCATTTTGCTTAGATTGGATTTGAAGCCACAGTTATTATCTTTCCTGGGGGAAAGCTTGGGCAACTAGTAAAATGGTAAGAGTGAAGAAAGTAGAGAGACCGTACAGTTTACTCTGCTTTCACTTGAGCTCGAATTTTTTTTCCTTGAGTTCCTCGAGTATCAAACATCTTCTGAAACTAGCCCTTGTTAACCTTAACTATTAACTGCAATCCTGCATTATCCAATTCCAAAAGAAAACAGTTGAAGAGTTCTGTTATTCTCCCACGCTTTCTGATGACTCCTGCCACGAAATAGGAAAACGAAGAAATCATCGATTGGTGGATTAGTTTCTGGCGCTAGAACTCCACAACCCCAGGTTCCAACTTTCTTCTTTTAAAAAGAAAATCTTTTACCCATTCCAATTTGAAGATAGCTTTAATTGTGTGTTTCATAGATAAATTGCTGCCCACCTTTTAGCATTGTTAATTATCGGGTTGAAGCTGAATTGAGTTTCATATTTTCAGTTGAATAATCGCATTACTTTTCCATTTCTTTGAAGCAGACCTGAAATGTAGGAATTGATTTTGAGCAATAAGGAAAAATTTTTCTTTTTCTGGGTATTTTATTTGTTCGCATTACAGTGAGAAAAAAGAATTTCTTTTTTTTTTTATTATTTGATCTCATTGGAAGTGAGTCCCAACTGGCAGGTCTTTCAATAGCATCAAATGAGGAAGAAGGGTTCAAGTATTTCTTCATGGCTGCGAGGAAGACTTTTGATTAAATTTTTTCCCTTGTGAGAGAAGACCCTGCGTCAAGGCCACCATCAGGGCTTATCAACATTGAGGGAAGGCTTCTCAGTGTTGAGAAACAAGTTGCAATTGCCCTAAGAAAAATACAACAAACCTAAATGAATGGAGGATGTGAAGATTTCATATGGAATGAGACTCTCCATTCAGTTTGGGAATTCAATTGCGGGTGTTCTATAATTGTCTTGTGTCCTCCTCCAAAACCCAGCTGCCTACTTACCATCTTTTGATCACAGCAAATGTAGCAACTTGGCCACAGTTCTGAGCATTGTATATCCAAAATTTCCCTGCAAACGAGCTGAGAGTGAAAAATCTTAAGCCGCTCCCAATGCAATATGCAAAAGATTAACAAATTGGAAAACAACATTTATTGACCTCGAAGAAAATAATTTCCGTTGAAATCCAGATTTATGCCAAGGTAAACGTATAAAGAAGGAAACTTTTAGGAGGGAACTTTTAGGCTATAAAAGTGCAGCTTCTTTGGATTAGATGGTGCCTGAAATATACAGCAGGATCTATAAACTAAAAAGAAAGCCTCTATAAGAAAATAAATATGTGAAACACAAAACTAGGAAGGCAGATTTATGGACAATGCAGCTAAAGTCTCATTACTAGTAAACTACACTGATTATGTGCCGGTGATAAGTAATTGCCTCAATCTCCTTTAGTTGGGGGTTGCACGCATGAGCAAAAGGGCGCTTTCTTCCTCTTCTGTTGGCTGGTTCTTACCCCACCATAAAGATAGTCCCGCAATAAAACTCTAGTTTTACGTTCCATGATTCTGGTCCGTCCTTTGCTTTCCTTTTCGTCATCAAGCTTCAGTAATAGAAACTGTATTTTCTGCACCTCCAACTGCAACCGCCCAATCTTTTCAGACCCTCTTCGAGCTTGTTCTGATACTCTCCGCCTCCTAACACTCCCACTCTCATCTGATTCTAAGGCTGATTTCCCATCAAGAGACCAGGAAACGTCTTCAACATGTGTCATCAATTTGCGATTCACATCAAATAGTTTCAGGATGGTTTCCTCAGCTTCTTCTAGTTGCTCTTTCACTGTACCATATTCAATACCTTTCCCCTTCTTGCTCGTCTCAGTTATCTCCACCTTCCTCATCAAATCCTGCACAGTTATTTGAAGGTTTGCCAACTTTTGTGCATCAGAATCAAGTCTTTCTAAAATTTTCCTCTTGCTTCCTTCTTGGTTGGGTTCTGTAGATCCCTTAGAGCACTCATTATCTACACCCAACTCCTTCACAAGAGATTCTGTAGAGAGATTTTTGCCCTTGTGTGCCTTCACTGTTCCAATCTGTTGGTAGTCAGTTGGTGCAGTGACCATCTTCTGGGCCTTGCTGACTTTCAAGTCGATGTTACCATCATGTTCGGTGGCCTCCCACAACTCAAGCATCTGATCATCAACCTCTGCAGTTTCTCTCCTGCTTAACCCATAGGATGAGCACTCAGATATCTGATCAAGCATAATGTCTTTTGTCATCATCTCATTGTCCTCTTCAGAGATTTCAGGTGTTGGTCTCTGCATTTTGACATTGTTACTGAGCCCATGGCCAAGTTCCCCCCCTTCTTTTCTAGCATTCACGCGCCTTTTTGCTCTAACACTTTCTCGACGTGAGTTGCTTCCAAATCTTAACTCTTCAATCTGTCTCATAGCAGTCTCTAGTTTGGAATTGAGATTTAAGTTTTCCAGCGTTGCAAGCTTTTCCATTTCCAGCACTGCCTTTTCAATAGCTTTAATTCTCATATGGATACCCTTCAAGTCAGAAAAACCATCTGGAACTGAGGCAATTCGATCTTCACTTGTTTGTTGATGGTTTTCAGCAGACAATTCAGTCCCCAGATTAACATCCTGGAAAAAAAGGTAACTGTAAGTCAAAGAATCACAGCTGATAACCATCCAAGATCCATAAAGATAATTTACTGACAAGGTCCTGTTTATATCCAACCTATTAAGATCCAAACAGAACTAGCTTATACTTGACAAAGTTCTGGCATGCTTTTAGTATTGCAAAACATCTTGGTAATACTATATGCAATATCTAGGCGTTGCAGAAGTAAAACAAAACCAGAAACCACATATTCCATTATCACAGAGATCAGAAAACAAGTAGCTGAAAAGCACATGAAATTTACTATAGGGTAACAGGCTAAAAGCTAATATGGCCCCTAAAAGCTCATAGAAGTAACAGTGCCAAACATTAATTGAACAAAAATACTAAATAACTTTCTCATCGGAAACAAGAAGTTTCGAAAAAGATCGTGCTAGTAAATGTATACAGATGCAAACTCGGAGAACTAGGGACATAAATTTGCAGACAAAAATTAGAAAGTGAATTAAAATACAACTGAATTTAAAAGAATGGGAAGCAACAACATCAATGCTTGTGTATATAAACCAAAAATGCAGACATAAAGTCAGAAGCAAACCAACAGACATTACCTTTACTTCTTCATTGTAATCTGTGGGATGTTTAGAATGCAAGAGAGTTCGACTCTCCAAAGATGTTACACTGTCCATGAGAGAAATGACGGCTGGAACATATGCTGCCAACTGAGCTTTAAGTCCTCCATTCTCATGTTCCAAGATTCTAACACTTCTTTCCAGCTCTTCTACCTCCATAGCTTTGGAATTACTTCTACTTTCAAGGACTTCACATTCCTTACTGAGCTCATGAGCCTTCTGTTCAAGCAATGCTTCACGGATAGCAGAAATCTGTAGCTCACCAAATAATGCAGCAGCCTGCGTTTCCCAAAGTTCAACCTCATTTCTTCCCTTTTGTAGTTCAACACTCAAACTCTCCTCCTTATGCTTCCTTTCTTCAAGTTCCTCATTCAGTTTCGTAAATTCAACCTCAAATTTCTGATTAGCCTGACGAATGCTTTCAGTCTCCTTCCTTTGATTATCATAGTCTCCAGATAGTTTCAGTATTTGCTTCCTTTGATCTTCTCCTATCAGCTTGACCTCCTCATATTTAGTCTTCAGATCCTCCAAAACTTTATGCAATTGGGCTCTATCCTCTTGACTTGCACTGAGCATTTGTTCTGCTTCCAAAAGTGCAATCTCCTTCTTGCACAATAGATCCTTTCCCTTTGCAATTTCATCATTTAACTGATCACCAACAGATCTAACTGATACCAGTTCATTCTCCAAGTTTTTCTTTGAATCTTTGAGATGTGAGTTTTCCATTTGCATATCTTCAAACTTTCTCTGCATTATCCTCACTTTTCCCTCAAGATCATTATTGACACATTTGAGTCTATCCAGATTGTCACTGAGATGCTTTATTTCCTCAAAATTATCAGCAATAATATCCTTGAAAATAAGAGAAATGTTACTTTGAGATATTGCTTCAGCAAAGACAGCACAGTTTTCCTCTTCAAGAATATGTTTCACCTTGCCCAAGTCCAAAACTTCCTTCATCAAAGACCTTTTCTCATCTAGCACCTTGCAGTTCTCTTCCAGTGAACTCTGATATTCCCTTTGTAATACTAACAGTTTCCCACGAACACTTCCTATTTCAGTCTGCAAAACTTCTTCTCTTTGGCCTCTCTCTATCACTTGTGATCTCAGTTCTTCATTCATATCCGCAAGTTTTTCAGCTCTGTTTTTCAGCTCTGAAAACTGCTCCGACTGTAGCTTCAACTCCTGGTGCAGTGAATTCTTCTCTGTAGCAAGATTTTCTGCCTCTAGTTTCAGTTGCCCAAGCAGTGCAATAAGAACTGAATTCTCAATTACAAATTGCTGATTTTCATCCAGAGACTTTAGAAGTGCATTTTGCGTCTCTTGGAGTCTCCCAAATACATGGTCAAGAACTGATTGGTCTTGTTTGATCTTATCATCATAACCATGGAGGCCATCAATCTCAAGAGTCCTCAACATCTGATAAAGCCCCATCCTCAGGATGGCAATTTGATCAAATAAGGATTTTATCTCCATCTGCTTTTCGGAATTTCCAAGCTCCAATTCAGAGATAAGTTTTTCTGATAATTTGGAGGCTTCCAAGAGTTTCCTACACTCATGCAATAGGAACCAATTCTTCTCTTCCAGATCTTGTGCACATTTCTGCAAGATGAAAATTTCTACCTGAGCATTCATGGCTTTGTCCAGTTCCTCTTCAAATTCTTTCTTCCTACACAGACTTTCCCCTTGTAGAAAATGGATCTGAGATTCCATAACAGTTACTCGGGTTTCATTCAACTGCACAAAACTAGCATGTTCTTGCTTTTCAACCGCTAGTGACTTTTGCAGCTCTTCTACTTCACGAAGCGTTGATTCTCTCTCTTTCTCCAGACCCACATATTTTTCTTCTAATCTCTGATATCTTTTTTCTAAATCTTCCAGCCTTTTCTGACTGACATCCAACTGAGAAATCAAACCTTCTCTCTGAGTTATCAGGCCAGACTTCTCATTACCAAGCAACAGGTATGAATTTTCTAACCTACGTAAATTTGCCGTGAATCCTTCAAGTTCGGCATTTGCATCAAAAAGAGAATTCTCCAGAAAGTTATTCTTCTCTGAAAGCTTCTCCAGATTCTCAGTTGCAATCTGTAAATGAGAAATGAGTGTGTCCTTCTCTGCAGCAAGGGTGGATTTCTCACTTAAAAGAGATTGACCGGATTCTTCCAATGTCTTTACTCTCCCCCGAACACCTTCTAGCTCGACATTCAAATCTGAGAGTGAATTCTCTAAAAAGGCATTTTTTTCAGTAAGTTTTTCCATGATTTTCAACTTCTCTAGGAGGGCCAGCTTTTCATCTGTGTCTCTTTCGCAGACAGCTTTTAGCTTTGTGTTCTCATCCTGCAATTCCTTCACAGATGATGCAAAGTTTTCTGGATTTAAGCAAACAGACTCCAGCTGCCCTGTCATATCATGGTGTCTCTTGTTGAAGTCATTGAGTTCCTCTTTCAAACAGTAAATTTCTTGCTGAAGAGCATTTCTTTGGTCCACTCTAAGTTCAACTTCTGCTTCAAGTTTTGCTATAGTCTCCCTTAAGCTTAAGATCTCATCTTGCAAATTCTTAATGGACACTGCTGAACTTAAATTGAGTTCGTTCAGGCCCATGTTCTCCTCCTTGACACTCTGTAGTTCATCCTCTAAACCCCGTTTACGAGTTTCAGTGTCCTGTAAAATTTGAGCCCTATTCTGAAGCTCCGAGGCCAGAGTTCTGAGTTCTTCCTGAGATTGAGAGTGCAAATGCTGCAGAGTTTGAAATGCTGTTTCAGCCTCCATAAATCTCAAGCGTTCCTCTTGTATGGAGGTCCAAAGTCTCCCCAACTCCTTCTGCTTCTCTGTTAGTTCTAGACTTTGATTCCCCATCTTCTGCATCAAAGACTCCAATTCAGTATGCAGACTCTGATTGGTTCTCTCCAACAGACTACACCTTTCTTCAGCACCTTTTAACTTTGCAGCTCCATCATCTATCTCACTGTTGAGCCTTTGAGCCTCCTCCTGGGCACAAGCAAGTTTGTTTTCCAGGCTAGATATTGTCTCTAAGCACTGCTGGTACTGAAGAGCAGCTGCTTCCTTATCTTTGGTTAGCTCAACAACTACTTGCTTTAAAGTTTCAAGTTCACTTTCAGCTTTCTCTGCTCGTTCAAGCATCCTTCTGGCACTTTCTTCAGCATTCAATAATTTTTCTTCCAGATTGCTTATTGTCTCTGAACACTGCTTGTATTGAGCAAAAGCATCCTCCTTTTCAGCTTCTACTCTGGCAAGATCCTGCTTTAATGCTTGAGCTTTGGTTTCTGCTTTAACAGCTCGCTCATTCAGTTCTCCAACATCCTTTTGAGCAAGAGAAATATTATTCTCAAGATTATTTATCTTCTCCAAGCACTGCTGGTGTCGAACAAGATTAGCTTCTCTTTCAGCCTCTAATTTGGTGAGGGCATCCTTCAAAATCTGAACTTCAGTTTCAGCTTGACTTGCTCGTTCATTAAGCCCCTGGGAATCTTCTTGTGCACGAGAGACTTCTCTCTCTAGATTAGACAATCTCTCCAAACTCTGCTGGTACTCAAGTAGGCCAGCTTCTTTTTCAGCTTGTAATTTAGCAAGAGCATTCTTCAAGGTTAATATTTCCATCTCAGCTTTACTCACTCGTTCGGACTCAGATGGGACTCGAACCCTGAGATCGGGGTCCCCATTGTTTTGCGGACTTTGTTCTTTGTCCTCTATATCACGAAAGTTAAGGCCTTTTCTTGCCCTTCCTTCTGCATACTTGACATGGTTTGTAGCTTCTTCAGAACCAAACAAATCATTGAACTGTTTCAGACCCTTTCTGATCCCTGCAGATTCAGATTCTTCAGTGAATGCTCCATTCCTCTTGATAGCATGTGAAGAGAGTCCCACAGCATCCTTCTGCAGCTCATCAGGCTCCAATAACGCACGTACAGGTTGTGGCATCTCAGGTGTACGGGGATCAACCTCGGTAGCAGAACCTCCTGGTGAGTCATCTGGAAATACCATGGGAACTTGGCTTGGAAATGCTTCCGCCATGGTCCGATGAGCCTGACGAAGCACCCCAGTTGCATGATCATATCTTTCAGCCAATGCACGGTATGCTCGATAAAACTCTTCTACCAATTTCATTAACTCTGGGCGTTTCTTGTAATACATCTCTGCTCGCCTAGCAAAGGAATCAGCATCTTCTTCAATGAGCTTGATCATTTGCTTGACTTTAGTATCCATATCTGTTCAAGCAGAAGATATTTTGCTGTGTCAAAATACAGTTATACAGAGAGAATGAAATTTTGAATGCTGCACAATTGCACAAAATTATGAAACCAAAAAAAAAGTGCAATCTCATTACAACGAGGCAAGATCTCATTGGTTTCATTAATCAATTTATCTCTTTCAAACTTGGTTTGATTAATGAAAGCCACCAAGCAAAGATGATTACACACTTGACTTGTGGCTCGATACAGGATCAAATAACTTATCAAGCTTCTAAACCAAGGTTCCATGGGTATTTTAACTGTTGTCATTCCACTGTTTATAGCTCATCATATCATTACTTCTTGTAACAATAGACTAGCTGCAAGATGGCAATAGTATGGATGCATTTTGCATTTTGTAGCAATCATCAGGTACCTGTGAGATTCTCCTGGAGCCATTTTGAATTTTTAGGGCTTATGTGGCTGTTCCACCACCATGAGTACATGCCTTTAGAATCCGCATGCTTCACAGTTGCCATGACTTTAGTCCTCAATACCACCACTTCCTGATTCTGACCACGGATTACAACTCTTAATTACGAAAAGGAGGTGATGGATCAGCCCAGAACCAGTTTTTTATAACTACAAACTAGCCACTTTTAATGTTGAGAAATAATATGAAAGTTCAAATCTCTCAGTCCTTGTGCTTAATTCCTGATATCAACAAACGAAAACCGCACAATTCAGTTTTGACATGATGGAAAAACACAACTTGATCACATGATCAGGAACCTGAAAAGATCAAGCAGAAAAGACACAAAAATTACCTGATCAAGATAATCCAATTACGGTCCAAATATGCAAGTAAAAAAGCAACTAGTAACCGGTAACTGTTGTCTCCAAAACTGTTACAAGTTACCTGATCAAAGAAACACATCAACAAAACAGGTGTTTGAAAAAGTAAGAATCTGATCAATCAAAACAAAAAATGCTTTAAGAGAAATTGCATATTCACAGTCAACAACATAGCATAGAAATCATCAACAACAACCATCTGATCAGCATAAAATTAGCCAAATTTTATGAACTTAAGCATAATTCAACAATTAAATCACCTGCAAAGGCTTACAAAATTAAAAGAAAAATAAAAAAATCATGAACTAAAAAAACTGATATGCAAAGCTATTAAATTCATCAAACAGAAATGTAGAATAATAATAAAAAAAAAGCTTACCATAAAAAAAAAAAAAAAGAAAGTACGGTTTCTGGGTTTTGATTATTAGCAACTATTATTGAAAAAAAATGGATGCTTGGGTTTTGCCCTTTTCTTGTCTCAACCCATTACTGAGTCTGAGTGATCTTTTTCTGGTGCAACTCTCCTTTATTTTGTTTCTTTGTGTCTCTCTACCGGCTCTTTTTGGTTGCCTTCGTATGCTGGGTTTTGGTGCTATTTGAGTAGGCTGTCAAAGAGGAAAAGAAAACAAAAAAATATGGGCTAAGGACAAGAACCATTAAAAAAGTAAACCACCGAATTAAAAATATAAATAAAATCTTTTCCGGTATTTATTCGTATTAATATTCGCTTTAAGTGCTGTAACAAGCATGAAAGAAGCAGCAGCGTTTTAGGGGAGATGAAATGACGAGGTTGCCCTTATGAGTTAAGGTTTCAAAAATGCTGTTCCTCGTGTTTATCTACATTTGACTTTAACGAGTGCAGCCACATAAGTCAAAACCGCTTTGATTCTTTGATTTGATTGGATTCTCATTTGTGATTCATATTAAAAAAATTGTATGTTGAAATCTGTGCACTAAATAAAAGTAATTGAAATTACAGACAATAATATTTTTTTAATTAAAATTAAGACTAACGGCTGCAGTTTGGTTTTCGTTTCTCCAATTTAATCAAGAGTTAAAATTATAATTTCAATCATAATAATTAAAAATAATATAAAATCTGAAATAATGTTGAATTATTTTAATACTTATGCAAAAATCCAAAGGGTTATAGGATGATGAAATTACGTGGAGCCACATGGAGATGGGCTAATAATTGTATGCATGAAATTTGGAGAATTTTGAAGCCCATAAACCTCTGTACTAGCCGTCGGTTAGTACGGTACTCGTCGTTTCAGAAGGTGATAGGCTGGTTTCCTTGAGAATGGAAAAGTGAAAGGGTAGTTTTGGTACATGAGGAGAGTGGTGGAGAGGGGAATCTTGAATGTTAGGCAAGTATGACAGGTGTCGTTCTTTAGAAAAAGTAAAGTGGGTCGGATTTGGCTACTTCTTTCGTTCTTTGGGCGGTGGCCGAGGACGGTCGTCTTATGTCACATGACATGACTACAGCAAATTCCTTTGGACAATTATAACCACGTGTATTACAATATAATTTCAAAATCAAAATTAGTACTCTTATAGTATAATAGTCTATACTCTACTATATGTTTTTTTCGGTTGTTTGTTTTGAATGAATTAGGAATTCCTTATTTTTTATTTCTGAAATCGTCTCCCTAATACGATGGAATATTTGATGTTTGTTATTGAATAAATATTTTTATTTTTGTCAAATATATGAAGATAGAGTTTGCTTGAATATAATTTCAGATTTTATGATCATTTATCTTAAATTCAATTAATAGGAAGGCACGAAGGATTATTTTTTATATTTAATAAAGGTTCATGTTATCTAGCAAAAATAAAATAAAACTTTGAAATTATTATTATTTTTTTTTTTTTGTGTATCTGAAATATTTAACGCCGTTCGCGTGGACCATTGTTTATTAATTGGATTTTCATTTACTCATGAAAGGTGGCCTTCGCATGACAAACGAGCTTACTCCACTTATTATTAACTTAATATTATTATCATTATTGAGTTTATAAACTAAGAAAAAAAAAAGACCAATCAATATATTATTATTAGTGAAAACGTATGGAGATTAAGATGAAATTTGTTGCTGACCGATATTGATTTTTACCACCATATTATGATTTATTTATATAATGTGACTAAGGCAGTCGTTATTAAAACCTAAAATAAAAATATTTAAGTTGCAATCAGATCTGATTCAGCATTCAGCACCTTATATGGCGGTGATATTGGTCCACTTCTATTCTATGGAAAAGGATTGTTGGACGGCGAAGATGGCTCAATTATAACGACAAGTTGGACGTCTGAAAAAGTTGTCTTTTTACTAAATTATGTGCTATAATTGGTGCATATGCCTAAATAATAATAATAATTAATCTCATCCAACCAACACACAATAAGGGAAAACATTTGGTTTATATTTACTAGAAATCAATCAATTTGCTAAATATTCCGTTTCTGTTTATTAGTATGATTTATAGTAAATATATTTATTAAAGGTATAATCATATATAGAATAAAGAAACAGAAATTTACACTTAGCCCTTTTTTATTTTTATGTAACAGGAGAGAAATTAGCAACTTTGTGATATTTTCCTTGCTTTCAAAAGTCTAATTATGGGGAGAGAGAATAATTCTATGACTTTCATTCTACTTAAAACAACATCTTGAGTCCAAAATTATTGATGGGAAGATAAGATAAGAATTCAAAGAAATTTGAGATGAAACATATATTCAAATATTTAATTGATTTATGTAATTATAATGTAATGTTCAATAAATTTAAATTAATTTGTATTTTTTATTTTATTATTTTAAAATGCTATTTTCTTTATACCAAAATAAAAATATGTGTATTGCATAAATCAATATCAAAATTAGTTGAAAAGTTTGCCCTCAACCACCTCCAAATAAGGTCAATTAGCAGGTTCGAGATGGCTTTGATCGTTAGGTGACAAAATTTATGAAAAGGGGTTTTCAACAATGAACAAAGATGGATAGAAAGCTGAGGTGACCTCTAAGCTTTTAAATGGTCATCTTTGGTAAATGCTTCAACTTTGCTTCTATCTCTTCCTTTGAAATTAATTAAATAAATGAAAATTGAATAGGGTCATAGTCCCAATGGATGAATCAAATTTTGAGCAGGCCACACTTTACCTAACTATTTTTTTTTTTTGTAGCTATGTTGCTAAATTTGGTATAAGATTGAATCATGTATTAGTTTTTCAATGGTACGAGCATATTCATTTTTAGATTTTTTAAAATTTTAATTAAAATGGAATTCTTTCTTCAAATATTTCATAAAATTAAATATATTTGTATTGGATATAAGACCGTTTAACCCAAATACAAATTAGATAATTTTCAAGTGAGATTGAATTTTTATCTTTGTTAAGAGTATTTTTTTTTTTCATTAAGTATAATTGAAAAAAAAAACATGTGGAAGGGTTATTAAAACTGTACAGCAAGAGGAAGCTTCTTTCACATAACTATAATACTCGATTAGCATACGTGGATAGTCAGACATAATTAACTTTTGACATGTGTGAACTTTGCCTGTGGACTACAGCACCATCTGTTGCTTACAGATAAGAAATTTTAAAAAAGCAAAGCAAAGATTCTCCCAAGGTATCGATTGCCAAAGTAATAGATGCCACCAATAGTACTAATTGCACATTGTTGTGATGCTTTCAGCTTTAGTATGAATTCATAAGCTTTTTATCGTTTGACCGTATCTTTGTCTCAGGATAATATCATGACAAACGGGCAAATTATTATCTTCAATTGCACGGTTTTTTTTTTTTTTTTTAATTTTGTTTCCTATGAATATACAGAAAAAGTAATCATGTTTTTGAGCAAATCATTAAATTGAGTTCAGTGCATGGGTAAAGCTTTAATTAAGTTAGAATGGGCAATCTTGACAAATTTCCCTTCTCACTATCCCATCACTTAAAGGATGAATAGAATCATAACCTAACTTAAACTAAATTACTGGGTGATGCTTAATTTCTTGATCTAATTTTTTGCAATAATATTTATATTTTCAGATCACTTATTCAATTAAAGTGTCATTGAATCATTTATTAATTATTTTAGATGTAAAAATGACACAAACTGCGTGATGGTTGAAGGACTTAAGCCCAAAAATGAAAGGGTTGGTTGCCAGGTTATTAATGTTAGTGTTTAACTAGTTAAGAGAACAGTGACCAATGTATTATTTGTCATCTAGTTTAGACAATGGCAAAAAAAAAAAAAAAAAAAGCCAGACAGGAGCCTCCTTCTGCTTGGAGCTTTGCAGCCAGGGTAAGGGGACTTAAAAAGACAAATTTAGCCATCTTCAAAAACTGTCATTATGCATATGGTGCACCTAGCAATGAGCCAATGACCAATTGACCACATCCAGGGCCACCCCCTCTTTTACTTAAGATCTCAGCAAACCCATACAAATTGCATAGAAAGCAGTGAAAGAAAAAAGCTGATAGCCATGGGCCCTTCAAAGCTGCAAGGATGAAAATGCAAAATCGAATTGTTGAATTCGGAATGGAGACTGTGGAGACTGTCAGCGGATTGTATAGCAGCAAGCGAAGCAAGCGCACATGACTCACACCCCACCCACAACATCAAAGATTCTAAAAGCTTGGATTGTTTATGATTGCTACTATGTAAATGTCAGGTAAAGTTTAAGCAAGTGTGAAGGAAGGAGAAGCAAGTGGCCCACCTCTCCCAACTGCCATCACAGTTTTCCAATGGCATGTGAATGGTTGTTAAAACACTCTCTCCCCCTTTATCAGTTCCAGTCACTTTTTTTTTTTTTTTTTTTTTTGCGGCTTTTTATGGGCTGTTGGGAGATAAATTAAATTCGCTTTGTTGCTTTCACTGCAAAACCTCTTCAATGACAGGCTTGCATGGAAAGAGACTTAAGACTTGCGGTAGATTAAATATCGGGCCTCACTGTCTCCTATTTAAGGTAATATTTTTGGAAGAAAAATGTAAAAGGCTAATCATAAAAATATATAAATTTTTTTTTTATAATAGTCATGTCATTTATGAATAATCCGTGAATCAAAAGTCGAGCATTACTCTTTTTGTAAAGAGATTGTGTTTAATATTTATGAGTGAACTTCATTTCAATTCAGTAAATAAACTATTTCTTTAATTAATAGCTTTAATTAGGACTGTAATGAATGATACTTACTGGAATTAGAAAGAGTTAAATAAATAAGAGCTATATTAAAGACAACACCTACTTGTCTACCAATTTGTTGCATAAACTAAAGGCTAGTCATTCTCAATTTTTTTTTTTTTTTTTGATATGGTCATTCTCAATTTCCTCTTGCATCATTTTGGCTAAAATTGTTCCGTACAAAATAGTCAGTTAATATTAAACTTTTTATTTCTTTTTATAAAATAGATTAAAATTTAACTATAAAAATATTACAAATGTTAAATTTAAATATTGTAATAATTTTTTAACAATATTTTTAATTATATGAATTAATTGAATTAAATTTTAAATTTTTATTTAATTAATAAGTTTAGCCAACTTGCAAGGTTGACTTCTACTATCATCACATGGCATCCTAAATCAATTAAGCAACATCTCATTCTCATAGGCATTAAATACTTGTAGAATTGACTGACTCCAAACTAAGGAAAAAATAAACATTTAATAACCCAAACTATTAATTGATTCTAAATTACATTTCTTAATATCTAATTATTTTAATAAAACGTACCAACGAAAAAATAATAACTTAAGTCTATCGTAGGTTCATAGGCAAAGAATAAAATGGCTTCTCAACATACCAATATAGCTTTGAATTTCGTTTTGCGGTTGTCACTTCTCAGCAATCACAAATGTGAAAAAGAAAAAGCAAATACAACAAACACGGTCCATTCAATAACCATTTAAAGATTCATAGAAAATAAACGAGGCCCAGTCCATTCCTAAGAAAAAAAAGAAAAAGGAATCAATCAAAGGGCCCAACTTAGATTTGGATTTTGGAAGATCAGGATTACAAAGCGCCCCGTAACGGCCCCGCTAAACCCGCAATTCCGAGTCTTTTGGACTGGAGCAGTTTTTTTTTTTTTTTTTTTTTGTAATTGAAAAAATCGCTTGAAATCCAAAATAATAGTAACTTATCCGCAATTTGTTATGCTCAAGCTCTCTACTTCCAGTCCGCTACCATTAATTTTGCCAAGTTCATAATTCGAAACGATGCATCAATCCTCCGTCGAAAGTTTCTCCACGCCCGAACGCCCGTTCTTCTCCAACTAAGACTACTCTATTCTTCTACTTCTCACTTCAAAACGACGCGGCTGCAGCAGCACATTGAGAAAACCTATTGGCGAACCGAGGCTGGAATTAGCGTGCAGAATCATGAAGACAGCGAAGCGTCTAGGAATTCAGACCATCGCCTTTTACAGCGACGCCGATAAAGATTCTCTCCACGTCCGACGAGGCGGTTCACATTTGTCCAACCCGCTCGGCTCAGTTTCTTAAACTGCTCTTCCGTTGTCGAGGCGGCGATTCGCGCCGGTGCACTGGTGAGCTGCTCGAACTCCATGATATTTTACGTCATCCAAATTACAAATTATTATTAATAAATAGTATCGATGTTTTATGTGATGAATGCGGAGTATAATTTTGGCTATCCTTCCTGATTATGGTTTCTTATGGGAGGGCTCCGAGTTTGCTCAACTTGTTGAGGATAAGGGGCTTACATTTATTGGTCCTCCAGCAATCCGAGACATGGATGATAAAAGGTACTATTGATAGTAGGCTGCGCCATTATTTGGAAACATTTCTGCTTATTAATGATGTTTATATTGGGCCTGTTAGTGCCTTGAAGAGAATAATGGGTGCGGCGGTAGGATATCATGGCAGTGAACGAGATATGAAATTATGAGGTTGGAAGCTGATACAATTGGATACTCTATCTTAATAAAGCCGACTCATGGAGGCGGAGGAAAGGTGTTCCCATTTTGTTTCCCTTTCTCGTTCATTTCATTGTTGTTTGACTTTTCTTCTTCTTTTTGAACTTAAGGAATAGTGTGAATTGTGGGCACATTTTTTTTTATCATTGCTTCTCTTCCATGTGCTTAATTTGTTTAGAATCATTGAGTTTACGATGTCAAGGATGTTGTTAGAACAATAGAACTGCAGGAAATTTAGTTTTATTCAGATGAGGTTCTTACCATGTTTATATTTTTAGGGCATGAGAATTGAACAGTCAGAATGATTTTGTTGACTCCTTTTTGGAAGCACAACACGAAGCTGCTGTATCTTTTGGCATAAACACAATTTTGTTGGAGATATACAGGATACAACATAGAAACATTGAAGTTCATGTAGTATTAGAGCTATTAATAACCTGATTAACTTCTAGCTTTTTATTTGGTTGTACTTAATTATTAAGCTCCGTATTTGGAAAAACTAGTGACCTGATCTTGTCAGGTATTCTAGAAACTGTATGAAATGTTAGCAGATTTAATAAGCTGGATTAGGGAATGCCTGTAATGAATTTTGTTTTCTATTGGGTTTTATGTATTGACCAAAGGCTTCTCTCCTGCTTGATGTCAGTCGATATTTGGTGATAACTTTGGCAATGTACTGCATTTATATGAGAGAGATTGCAGTGTCCAAAGGATACACCAGAAGATAATTGAAGAAGCTCCTGCTGTAATACTGTTTTCTACACTTTTTATTTCTTCGTATTGTTGATCTACACGAATTTTGACTGAAACTCCATTAATGCAGTCATGTGTTACTGATGAATTTCGCTGCCACTTGGTTCAGGTTGCCATAGCTACTACTAAGGTGATGTCTTTCAAAATCATTTGCTTATAGTTATTGATATGCAGTTTGCAACTGTTGTTATTAGATGACTGTTATTTCTGTTTGATTTGATTTTTTTTGTAATGCCAGCATTTCTGAGTTTAATGAAAATTTTATGCGATTAAAATGATCACCAAAGGCAAGATAGGGCCAAGGAGGAGCTATTGCCTCCAAGTAATTTTTAAACAGGAAAAGTTTATACATTGAACTTTATCACAATATTGAGCTATATTTGATTGAAACTTATCCTGTTATTGTAATAGAAAAGAACATGAAACATAGCAAGGTCTGGCCAAAAAATAGCTACATAGCAAGGTGTTTGATTATCTAATTCTTTACCTGCCAGTTTGACAATGAATGATTTTTGCTGTTGTTTTTGTGGCTTAATGGAGAGAGAAAAACCCTAAACATCGATAGCTTCTCTCATGAATTTGCATCTCATATTTATTACTTTTCTCTCATTCCTGCTTATGTTCTCTTGCTTTTCATGATGCAAAAGGTTTTGGGCATCCTGCTTATCTTAACTTTTAACTGCTGTAACTGATAAATACTGATGTCTGGTCCATGTGGTATGTAAAGGCAGTTGGCTATCACAATGCTGGCTCTGTGGAGTTTATAGTTGATACTACAACTGTTTGATTTTACTTTATGGAGATGAACACTCAACTTCAGGTGCTTTGATCACTCATTTTCTTTCTATCTTGATTTCTCAAGCTTCATGAGACCCTAACGGAGCATCCATATTCATTCGTAGATTGAGCATCCTGTGACTGAGATGATTGTTGGTCTAGATCTTGTGGAGTGGCAAATTCGTGTTGCAAATGGGTAGCATCTTGCTATAAGTCAGGTGCAGGTGCCCTTATCATGTCAATCTTTTACCCACTGAATAGAGCTATGTATATGATTTTGCTCCTCTTGGTCCTTCCTTCTTTTTCTTTGACTTTTGAAATTGTTATTCCTGTGATGTTCTATTTGAAATTGTAAGATGCATGTCTGCCTGTGCATGTGCATTTTTTTATGTTTGCCATCTGTCTCTTTTCATAATCATTGAGGAATTGACTGGGGAAATACTGTAGGGTTAGAATTATTATCCTTTTTGCTAATGGGATAGTAGTAATTGCTATTATTCTTCAATATTAGTATAAGGAGGCCTCAATGCTTACATGATCATAAGCGATGGTGCAAAATTTATTAGAAGTATATCCTAAAAAGAAAGTTGTTGCTATTAATATCTTCAAATTTATTAATTTTGGAAATATGGGAAGATCAATGTTTCATGGTTTCTCTATTCCTTCCCTCCCCACCCCCACTTTAAAAAAAGTGACTGAGCTGTTAGTGGATGTTAAAAAGGCTCCTTGATCCAATGAATAGTTTAATGGTTGTCTCAATTTAGATTATCATTACTTGGCCAGGGTGTTTAAATGTTTGAACAGCGATGAGGTTCTTTCAAATGCTGAAATATTCTCTAGTGCCATGAAATGTGCAGACCTCTAATGAAAATTTCAATTTATTTTTCCTTCTTTTATTAAACTTGAGTTCAGGAGCCCCATTAATGGATATTTATGAAGTCTATTTAGGGTTACCATTTTGACAGATTTGTGATTACTCATAATTTTGACGGGCCATGCTTTTGAAGCCTGAGGCTATGCTGAAAATATTCCCAAACTGTTTCTTCCTGCAACTGGAGTTCTTCATCTTTATCATCCTGTACCAGTTCATCAACAGGTGAGGTTCCTATGCTGTATGTAAGATCAAGTTTCTTGGCTATAAAAAAAATTAACTCAACCTACGCATTCGAGAATGGTCCTAATAGGAAAAAAGCCACACTGGAGGAGCTGTCAGATTGTTAGATAGTGTCTTTGTGCTGATTAACCTTTGATGTTTGCCATCCATTTTTGCTCTTGGAAAGAGTAGAGAAAATGGGATAATTGGTATATCTCATAGCCATATGTCCTAAATTAAGGATACCACCACCTGTAAGACTGCGTGTTTCATTCCACTTTTTTTCCTCTCCCTTTCTCCTTATTTTGATCGTTTTCTATTTAACAGTTCAGGTTTGACTGAAGCGAACAATGAGATGTTGTTAGCATGCATTATGATCCTATGATTGCAAAGCTTGTAGTATGGGTAGAAAACTGTGCTGCAGCACTAGTCAAATTGAAGGATTGCTTGTCAAAGTTTCATGTATAGAGTCTTGTTTAGGAATTTTAGTTCTAAACTTGGTGCAAAAGACTTCATCATTGTCCCTCTGAGATATGCCTAATTATACTGAAACTTGGTGACTGTGGTGGCACCCATGGCTGGTTTAGTGGTCAAGGTTCTGGTGGAGGATGGAGCAAAGGTGGAAGAAAGGACAACCTGTATTGGTGCTAGAAGCAATGAAGATGGAGGTTTGTACCAACAATAGCTCCAATATTATTTCATTTTTGCTATTCGCTTAGACTAAAATACACATTTAGTGACCCAACTTATATTGAAAGTTGCTTTATTTGACGGCATGTGGTGAAGGCAACGTCTGGTGGTTTTGTTCAAGGACTTAAAGTCAGCTCTGGTCTACAAGTTTCAGATGGTAGTGTTCTTTTAAGACTCAAGGTTAGTCATTTTGAATTCAGCTCTTGACATGGATAGTTTTAACTCCACTGCATATAATTCTTCATACAATATTGTGACCTGTCTGAGCTTAAATTTATGTAGAATTCCTGCATCTTGAGCTTGAATAGCTTAGATTTGATTGGTATATATTTTTATATATATTCATTTTCGTTTGATTTCATGTACTTGGCCATCTTACTTACTGTCTGATGAAGTCTTTTGTTTGGCCTTCTCTAATAATCTTGTTTCATCCTTGAATTGTTTATTTAAGTCATCTACATTACTAATCAATTGATTTTTTTCTTTCTAAAAAAAGTATATTGAATATTAGTACTCATAATTCTACTGCTTCAATCCAATGGTGAGTGTGTGTGAAAACTTGAACTAACCTGTGGTTTTTGGCTAAATCATTCAACCCCCTATGTAAAAATGTATAAGGGCATCACTATGTTAAATTTGCTTTCTGTTAGATTCAACACCATCTGAAGATTTATTACTTGGTTGCACAAGTTAGCAGAAATATTGTGTCAATGCATTAGAATTTATCAAACTGCTATATTGTGGATTGATTGATAATTTGATTTGCATTCAGTAACAATGTTGAAAATAGAGTTGAAAAAGATTCAAATATAAGATTGTTTAATAGAACATGACTTAAATGACAATTGTATCCTTGGTCAGGAGTGATTAGAATTCATCTTGAAGTGCGGTTTCCATGATAATATCGTGCTCAAACAAATTTAGTACTTGGTTAGAAAAGTCTCTCAGCTGCAAATATGGTCGTCTGGTAGAGAAAATAAGTTTAGTAAGCTTCTGTGTCACTGACAAACATAGAAAAGGAAGTAGAGAGAGAACGGGATGGCTTTGAGCCAATCTGATGACATAATGTAACGTGGGATTGCATAATCCTGCTTCATAAATAGTGATTTGTGGCGCTCATGCTATAATCTGATTTCCCACTTTGGACATTCGAATCTTACTGTTTGCCTCCTTGTATTTATTTTATGATGGTGTCTTTCTTATTTTTAATCATATTGAAGTAGATTATGATGAACTATAAAATGAATGAAATTATTTTTTAAAAAATCAGGAATTAATTAATGATTTGATTTGACGTTGGTTGCGCAATATGTTACAGTGCGCGTATTGGTCTACATCTAGGGTTGCTATCCAAGGTCAGCAAGGGTTTTTGTTCAAGTGTGACTGGGCTACAGAACCCCGGAGACAACCCAGGTCACATCGGCACTGCTTCTTCACCTCCACAGACATACCTTCACTCAAAAAAAAAAAAAATTAGGCGTATTCAAAGTTTTGTGGCGTTCTCAAGTGTGAACTGTGAATAAAGAGAGTAGTCAAGAAGCCATTATGTTGGCAAAGAAAATCATAGCGTGAGAGTGTTGTATAGTTTTATGGCCATCATCATGCTACTAATTCAAATATTCTTCTATAAATCACAGCTAGCTTGGCCAACACGGAGGATTCCGATTGTGACATTTCATTAAAGCCTGGGAAATGTCGACGAATTTCAAGGCCCCAATTTGGTTTCTTTAATATTCTGTGGGCGGCAAACGCAAATGTCACGCATCATCCAATTTTTTCTTCGAAGGACGCCCCAAAGGACAACGACACGCCATTTCTATTTATATTTGGTCAAATGAATAGAAAAGTCAAAGGTGCTAATCGCCTCACTTTTTTTTCTTTTATAAATAATTTTCCTTCTTTTGAAACAAAAAATAATACCAGTACAAATATTCTTCTTTGAATTGGTCGGAGGAGTTTTTAAAGGGTTGTTTCTTCTAATTTCCAGTGGGAACTGAAATCCAAGTGTGAGACTGTTTTTGAAAAATATAAAATTCTTGATGCTGGAATATGCTAATGCTATTCACAAAATGTGCAAAACAAAAAAAATGCCCCAATGCAATATATCATGGATGGCACAGAAGAATCAACTTAAGGTCACTGCCAGTAATTTTTTTTTTTTTTTGGGGTTGTCGTAAACAATAGTCATTTTCCTGTTCATCGTTGTCAATGGGAGAATTTTTTGCCTTTTTTCTGATTCCTAAAGGGCGTAATTGTAAATAGTCAATATCTTATTGGCCTTTCTCTTCTAAAGATGGGAGCTCTGTCCAAATTTAGTGAGTAGTAATTCGGATTTACTACTGTGTCTGCACTAGCTTTACCCAAAACACCCCTTGCGCCCATCCTTTGATTGCTGCTTTTTCAAGTTTTGTGCTTTTAGATTGCTACTATTATTTACTACTTCTATATTTGATCAAAAACCCTTATGGAAATTCTTAATTTTGGTTACCTTAATTTGGATAGAGGGATAAATTAAGTAAGACCTTGATAGATATTTTCTGTAAAATTTGGAAAGGGCAATAAAATGAATTTCAGATTCTCTAGATAAAAACAAGAGTGAATTTCCATTTTGTGCAGAGTACTTAAAACTAAATGATAAAATATCTTAACGACTACAATGACCAAAAATGAAGAACAAGAATTTGTAATGGAAAACACAACTAAATGGTGTAAAAAATTATGGCCCGATGGAAAAGAAAGGGGGGCAATATGGTAAAATCGTTAAGGAAAACCGGCATTCCCATCTGTGATCCACCAGAAGATCTTAAAATACCGGTAAATGCGTTGATGTGGACAGGAAAACAACAGCATATCCTTCCTTGTTCTTGTCAATTTCTTATTGTGAAACAGTCGTGCCCTCTTAAAGCCAATTCAGGCTACAACCCTAAACCAAAGCCCTACTTCCAATTCTTTTTTTTTAAACCTTTCTTTTCAAATTTTTATTTATAAAATAAAATCTTTCTTCTTTCCTCCTCCACAAAACCCCAAAAAAAAAAAATCTCCCAAATAATCAACATATTTTCTTCTGTCCTTTGTACTTTATAAAAAACTTTTTTTTCTCTTTTTCTGCTTCAAAACCAATGTTTTGTTGATCCATTTTCTTTGGTTTGGTAATTCCATTGTTTTTATTTCGTGGGTTTTTATTTTTTCCTCGTAAAAAAATGGCATCAAGCAACAGTGAGGGAGCTGAAGCTGTAGCAAAATCAGAGAAAACCCCGACAGAGGAAAAGGCTTTGGGGTCTGTAGGAAACCTTAGCAACATTAAGGACACGTTTCTAAGAGCAGATAAGATAGATTTCAAGAGCTGGGATTTGCAACTGGATAAGCACTTGAGCAGGGCTTGGTCTAGGGACAGCCATATTTCATCTATGACAAAGAAGGAAGAGTGGGAAATTGATTTGGCTAAACTTGATATAAGACACGTTATAGCTCATGGGACTTATGGCACCGTTTACCGTGGCGTTTATGATAGCCAAGATGTTGCAGGTATCACTTTTATAAATATGTTGCCAAAATTCAGAAATCCATCCTTTTATCTTGTTCACCTTGGACTGCTATTTTTGCCCGAGATGAGAATTTTTTTCTCTATTCAACTGTATATACTGATATAAAGATGTAGTATATATTGCTTTTGACTTGCTTGTTTGGTTCAATGATAATTGCTAAGTTGTTCAAACGTGCCCCTGGAAAGTGAATTTGCTAGTAGAAGATGATAATATTATAGCAATTTCATGTCTTTAGGTTCTGATATTAAGCCTAGGATCATATGTGTAAGACATAATACATTGTGTAATAGGAGGTTTATGCTTGAAACTTGAGGTGAGTCACTGATGTCTCATGACTAGCATCAATTCTACTAACTTGACCACAAGTTTACATCGCTTTGAGGTATAACTTTTGTCAAAAGACATCCTCAAGCGTTTTGTTCTTTAAATGAGGATGTAATGAAAGGCGAATGTTTTTGGAACTTCACTATCAGCAAAAAAAAAAAAAAGGAGAAAGCTTTGATAGACTATGAAATTTTCATTTGTCTAGATGCAGCATATCAATGATGTATACTGACTGCAACTGTCCAATGAAGCTGTATGATAACTTGCTCATTTTCTGTGTGCAAGTGATAATGACATAGGACCTCTTTCTTTTCATTTTGAAATTATAAAGTTTTAATCTTGATTTCAATGAATATTGCTTCTGCTATGAAACTTTCTGTCAATAACAACTGCCTCATGTTGCTTTATGTTTGCTTGGTATAAACAGCTTATGCAGAGTTGCCTTGGGGCTCCAAATTCACTCTCTTTACAGAGTTCTTTAGATGGCATTACTTAAATTTCTGAATTAACTTTAGTGAATCTGAAATTGGGTTGTTTTGAATGCAAATATGTGTTTTCAAAGGTGTGCTTAATGCATAGTCTGATGATTGTGTTTACTTTCTGGTGTTTGATTCTAACATGTGTTGAGGGGCGAGTAATCAGTAATGTCAACTCATGGTCTCTATTTGACATGCTGCCTATATTCTGCCACTATTTGATTGTAAAACATCTGCTTAGCTGCAATAGTTAAGTTTTTAAGAAAACATTCAATTCGCTGATATCCTAACTACAAAGTGTTCTTAATTTTGTAGTGAAGGTATTGGATTGGGGTGAGGAAGGGATTGCCACAGCTGCTGAAGCCGCTGCCCTTCGAGCATCATTCCAGCAAGAGGTTGCTGTTTGGCATAAGCTTGACCACCCAAATGTAACAAAGGTAAAACCAATTTATATTTAGTTAGGTTAGGCATACTGCTCCTTTCATGTGGGAAAGAGATTTAATTATACATGTTATATTGGTCGCAGTTAAGAATTGGAAGATTGTTCTGCTTATAGTTTTTCCTGAACTACTAATATTGTAACTGTTGTTGTGCTTGCAATACTGTGACATAATTCTTTAAATATTTTGAATTTCAATATTCAAATCACGAATGAATAACCTCTTTCAGTTTATTGGAGCTTCAATGGGAACTTCTAATCTTAAGATCCCGATCAAAGATGGAACAAGTGAGAATAATAATTCTCTTCCTTCCAGAGCATGTTGTGTTGTTGTTGAATACCTTCCGGGTGGGACGTTAAAGAATTTTTTGATCAGAAATAGGAGGAAAAAACTTGCCTTTAAGGTTGTGATTCAAATTGCTTTGGACCTTTCTAGAGGGTGAGTAATTTTTTAGGTATATTAGGATTTCCAATGTTTTCACTTTGGAAAAATAATGGATATTTTTCGTTTGACTTTTACAGTTTGAGTTATCTTCACTCCAAAAAAATTGTACACCGTGATGTCAAGACTGAAAATATGTTGCTAGATGCTCATCGAACTTTGAAAATTGCTGATTTTGGTGTTGCTCGAGTTGAAGCTCAAAACCCAAGAGATATGACTGGGGAAACAGGCACTCTTGGTTACATGGCTCCAGAGGTATCCACTCCTTGGATAGCCATTGACTGTATAATTTTATCCCATAATTATTGTAATGATACAAATTTTTATGCTCAACTGCTACAACAATTAGGTCACCTAAATTCCTGAAGCTCCTTTTTTTTTTTTCTTGGTATCTGTTCCCTTTTCTGTAGAATAAAAATCTAACGCAATGGTTTATGTAGGTCCTTGATGGGAAACCTTACAATAGGAAATGCGATGTCTACAGCTTTGGCATATGCTTATGGGAAATATACTGCTGTGACATGCCTTATGCTGATCTTAGTTTTGCTGAAGTTTCATCAGCCGTAGTACGACAGGTATGAGTTAAAAATTCAAATCTTACATTTTTTACTAATCTAACTCGAAGCATCAATCTTTTGGCTTGGCCTCCATATAGGTGATAGTTATGATATTTCAAAATTTCATATATCTTTTAACTCTTGCATACCTCATCAGTCAGCTGGTTAGCTTAAATAGTCTGGTTCTTGTTTTTGAATAGATTTATACCTTGCAGCCTTTCAATTAGCTTTTAGATCCTTTGTATCATAATTATCTGGATAAATTGAAACACCACATTCATATATTGTAAAAAATGGGGCTTCAATGTGTATCTGTAGGCACATCAGCGGATGTTTGCACTTGAATCTGTACTCTTTCCTCTGATACGTTTGGTTGTAATGCCTGATGTTTGAAAATTTTCTTTGCAGAATTTACGCCCAGAAATTCCTAGATGTTGCCCAAGTTCATTGGCAAGCATCATGCGAAAATGTTGGGATGCGCACCCTGAAAGACGTCCTGACATGGATGAGGTGGTGAGATTGCTAGAGGCAGTAGACACAAGCAGGGGAGGTGGCATGATACCTGATGACCAAGCTTCTGGCTGTTTTTGTTTCACCCCTCGTGGCCCATGATAATAAATTTTAGCTCATTCATTTATTTTGTGGTACATAAGTTTAGTTGAGAGAGAACGTGAAGCATTGATTTCTATTATGCACTTGAAGTAGCCCCGTTAACGTCCATGTAGAACCCTTGGTTCTATTCCTCAATCCAATGCATTATAACATACTAGTATGTAAGGGTGGATATAATTCTTTTTAGTGGCATGAATGGCAAAATTATGGTCTCCAATAAAAGTTAAAGCTTTAATGGTTGCATTTCTTCCAATAGCTTTGTCCTATGACAGTGAGAATCATCTCAACAACTGTGTGCTCTGCAGAATCCTACATGGTCATTGAGAAGTTTTTTGTGCAAACCTAAAAGAAGAAAACATTGAAATAGATAGTTAAATGTTTCATTATCAACAAAAGAATGCTAATTTTTCTCATTAAAGCAACATTTTCTTTTGGGTTTTTTGTTATTTATTTATTTATTTATTTGGTAAAATCCATCAATGGTAATGTAAGAGTAGAAGAATCCCTTTTAACCAAAACTAAGGGGTTCCGTTAGCTTGTGTTTTCCCTCTCTTTGGGGTTCTGCGAGCCCAACCCATCTTTATCGGGTTGTTATAACAATGGATTATCCATCAATTGGGGCCCAATAAACATATTCAGAACCCTAAAAAAACATCAAATTTCTGACTCCATCCCTAGAGCCGCCCGCTAAAGCTCCATTCCAACTTTTCAGGAAACTGAAGAATCCGTTGAGTGGATTCCGTTACCATAATCCTTCACGATGGAGATGGCCTCGAAGACTGATTCTGAAAATGGCTCCCTCACTCTGGTTAAGCAAGGAGCTGAAGCTGTAAGTTAGAAAAAAGCCACTCTTTTTGATCAGATAAGAAAAACAAAACGCTGTTCCAATTTCTTTTTAAATTGAATGTTTTCCCTTTTTCAGAGAGTTTTCGAGTCAGTGTTTGTGGGAAAAAGGTCCATCGTCAAAGAGCGTTTCTCCAAGAAATACAGGCATCCTTCTCTTGATTCTAAACTCACTCTCAAGCGTTTAAACGCGGTTCGTTTTTCCTTTTTCCCAAACCAAAATTCTCCCTTTTTTCCCTTGCCTATTCTATAAAAATCAATGAAATTGTGCTTTGTTTTGTTTCGTGCAGGAAGCTAGGTCCATGACAAAGGCTCGGCGACTTGGCGTTTCGACTCCGGTTCTTTTCGCTGTCGACCCTTTGCTCCATACTCTGACGTTTGAGTACGTGGAAGGTCCTTCCGTTAAAGATGTTTTCCTTGAATTCGGGTTAACAGGCGTCGTCCAAGAACGTTTAGATGATATCGCCACTCAGATTGGCGACGCAATTGGCAAACTGCACGACGGTGGACTTGTTCACGGTGACCTCACCACGTCAAACATGTTAATCAGAAATGGAACTAGTCAGCTTGTCAGTTGTTATATTTTCCTTAATCTGCTTTTGCTCTGTATTAGTTAAGGTCAATTAGCTTTCGTAATCTCAATTGCCTTTCCTTTTTTCTTTGTTTAGGTCCTTATTGATTTTGGTCTTAGCTTTACATCAACTCTTCCAGAAGACAAAGCTGTTGACTTATATGTGCTGGAACGAGCCTTGATTTCAATGCATTCTTCGTGTGGGAATGTGGTAAGAAACAAAGTTTTCTCTTTTTTTTTTGGCTTTAGTTTTGATGTTAGTGTCACCAACTCAAAACTGCCATTTTCTTCTGGTCTCATGTTTGTGTTTGACAATGAAGACATTATGTGTGGAATCATTATATGCAAAAATAAGGAGTAGCTTAGAGAATCAGCATTTATTGGCAATAATCTGTCAATTTTGATTTGGCTTGCATACCATGATGAATTTGTTACCCAACTGGTTATTAAATCCCAACAAATTGTGGAATTTAAAGCAGATCCTAAAGGGGTCATTTGAGCGAGAATTTGTTCGAGTTTACCTAGAAAGTAAAATTCATAGTATGTTGTCTCGTTCCTTTTTTAAATTCAAATGAGAGTAGAAGCATATCATCTTACGGGTGCTTCACTTGATGCGTAGATGGATCTTATACTTGCTGCATACAAGAAATCATCAAAGCAGTGGTCTTCCACGTTTAACAAGCTAGCTCAAGGTATACTACTTTGTCTGATCCATTCTTTTAGCTCTACTTTTTGAAGTTTAGTAGGCCCATCACCCCTGCCATACTCTATGCCATCCCTAATCTCATATCTTGTGTTCTTGTTGTTTCACAATGAACTGCAGTGCGACAAAGGGGCCGAAAACGCACCATGGTTGGATGAGCCTCCTTCATTGGATTATAAACTACGAGAAATCTGTTGAGATTGATTAATGCAATGGAAAAAGGTGGTTAAAATCTTTATATTGTGAATTTTCTGTATATTGCAATTGTAATGCACACGTTTGGAGCATTGAACCTAATAATGGTGTACAAGTACATGATTTATTTTGCTTGGGATCATGTAGGTTGGACCCAGTCTTTCAATTCAGAATGCTGAATTCCAATTAGCTTGCCTTAGTGTTGGATAACTTTGATTGCGTTCAAGTGATAAAAGGCATAATTATTCTAATCAACAAGCTATTTGTCACGGTCTGCTGAGATCTAAGGCTGAAATTGTAAAATGGTGGATCTTTCTATCTATCTATTTATATATATATAAGCAAGATGACACTAAAATGTTCTTATAAAGAAACTTTTTTGGCCAGATTTTGGTAGACCTGAAGGATTTCCTTTCCTTGAAGTCGTGGTCGTGGGCCTAAATTGTTTAGCTCCTATTATGAGCTCACGAATGGTGGAATTTGGTGCTTTGGACTCTATAGCCATTGATTCCTACCAATGGTCCGGTCCTAGTATATCGAGTTGTAATACTTCATTTGGATTTGCAATTATAAACTCATCCTAGCATAAAACTTTACTAGCTTGAAGTGAAATTAAAAGGAACAGGTTGTAACTACTAGTCTACTAGTTTTCTACAACGATATCTTAAGTTTATAATTTTGCAATCAAATCATATTTTTTCATATAAGATTCTTCAAACTTGATTTGCAAAAATTGGCGGTCTTATAAGCCCACGTGAAACATGTGAAGTGCGGTTTCTTTGAATCTGTAACACTTGGTTAGTACTTTGCTTTCCAAAGCATTTATGTCTTTCACTTTCTGTCATCATCGTTCCTAAACATCATTAGAACAATAGGCTGTCTTTTCAAGCTCTATTTAATAATTCATTAGGGTGGGCTATTTCAATGTGAAAGAGGAACCGAAAACTTTTGAGATATCCCCCCAAACTCATATTTCAATTGGCCATGGTTTTGCAACAGTTTGGTTGATAGGCCAATTATGAGCCATATCGGATAATTCAATTAATTACGGTAAGATTGGGCGGCAAAAATGAAAGCTAATAGCAGTTTGATTGAGATTAAGGCTGTTTTCAATTTTGGATCGAATTGCAGTGGCCTAACAACTTTGTACTTGGTGTATGTAAACATCAAATTTAAACTTGGGATAATACACATTTCTAGAAGTTGGGTTTGGGCAGGTTTCAAAAGATGGGCAATGCTTTTGGAATAAGCCGAAATGGAATCTGTAATGAAGCTATGAACAAATTTTAGATAATTTTGGTTATGGACGTGCTTGGTTTCATAACTTTGTCACGCAATTTAGTTTTTTTTTTTCCTTCTTCTTTAAAGCCGTTTGCAGATTGAGCTGCCGGCTGCCTCTGCTGTTTTCGATCAATCAATCTCATGACATGATATTGTTTGCGTTTTAATTTAGTTTCTTTTTTATGGTCAATTTTGGTTTTCCATAATTAGGACATTAACATTTTTGTAGTCTTAGTTAGGTGATAGTACTTTAATTGGTTTTGCCTGGGGATGCAGTTAAAAGATTATGATCACAAGCTCTGATCGCTGCTTTGATGAAATCTGCCGAAAGCAACATCTTAACATCCATTCTGCTGCATATTTTGGCCTGTACCAATGCAAAGAAAAGGTAAACTAGTCAATTTCTCTTTAACCAACCATTTGTTAGCAACTGTGGATTTGAGTGCCTTTTGTGAATCACTTGGAAATTCCTTTCACAAAAATGGATTGAGTTCTTGAGTTGTTAGTTGTTAGATTTTGAAGGAGCATCAAAATAATGTTGACTGCAGCAAATGAATTGTTCATGAAGGGAAGCCTTGACAAAGGTACAAGAAAAATCCTCTATATGTACCTTTGTAAATATAGATTTTGAAGGTGCATCAAAATAATGTTGACTGCAACAAACTTCAACCAAAGTTTTTAAACATTTACAGGAAAGCATTGATGTATTTTGGTGAATACTTATAATGGCATGCGTTTGGTTGAAGTTGAAATCAGTCATTTTAATGGAAAATCGAAAGTCGCTTCTTGGAGTTCTTTTCTAGTTATTATTAATGCTTATAGGCTGGTAGAATGATGTTACACTTAGTTGGTATTCAGTAATAATGGAGTTACCAGTGGCAATTAAGAGTAACAAGTTTAGAACATCACTACAGTTGCGCTTTTTACCTTGAACATACAAGGATCAGTTAACAATGAAAGCTATGTGATACCAATAGTTATTTTATGGTTTTTTAAGTCCCATTAACCTTCCTTGGCAAGGGATTTGCTTAGGAAATACTGCTTTTGAGTTTCTACTACCATTTGCTTCAACTTATTTTATCAGTACTGAACAGGGTTTTCTCTTTTCTGCAACATCTTTGCTTAACTTGATTTACAAACTTCGTTGAAGTTTAAACACCAATCTTTCTTATGTACTTGAATGCATCAAAAGTCAAAGAGGTTGCCACATGCCTGATGGCCAAATTTAGCAATTGAATATTACATGTTAGCAACAAATTTGAAGTGACATCTATATATAAGAATCCCATATTGAATAGGGAAAAAGATATCCATCTGGGATCCAGCTGGTGTTTTTCCTTGGTTTTTTGTGGAGTTGAGGTTGTTTAGGAAGCATTTTGATTGTTTAGCAGGTCGTGCAATGAAATCTTGATCTCTTGATGACGAGGTAAGAGGCAAAAGTTTAACACAAATGACTCAGCTGGCATGTAAATACCACATCCATATTCAGTATGGCAAAGGTAGGAAAACCGCTTCTGCAAGATAGCGACTTCTTCAAAATTTATGTAAGTTGATCAAAGACCCTTTCAAGAGCTGATCCACATGAACTCTTTAAATTATACAGTCTCGAAAATAACGTGGAAAAATGTATGATATAAAAACTGGAAGGAAGCTTATATGAATGCCAGATGGAGGGGGTTTGGTTCACAAAGTGATGATACGGAGGTGGCCCTCCTGATTTGATGGGTGCAACATCAAATTCAGGGTTGGGGAAGGCTAGGGAAATAGGGGATAAAAAAAAAAAAGAAAGAAAGAAAGATAGACAATGACAAGATCTTAGTCTAAGGTCAATGAAGGTAGCTGAGGCCCAACGTATTGGGTGAAACCACCCTTTTCTTTACCTTCTTCAAGTGAAAAGCTTCACATCAATATGAAACAAGTCAATTTCTTTCATTTTCCCTTGTGGGTATGGGTGTACGATAAAAGCTTTCATTATTTTCTTATCTTCAATTCAAAACATCCCCATTTTTGCCTCTTCTGTGCTCGCTTGTTTTGGCACTAAAAATATCTGATCCTTACATTCCTCCATGTGAACGCATCTGAAATTGAATTGATATTCAAAGATCATGAGCATATGTAAAAAGAGGAGCTGGCAATATTATTGGATGGTTCACGTCCCTTGTAGTTTATCTTAATGTTTCTACTTTCTAAGAAGGAACCCTTCTGAAACCACATGGACTGGGCTCCATACTAATACTCTTTTCGTCAATTGATCAAATGCACTTTTTCCCCTTGAATGCCATGCTCCAATCTAAGAGTCCCTCATTATCACATCACAATTGTGTTTTATGACTAAAATCTTAAATCATTCATAAATTTATTTTTAAAAAAGTACATTAAAAAAATCTTAAAAAAAAAAAAGAAAAAGAAAGAAATTGTAATGATAGTATACAATATACTATTTAAATTTACTTTTGTAACATCAATTGTTTTTAATTTTCGTATATGATGAATGTCTATTATTAGATGAACAATACAAAATCACGATGATGTATACTATGAACTCTACGTATTTGATACGTATGAAACCTTGCAGGGGAAATGAGAGACAGAGTCTAACATCAGAAGCTAACATCACCAACCAAGTTTTCAAGTACACACACACAACGAACAAAAGAAAAAATGGAGGTGGTTTGGAGATACGACTGTCTTTCGGCAATTGGTTAAAGAAAATGAGATAAGAAGAAAGCTTACCCTTCAAATATGTGAAAAAGCAGGCTCGTACAAAATTGGCCATCTTAAAAAAAACGGTTGGTTACGAAAAACATTGTGGTGTAAAAGAGAGGTGGATTAATAGATTGGCCAGTTTTTAAAAGCTGGAAAGAAAAAAAAAAAAAAAAGCAAAAGAAACAGAAAAGAAGAGAAGAAGAAAAAAATCTAAAGGTTCTACAAGAGAAGATGCTTTGCCTAAAGTACAAATTAAAGATTACCCTTTGACTGCCTGCTCTGGTTGCTATATGTATGATGTCCCATTTAATTATCAAGGATGGCCATTTTCTTTTGTTTTAATTATTTTTTTTCTTTTCATTTTCCAGGACAATTTGATTAAGATTGTGAGATATAATTCAATAATAAACATGATAAGATTCAAGGGTTCTCAATTGTAAATGGTAATAGGGTCTGTTCACTTAGTGTTGAATTTTTAATTAAAATTATTATAAATTAATATCTAACAGTTTTAAATAAAAATTTCCATTTATAGCAGTTTAATTAAGTGATTAAAGAAATGTTTGGCCAAAAAAAAAAAAAAAGAAACAAATGTTTTGATATTCATTCAATGATCGGTGATTGCATCTTCATGTGGTGGTGGGTTTGAATATTTATGGTCAAACGGGCTGTACCAAGTTACTAGCCTTTTGGCAGGTTAAAAGAAAATGGAAAACTATGGTTTCTTTTCAGAATTGATGAGATTCTAACTTATTTTTCATAATTAAATACATATATGGGCATTCGAACAATTACTAGTAAATAACAAACGGTGGTCCTTAAAAATCCAACAATTTTACAAATTTCTCAAAACTACAGTCTCTCACTTAAATAAAAAAAAATTGAAAAATACAAGTAGTATTACTAATCTATATCAATATTTATGCTCTATATAAAAGGATGGATTTTAAAATTATAAATAATGAACTACATTTATATATATATATATATATACTCTTGATAAAAAATTTTAAATTATTTTTTTATCAAATTAAAATTTTTGTTATATTTTATTTATTTATTAAAATATATAATTTTCTTAATAAATTAAACATTAATTAACCTTTATTCATCTATTGTTTTAACCTAAGATTTGGATTATAAAAGAAGAATCAACAAATTTTTTTAAAATATATTTATAAATGAAACTAGCACAAAAAATGTAACAAATTTGGATGGGCCCATTGCGCTTTAATTTTCGATACAGCTTTTTCCCTGTTTACATCAACTGTACTATATATTGTGGGGATATGTTGCCATGGAGAGCTTCCACAGTTGCATCCGTCATATTTATGATTTTATGTTTCTACACTCACCAGGCATCTTTATTTTTTTCCTTTTTTTTTTTTTCTTTGTGGGTACTTTAAACAATTATTACCTAAATATTACCCTTTACGTTTTTTCCTAAAGTAGTTAGCCCATTTAATTTTAGGTATTCGTATATGTCATAGTACACAGTATACGTACAGTATGATATAACGTTAAAGGATAAAAAAAAACTAAAATTCAGTGTAGGTTAATTGAAATTTATTATATATGACTATATAAATTAATTAAATTAAATATTCAATTCTATTTAAATAAACTTTAGCATGTGTATTTTAATTTCAAAAGATAAGAATAAAAACGTAATTGGACCGGCCAAGTTTCCCGAACTCCAATTGGTTTCATGAACTATTTTTTGTCTGGTTTAACATTATTGTTTCCAAGCATGATACTTAAATAGTTTCCTAAAACATCTTCAAAGGTGAAGCAAACAAACAAAGGACAAATCTCCACAAATGGATGATAGTCTTCCGCTTGATTAGATAGCAATGATGAACAAAATGGAAAAGCTAAAATACACTAACTCTCACTCTCTAACCCCTGCATTGCAAAATGGGTAGAGCCTTTAGACTCGACAACTATGACTTGGACAAGTCTTCGACAACTTATAACTAGGATCAAATGGCTACAACAATGTCGATGGTGGAAGCTTCCCTATTAGCCTTAGACTAGTGGATTTTTGTATGGGTGTTCGTCAAGGGATTCCCATTTGGGGAGAACAAGGTAAGGGTTCCTTCGGAGTATTTTGCTTACTTTAATTCTAGATAAAGTGATTGTTAAGAGCTTTGAGAAATGGAAAATGGAGGGCTTTGCTTAATGAACCGGACACAGTCTCCCACATGTAGCATGTGTTTTAAAGATTAGTCAATTAAAGAAATCGTTTGAAGCCTTAAACCAAGAATTTACTTTTGTTTAAGCTTAACAGTAGATGGTTACACAAAACCCTAGGAGATCGCGTGGGTCATCATCGAGCAAGTTGAATTAGGTTTTAGGGACCCCTCAATGGCCTAACAAGATCCTATTTACAAGTGAACAAAGTAATATATTTTCGGAAGAAGGAGCTTTCCAAGCACCAAAAATTCGCATTAATCTATGCTTGAAACGTGATTTTATGCTTTTGTGGCACATGAAAATTACCAAGAAACTAAAAAATTAGCACCAAATTTAGACTGCTTTGTTTCTGATGGACACAAGTCTAGATCGAGTCAAAAGAGCCTTCCAAATTGGATAGCAGGCTTAACACATTGACTACTAAAAAGCAACAAAGATGAAGGTTTTGAGGAGATTCAAATTCAATGCTTCTAAAGTTAAAAACACCCCAACAATTTGCACACATTGGGGTCACAGCCTTCCTTGGCACAAAAATTCCTTCTATCAAAACCCCTAATCCTACACTCTACACCTATAATAGATGGATAGATGTCTGAGCGCCCAAAAACCCACGCTTCAGCAACAGTATTGACCCTCAACAAAAGAAAAGTTTCCCCTTTTAACATATTTCTCAAGAAACCAAGTATACTAATAATTCAATTTGACTTAAGGTGGAGTAATACTTTGGTCAAATGAGTAAAAATTTAGGATTTAAGTGTTGAAATAAATTTGATTATAGGGCTTGGAAATTTCAAACAATGAATAAAATTAAGAGATCCGAGTAGGGGTTGGATGTGGGTGGGTCATGGGTGGATGATATCTCCATTTCCCGTTTGCCCTTAGTTGGCCTTGTATTTAGGGGTAAAAAAGGCTCCATAGAATACAATAGAGTGAGGGAAGAAACCCAAGCTCTCTTGCACTTTATTCTCTTCAAATTTGATACTTTGCCCTGTCCCTGAACGAGGTTCTTTGTTTCAATAGAGCCAACTCAAAGGAAACGAAAAAAAAAAAAAACCTCTTTTCTCTTCTCTTTCTTTCTCTCTCTCTGTTATGTGTCCTACATTGTCTTGTTCTAACCTCAGAATCTCTTAGTCTTACTTCCACGCTTCAGTTGTTGTCCCTCTCTGTGCGTTTCCGTTTCAATTCTCCTTCAGTTTTTTTCTTCTCTTTTTCCCTCTGTTTCTCTCTTAGACTTCTCCAGCAGAAAAAGAAATATAAGTGAAAGACCAAAGACAAAGGAAAGTGCCCAACTGGGTATTTTTGGTTTTCACCTTGTTAAAAATGAAATAATAATGCAGGTGAAAAACTGGAACTTCCTTTGTTCCCTCACTTGTTTTCTCTTAATTACCTCAGGGAACAGAGGATCACCCTTCTCTTCTCTTCAGCTATCATTCAAAATTAGCCCACTTTTCTCCCATTATTTTCATCACAAAACTTGAACTTTCCCTCTTGTTTTTCTGAAAAGCCCTGTTTTCAAGATTCTTTTTTTTTTTTTTTGTACTTTTCTATTTGTCTTTGTTTACGTTTTATCAAAGGGCGAAACACTTGAGATTATCAAGTCATAGTTGAGCCAAAAGAACCAACTTCACCAAATCGTAATTATTGCTTACAAATCTGGATAGGCTATATGAAAGCTGTGAAACAATGAGAGATGGGAGCATCAAGAAGAGCAAGGTGTTTTTTGAGACAAGCCAGAAACTCATTTGGTTCTTGTGTTAGCTTATTTTAAGTATGAGGTTGCTGATAAAGTTAAGTGTGTTTCCCTGATGAAGCTTTCATGGCCCAAGACATTGGTCAAGAAGTGGTTCAATATCAAGAGTAAAGCTGAGGACTTTCATGCTGATGATGTTGATTATGGAGGTGATTTGATTGGCTTTTAAATCTTCTGACTCTGTCTTCTTGCATGAGTTTTAGATTATAAATTTGGTTCTTGGATTTGGAATCTTTAGCCTTGTATATACCAAGAACAAAGATAGGATTTGTTTTGAAAGTGAAAACTGTCTTGATTTTAGATTCTTCTAAGCACTGACACTTGCATTATTCTATTTCTATGATTTTACTCTTTGTTTTATACAAAAATGTATTTAGGTTTTTAATTTCTGCGGGGGGGGGGTTTGATACTTGTCATTTGAGTTCAAGATCTGGTAGTTGTTTTCTTCCTCTTTCCGAAATTCATATTGTTTGTTTTTTATGGTGTTTGAATCTGTGAAATTGAAACTCTGCTGAGACAGGGTGAGAGAGCGCAGCTTTAACAACTTTATGGTTTTTCTTTTTCAGGTGTTGATGAAGATTGGAGGCACAACTTCTCAGAGGGGGAGGCATGCACTATCAAGAAAAGTAGAACAGGTTCAGAATCAGACGCCACTATATTGATTGCTTTGGACCACACCTCTCTTTTATCTCACCTCTTCAGAAATTTCAATTAAACCAATATTAAAATGCTAATATTGTTTCAATCATTCCAATTTTCTGCTCCACAAACTTCTAATTTGTTACATGGATGCTAGAGAGATTGAGCAAGAGGTATTCTGATCGTGTTCGACGAAGTAAAATTGATCTTGATGGCTCCCAATTTACAGATGTGCATAATTATAGGTATGTGTTGTATTCTTAATTGCTTTCTTGTGTTAAGTTGCTTCTCAATAGGATTTGGTTTTGAGTGCGTTTTTTGTTTCCATATGGCGCAGGATTTTTGTAGCTACATGGAATGTGGCTGGAAAATCTCCTCCTAGTTATTTGAGTCTTGAAGATTGGCTTCATACCTCTCCTCCTGCTGACATTTATGTTCTCGGGTATGCCAAACTAATCCAGATTTCTTCTACTTTTCAATTCTTTTAAACAAACAAGATTTATGATATCAGCCTCTTGGATTCCTTAATTTGACCTTTTAGGTTTCAAGAAATTGTTCCTTTAAACGCTGGTAATGTTTTGGGCACTGAAGACAATGGACCGGCCAGGAAATGGCTAGCTCTCATTAGGAAGACTCTCAATAGTCTTCCCGGCACCAGTGGTGGTTTCCACACACCTTCACCAATACCTGATCCGCTTGTAGAACTGGATGCAGACTTTGAAGGATCAACAAGGCAGAAAGCTTCATCTTTCTTTCACCGCCGATCATTTCAATCCTTGAGCCGTAGCATGAGAATGGATAGTGACATGGCAATGACACAGCCCCGGCTGGACCGCCGCTTCAGTGTTTGTGATCGTGTTATCTTTGGGCATAGACCAAGTGATTATGACCCTAATTTGAGATGGGGTTCCTCTGATGATGAGAATGGACCTGGGGATTCACCAGGTAACACTCCGTATATGCAATATTCTCCAATATCCTATGGTGGATCTTTTGCCTTGGAGGAAAGCGATAGACAGGTGGGGCATTCGAGGTACTGTTTGGTTGCCAGCAAGCAAATGGTTGGGATATTTCTAACAGTATGGGTGAAGAGCGATCTTAGAGATGATGTTCGCAACATGAAAGTGTCCTGTGTTGGCAGAGGGTTGATGGGTTATCTTGGAAACAAGGTACATTTTTTCCTATTAAACTTCTCTGATTTGAGAGATTTTGTTGAACTAGGAATAGGGAGGCATACTCATTTCTTGGGTTTTCCAGGGTTCCATTGCTATTAGCATGTCTTTGCATCAAACCAGCTTTTGCTTCATCTGTAGTCATTTAACCTCTGGGCAAAAGGAGGGTGATGAGCTGCGAAGAAATTCTGATGTTATGGAGATCCTTAGAAAGACAAGGTTTCCCAGGGTTAATGGTATGGGAAACGAGAATTCTCCCCAAACGATTCTAGAGCATGAGTAAGCCTTTATATGTTAAATTTTGACTCTTTTAATGCGTGGCAGATTAAGATACCACATTTTGTCCCAGAAATTCCAGTCTTGTTAGAGATTTTGTCTTAGCTTTGTTGTAAAATTCTAGAGTTTTGAATGCCTTGGCACAGTCGTATTATATGGCTTGGGGATTTGAATTATCGGATTGCTCTATCCTACCGTTCTGCAAGGGCTCTGGTTGAGATGCGCAATTGGAAGGCACTGTTAGAGAAGGACCAGGCATGTTCTTATCCTTTTTCAATTGATTCTTTATATTTATGTCATGTTCATTTTTCATGGTGCTTTATGCTGCGATTAATTCCTATGAGAATTGCTCTATCTGAAAAATTGATGGTTTTCCAGCTTAGGATAGAGCAGAGGCGAGGCCGTGTTTTTGAGGGATGGAGTGAAGGCAAAATATATTTCCCTCCTACATACAAGTATTCAAATAATTCTGACAGATACGCTGGGGAGGATAGGCGTCCAAAGGAGAAGCGAAGAACTCCTGCATGGTAGTCTCTCTATTCACCTAGTACTTTTAAGTAATTGGGGAAATTAGAATTATGTAATTTATGTCCATGAGAAGAAATTGTCACATGATTTTGCTTTTATAAAGAACCATCGATCTGATAATCATAAAACAAGCAAGTAAGCAAGCTGATATTTGTGAAGGTGTGATCGTATACTGTGGTACGGAAGCGGCCTCTATCAGTTATCTTATGTTCGTGGAGAGTCAAAGTTCTCAGACCATAGGCCTGTATATAGTGTATTTTCAGCAGAGGTTGAGTCTATTAACCGTAGCCGAATCAGGAAAAGCATGAGTTGTTCCAGCGCCAGGATTGAGGTTGAAGAGCTATTGCCAAAGTCACATGGATATACCGAACTCAGTTTCTTTTGAGAGAATTTTTAACAATACTTATTCCGTGCTACACTTCCGGAAAATGACACAATATTAAGTACATGGTTGTATAAGGTAATTCATCTATACAAGGGAATTAAATGAATAAATCCTTTTGCTGTTGCTAACTGATTCCTGCTAACCTTACAATTAAAGCTAGTTCTCTTGGGCTGGTAGCAGGGTATCTTATACGACGTAGTAAAAGGTTTCATGAAGAAAATGCAATTCCCCCAGGATTCCAACCGTGCTTTCTCTCCTCAATCAGTCAGGTAATTTTACTTTTTCATTTGTGGCCAGAATAAAATATAAAGATAAAGTAAACTCGGTCCTAATTTGTCTTGTTAGTAGGAAGAAAAGGATACGCTATTAATGTCATGAGGACTTCTTTGGCCGATTTTTTTTTTTTTAAATGTACCTATAGATTTCAAGTCTCCCTACCATGTATTAATATCTCATATACCAAGTAAACATGCAGGCCTTTTAGACTTAAATCTTTCTCTCCTGTAGAAAATGGTACTTGGAATATTTTCTGAAAGTTTTGCTATAAAATCATGTCTTCTTTCCCTGTTAAAAGTGTTTTTAACTTTGAGAAAATCTGCTGCTTTGTTTTTTATTCTTATCTATTGATTGGTCCGCCATTTTACAGGTGGGTACTGCCCTATGTAAACTATACCTATGGTGGCGACAAAGACTTACTGCTGCCCGCAGTCCAAAAGAAGGTTGGTCCTTAACTTTTGATAGTTTTGGATGTAATTTCTCATCCTAATTCATTTGTCTAATTCTTTACATAACTTTTCCTGTTGCAACAGGTGCAAATAGTATATTGTCAATAATTCCCAACTTCAGAAGTTCACAGCATACGATTTCCTCACCACAAATTAAATTCCTAACTGCAAAATTGAAAAATCCAACATAAAAAAGGCATCCATGACTTTTCAATAATTTACAAGACAAATTAGTTTGTTCTTGTCCAAATTCCATTGAAACCTTTACTGATTGACATGGCTAGAGCATTTTCTTTAAAATTTACAGGTTAATAATGGATTGCTTTAACATCATATTTGTTAAAAGCTCTCCCTCAAGTCTCCACATGAGATTTGGCCGGGTGGGATCAGTTTTGGAGTGTAGAATTTCCATTGTTCTTAGTCTTCTACTGGTTTGCCTCTCTCAGAATCCGCTGTTGTAAATTACAGCAGAAATTAAGAGTCGAGTTTTTTTTTTTTTGGGAATGAAAAAAACAAGGAGAGATATAATGGAATCAATTGTCATTTTTTTCCTTTTTGTACTAGTCTTGGAAGATAAAAGCCTGGAGATGTGATGGATACTCATTGCTAGTGGATAAAAGAGAAGAAGTTTTGATTTATGTAATCCTTCTTTTTCTGTTGCCGCTATTAATTTAACTGATGAAGAGAAACTAGTTTGTTTGACTATCTCCACCGTTATTTTTTTTTTACTACATCTCAAACTGTGGCATGACGGTAAAAGAAAAGCAAAGAGAAAGGAGAGTTAAATAACAATCACTTTACTGTTATTTATTTATCGAATCCATGAGGCCATGCCTTTTCCAAAAGGTAGATGAATCCCAATAAAGCCTGAAACCTACTTATTCAAGAAAAATAAAAGGGCGAGTTTATGGTTTCAAATTTCAATAACATCTGCTTCAGCTAGTGTCATCACCAGGCATTGAAAGCCTTCTTCAACCGTCAGTGCAAATTTTAGTTAGGACCAAACTTGAAGCAATGTGGTGCTCTCTGCTTTGGTAGCCCTACTTGTTACTGCCAATTATTTGGTGCAGCGGTGGGTTGGGTGTAACTTATAGACCAAACCAAACCTTTGGGAACTGTCAGAAGCAAGACATTTATGAAACTGAAGGTGTAATAATTTCTTTTCTTTCGCAATACTGTTTTTGCATTTATAAGTCCTGTCCTGTGTATGTTTTTCCTTTTTTATTGGAACTCCAAGTGATCTTGCACTGTAAGATTAAGACATCAATGTACCATTCAGAAGTCAACTGTTTAAAGATTTTTTATTTCTACTGATTTCAATTCAATTAGCATTTTACACATAAAGAAACATTAATAGATTTTAAAGTTCTTTTTTTTTCCTTGAAAGTTGATAGATTAACAATTAAGCGAAGAAATGAATAGAACATTCTTTACCTTAAAACAAAAATAAGATTCATGATCAAGAGTTGGATTTGACTACTCTATTTTTTTAGTTTAGTGATTTAGGGTTCATATGAAATTGGGATCGAAATATTTTCCATCATTGAAAAGTGCATTTTATGATTAAATTCGATCAAATTGAACTATTTGACCCTAAGTGCTCCTCAAAATTACAGTTGCCAAAATAGGCTGCATTGTTGTTTGTGTATTAAAAAAAAAAAAAAAAAAGGAACACAAGGAATCGGAATGTAAATTTTCCATTGATGTCAGAGCATGAAATACCCTTAAGACTGCGGGACTGCAACAAATCAACTGCATATGTTACATCAGATGGTTAAAAGGAAAAAAAAAATGGAAGGAATTTTTAACCAAATAGCGGTTGAAAAAAAAAAAAAAAAGAACTCAAGACAACCCGCGCGTATGGCAACGGGTTTTGTCCCAAAGATATGTCACTCTCTCGCTGGTTTCCTTAGCCCACAATGCCTTCTTTGTTCTTGTTTCTCGCACGCGCAATAAGTGCCCGTGGATCCAATCCGGAAAAATGTTTTATCGTGTTCTCAACGCGTTATAAAAGGAGCGTGAATAAATATGGCAGAGTTTCATGGGATGGGACCAATTTAAGTGGGTTCTAATGAGAACCCATGTCCAATAAAATTCTGCCAAGTGCCATCTGGATTTTTTTTAGTGATTTAAATAAAATTTTCATAATTATGTTAATTTTCTCTTCTAATCAATTTTTTTTTTTTAATTCTTTCCAGCCGATCAAGAAATTAGAAAAAGTCTAAACTAAGACTTCTATCAATAAAATCGTTCTCAAGGTAGATAAGGGAGGGCCCTGTTTGGATTGGGTGTAAAGGAAAAAAACATGGGGAGGGGGCCCCTAGTTGTCAGGGGGAAAGCATTTAGGAAAAGGCTTTTTCTTGTCCAGAATTTAAGTAATTGGATTTTCAAACCTGGATTTTTTATCTTATACTAGGTTACGATTATAGCATTTGTTGCTTTCAAACGGGGAATTTCCAGCTTGAACTTGGGTGACATTCTATATATATACAGCCATGAGTGTTGAATCATATGAAATAGACAACATTCGGTTGTCATCATTGTCAAAACTGTAATTAAAACTCTTCTCATCAATTGGAAAATTTAATTTTTTACAGAAAAAAAAAAAAAACTGATTTGGATGCACAAATTTAATTCACTTGATTCAAATAATCATTTTTTAGTGACAATTATTCTTGTTTAGGCTTGTCATATTGCTTAAATGAGTAATTTACACTTTGTTAAGATCAATCCAAATTGTGTATTGCTAAAGCTTTAGTCCAACAGATTTGATACAAACGGAATTACAATTATATATACCTTTCCCCGCCTTTGGTCCAAAAATTAAAGCACAATATAATCCAAGTTTAATTGAATCTTTAACTTTGGTTGATGTACTTAGCAGCTAAAAAAGGGGACAGAAAATCTAAGTGGGGATGGAGGGGTTTAACAAAGCAAACAATCTGCCTTTAAAGGACATGGGTGAGTAAGGTAATCCAAGACAAGTGTGATTGTGTGAACAAGCCAAAAAGAAAAGAGGAGGCCGAGAAGAAAGAGAAGGGGAAGGCTCGTCTTCCCAAAATCCCACTTAATCCTAGACTGGTTGACTGTTGTTGATAAAATTTAGAGCAGAAAATCTGATTTCATTTCTAGGGTTAGAACCCTTTATATACAAAATACAATAGCGAATATAAGATTCATATGTTACATCTAAGGAATAGGCCAACTGTAATAAACACAATAATATACAAGATATGTTATATGGAAATACACATATTTTAACAACCCCTGATTCAAAATGAAACATCCGAAGTTTGAAAACTATATAATAAAAATGTGTGGTTGTATAGGTTTTGTAAAAAGATTTGTCATTTGTAATTTTAAAAAAGATTGTGGTAACAGGATTGTGTCTCCGTGTATGTTTTTTCTCATGAAATGATAATTTATTTTAATATGTTTTAATTCGTTTAAGTTTTGATTAAGTTGACGTGACAATTCAAATAGATTTTATATAAAATTTTTTAAATATTTTTGACATCTTTCAAAATATAATCTGTAAGTAAAAATAACCTTATCGATATATTTTTAATTTTGTTAGTGATTGGAATACATCTAATTATTCATAAAGATTCAAAGCTTCAATTTAATCAAATTAATGTATAATTAAGGACTAAAACCAATATTTGACCTTTCTTTTTTTCATAGTACATATATTTATTCATTTCTCTTTAGCAAAACAGTGAATAACTATAGCAGCTGGCACTAGTAAGCAAAAATCCAAGCATTCTTTCGGGGGAGAATTATCTTAGCCTAAAATATTAAAGGAGTATTTGAATTATTTAATTTTATTTAAATAAGTTTCTAAATTTTTATTGTAATAAAATAAATTATTATTTTTTATTCGTAGTCATATAAATCCTTACTTAAAAAAAGATTTATTTATATTAAGAGTTTATTTAAATACAATTAAAGATTAAAAATTTATTTAAATATAATTAAAGTGCTTATTTAAATAAAATGATAAAGTTTAAGAAATTTTTTATTATTTTAGCTATTAACTTACATACAAATGCGGACCAAAATCATGCAAGATTTGATTGCTATGTTAATGAATGATGAACTTGATTGGAGTGAACCACAAAACTTCGATTCAGTAGAAAGACGATTCATTGTCATTGGTCTAAGCCAAAGCTTTTTACTTTAGTACGTACATCCTATTTTATCATCAGAACATATATATCTTTTTCATAAAATAACCAAAACTGATGAATCCAATTACTTTCTCAAGAAAAAGAAAAAAAAAAAAAAGGCTATAACAAAAGGTCACTGGGGCAAAATGAACGTATATGATTGTCCAATGTCCTCTGTATGCCAGAATTGTTTGATCTGAAACGGATAGCGTAAGTTAAAAATTCCATGAATCTACTTCCCCGTATATTCCTGCATGTTTGTCTTCTGCCTAGTAGCTATCCAAGGCACAGGGCAGTAGCTGAAAGTAAGTGCCATGGAGAGCTCTTTCTGCCTTTTAACAGCTTTGGATATATGAGACTCATGTATCCCCACCACTTCATTTTGCCGACAATTGGGTTACTTCCAACAATGTGATTTCAATGATTGCCTGTTGCAGCGTTGGATTAGGTGTAAAATTGCTTATTGGTTGCTAGCTTTCTGATAGTACAGATGAATGATTTTGGCAATTGGAATACAAATCTTCTACATCAATTTTTGGGCTATAGCCAAAGAACAAACCCGATTGTTCCAATGGGTTCCTTTCACTTTACTAAAATATCTGCAATTCTCCAAGACAGCCTAATAAAACACCAAGACTTGGTGCATACGCATTTCATCATTTCCCTAATTTATGCTTTGAGGGCTTACTTTTTTTCACTTGATTCACCATTCTGCCTCCCAAAATGAAAACGATGGTTAGGATAAATTAAAAGAATCTGGACGATACTGAACATGGCTTGGACACAATTGGGCCATTTGGAAAGAGTTTTGACCATTCCTTAAACTTGTCTCATGTAGTCAATGTTATCCTAATCATGCTTCCCATTAACAGACGAAAACTTTGATTAAATTTATAGATAAAATAAGCTAACCCTTTTTATCTGTTCAGGAGGGTTCACATGCGAGGCTAGAGTCTAACTGCCTGCTTAGGAGACCAACTCTCAGCGATTATTCTGCTAAGACAGATAGCATCATTTGCAGTTTTCCATTAAATCCTTTACAATACTGCAAAACTTTGTAAATTCATTTGAGAGAGAGATCCAGCAAAGTATTTTATTCTCATTAAATTGTCATTTTCTTCTTCTCTGTTTTTCTTTTAGTTTCAAATATAAGTATTTCTTTTTTAGGTAAATTTGATAAATTATAGAACATCATCTTAAGTTTGGCTGGACATGGCCAACGGATGGCACCTCCCAAAACCTGACACCCTTGAGGGTAGCAACGTTCCAAATTTTTATTGGTTTTTTTTCTCTTTCTCTCCATGGCTCTGACGTCAGCCTTGGAGGGACAGAAAGCAAATGCAAAGGCAAAAGCACACCTCTCTGAGCCATCCCGTACCGGTTGTTTACGAATGCTGTTGAGGGCTGCAGGGGTTTTCGCTCTGGCAAGTGAAGAACACGTGACGTCAGCCTACGAGAGAGGGACTGGGGTCTGGAGGGAGGGGGAGAAGGCAGAAAGGGAATTCTTTTGGGACCGTACGATATTGTATGAATTGACGCAAATTTGAACTTTTTTGCAAGAAATCTAAGTCCATGGGCGGATGGCGCATGTGGGATGTGCATAACCATGCGACGCGTGAAAGCCTTGCAGCAAGGCATGTGTGCATGGGAAATTGCCAAAGTAGCTTTCACTAAATGCAGAAACAGGCCAATGGACGTTTAATAGCCTCTTTGCATTTATTTTCAGTACTGTACATTCATGTTTGGGTTATATGAGCCTAACTTAGATTAAAAAATCCATCCAGGTTAAAAAATAAGCCACCAAAACATGAGTAAAGCAATTAAGTATATGACAACTTTGTTCAATTTTATTGTAACTGATCCTGAGTATTAAGGATAAAAACTAATGAAGTGCATGCTACAATATTTATTCACCATTTTGATAGTAAATTTACCATTTAAAATTATAGTGAGAATGAGTTGTGATTTTTTAAAGACCTGACAAACTGTCCTCAAGCTTGAAAACAACATCTCAACATGGGATTCGGTCTTTTGTTGTCCTAGCCTGGAGACGCCAAGTTACCAATGCAAGGATACCTTCCTCTGTCCTCCAATTTCTCAAATCCCACCATTGAAAATTGAAACAATGAAAGCACCAAAAACAGATTTCTCTTAATCCATACATCATCTTTTACCTCATGACAAAAGGTCTTTCATGAAGAATGCGTTCCGTGTGGAGAAGTGTTTTGCTTCCTAAGATTATAGATCAGAGAAGTGAAATTCTTGTATGCAGAAAGCAAAAGCTGAAACTACAAGCAAGTAGCTAAGCAGATCCCCTTCAGAAATAATGAAATACGTATCTAGGAAAGATAGGTCATGGCTTGAATAGAACCGATAATCGATATGGAAAACAATGAGAGTGAGATTTAAGGCTTTTACATTGCAGGGTACCGAATTAAGCATTGATTAGATAGAAGTAATGTCATATTAAGCTGTTTTTTTGGACGCAAGATTGTTGCTTGTTAAACAAGGTGTCAGTGATCAGTAATCAGAAATCAAACAGAACACAGAGGAAACACACGACGGTTGGTCTGTGAATGATGTTAGATTTTGATTTTGGTAGTCAACAAGGCAACACGTCCAGATCTCTTTCACTAACCCATCACTTCTTTCTGTCAATAATTTGGCCCTTTTTTGGGGTCAACCCTCGTTTCACACAATGTCCTTAATAAACTCGACTCTCGTTTTTAAAAGTATCTCGGATTCACCCAGCCTATCGAGGAAAGGAAAAGGGTATCTTCAGATTTGAAAGAAGATGTAATCAGGCAACCGACGGGTGCCTCGTCTAGGGGTTTTTTCTGCTACGTACCATCTGAGGTAATTTCATTGACTACATGCTGATAGCGATTGCGAAGTCTACATTCATTGAGTACATTTTTTATTTGAAGGGTATCTATTTGGGCTCATAGGCCCATCAAATGGGCCATTTGGTTAGCATCTACATCTAACTGAACAAAGCATCCTTGGCCCGTATGCAGTGCAGCATATGAACAAAACATTCTAATGGGGCCATATGGTTACAATCGAGAAGCAACTGAGAATTGGATACGGAGCATTGCCAACTTCTCCGAGTTGAATGATGGACTTCAGGTTAGGTAGAGTCGAGAATTATAACCAAAGGCGAGGTAGAACCATGTACCAAAAAAATTTTTAAAAAAAAAGGGCAAGGAAGAACCATAAAAAAACAGTAACGCCCCATTCAGAGAGTACAACAGTGTCATGTTAGCTTCTTGAACACATCCATGAACTCCTAAAATGATAAGTTTTGTCAGCAGAATAGAATTTGTCATGCTCAAGCAGCACAACATCCAAAGAACCTACAACATAGACTGAAAAGCATCTTAAGACTGCAATATAAATCTAGAAGACAATGCTTCACTTTGTTAATTCATTTTTGGGGCTCAGGATTCCAGGCAATTAAGCTACAAAAAATGGGAGTCATATGGAAGGATCAAACCTCTAGTCGTTTTGAAATGAGTAAACTGCTCTACTAATGTTAAAACCCAAATTTGATGAATGAAATGAATATCAAGCACAATTTAAGACTTCTGAAACGATAATCTAAGGCTAATTCTTTTTTAGACAATACTTTTTGCACATTTAGTACACTTCTCAAACATATGATGAATTGTCAGACATCATGCATATTTAAATTAGTCATATTCCTAGTTCATACTTGAGAGTATAGGATGTTCATGAAAATATACAGGCTTAATCATAAAATAAGTAACAGAAAATCGAAATGAAAATAAGAAAAATGAAATTGGCCTTCTCAACATAGAAAATTTCACTAAAATGCATTGAGAGAGTAGAGAAGAATCTATGACTGTAACCAAATGATGTATGAGTGAACAAACTATCACCCAGAGCATCAGCATTTGTAAAGATAACAAATATCATGTGATACCATCATAAATTCTGCTTCAAAGTTGAAACGAAATGTTCAATCCTCCAAAAACCTAGAGATTTTTTAATCCTAGAAAAAATCAACTAGTGCAACTGTACACGACTGATGATGTGTCAGCCACGATGTCATCCCGTGAAGAAGTGCACGCCAATCTCAAAAATTTGACAAGCTGTGCACCACCAGAGTTGGTGAACTAACTAAATATTTAGGAAACAATTAAGATGCATACTTTTCCAATTGAGCACCAGCCTAATACTTCAAATCACTCTTCCAGCAACAGTCTGTCTTTGTTCCAGTTGATTGTTTAGAAACTTAATCCATCTCATTGTCAACGGCAATCTGTTTAGTACGGCATTCAGGAGTGCAGAATGCACGAAAGTCACTGCATTATATAACGAAATTCAGTCCAATTATATAAAATTGCAAGTGTCAATAAAATGTCAATAATATGCTTCACAGAACTCCAACTTGAAGACATGAATAGAAGAGAATCAGAACTTTGACTATGAAATTTTGAAAGTGCAAAGAAACCAGAGATGGAAAATAATGAAGTAAATTGAAGAATGGAATCTTCCATTAATTATGTGCTTATACTTCTGCAATTAGAGGGCTAACACCTAACTAAGAAAGAAAAATAAAACCACAGCCGAAAATGTAATTCATTACAATCATAACATCAATTATTATATATGAGCAGTTTTATAATTCTCAGAGATATCACTTAACTGAGCACGTGCAATTCAAATGTATACTTAAGTGCAATTGACAATTCACCATTTTCATAGATAAAAGAAAAGGAGGGAAACATAGAATCTCAATAAACTGAACATGTGCAATGCAAATTTATACTTAAGTCTAATTGACAATTTCACCATTTTCAGAGATCAAAGAACAAGAGGGAAACACTGATTCTCACAACTCAAAGGAATTTCTTCAATATTTCTTGTCATAATTTTCACACAAATCAAACAGCAAAAGAGAGTTAAAAAACACAAACTGAGACATTAAAGATAAAAAAACAACTTCGTGTAAATGTTTCACTCTAAGATAATGAAGATAACGGAAACGGGTAAAAGAAATAATAAAAAAAGATTCAATTTCCTATTTTTAGCTTCCAGTATTACTTTCCAGTTCTTTCTCAGCAGCCAAACAGAGAGTCGATAATATAAAACAATAAAGAAACTAAAAGATTTAGATAACAATAAAAAGAATCGTATGGTAAAAATAAAAGCGATAAACAGGAACATACATACCCGTACATAAATGTTTCATCATTCTGACGCAGTCCCTTCTTGCAAAAGAAGCAGTTGTCCAAGAAATGACTGACTTGCCCCGACCGCTGCCCGCTTTCCACAGTCACTTGCGGCGCTGGCAAGGTCAAAAGACCTTCCCTCGCCCTCTCCCAAACATTCTGCGGCGGCGCATGGGCAGAGATTATGGAAGGATTGATGCGTGAGTTCCAACGGAAAGCAGAAGCAGCAGCTGACGGAGGTTTGAGGATTCGGATGTTGCCGAAGCTAGTGGAGCCGTTAACACGAGAGCGCTTCATTGTTGGTGTGCCGTTTCCTTTTTCTCTTTCTTGAGAAAGGAAGTGAAAGCAGAGGGGAAATGTTAGGGGTTTTTTTTGTCGTGGCGTCTGAGCGGCAATAACGGAACAGGCTAGCTGAGAGAGTGTTTCCCTGTGTTCAGGTGGTTGGTTGCAGGGAGGGATTCGTGGCGTGTTTATATAGGATACTGTGGACCCCAGTGAAGGAGCCAACCAGAGCCTTTTTATGTGTATTTTTTTTTCTTTTTATATTATTAGTAGGATTTAGGAAGGCTTGAATTTGTGAAAAAGAAGATACCTAATTTGTTATTCAACAAAAATAAATATGGGCAGCATGGATAGTAAACAATGTCATTCTCTGATTTTCGAGAATCAGCTCTCATCATTGCAGCTCTAAATTACATGTAGCAGTCAGACGAATCTGGTTAACATAAACCAACCCATTTCTTGAAACCCAATGCCGCTTCCCTCTTCTTTAGTTGGGATTCTGTCTGGAATTTAGGAGCCTTGCCCTTATAAAGTGTTTTATGGTACTTCAAGAAGAGGGTCCGATACTTGTACTTGTCGATAAACATATTTCCTTTTTCCGTCATATCCACAACTTCATTTGCTCTAACAAAAAATCCACCCCTTACAAATGTATATAGAAAAGAATCCAGAAGTTCCTGATCGAATTTCATTGGGGTGGAAGAAGCAAGTGATTTCATTTCACCCCAAAGCTCCGTTACCTCGATGTATTTTCCTCCGATTGCAGCATATCCGGTGACCATAGAGTGGAACGTTTGAGCATTCGGAGCAAGCCCCAGACTCCTCATTTTCGCCAGAGCTTTTTCAGCATCTTGCATTAACCTCTTCGTACAGAAAAAATGGATTACATTATTCCAATCGTGTACTCCACTATCCGGTTTCTGCCCTTCCCTGATCTCTCGCAATAGCTTTGCCATTAACCCTGCTTCACCATTGCCTGCACATCCCTTAACCAACCTCTCAAATTCTTGATTACCACCTCTGGGTATCTTAGCCTCCTTCATCTCTTTGAATAGATGGAGTGCTCCTTGAGTATCATGCTGAAGCACCCTGGAGTGTATCAGTGCGTCATAACAACTGGAATCTAGTTGGATCCCAGCCTTCTGAGCATCTCTTAGAAGTGATGTGACTTCTCCTGGTCGGTTTGCTTTACAGTATGCTTTTAAGAGGGATGCATATACGGAAGAACTAGTTCTAACCCCAGTAAAACGCATCTCATCCAAAAGGTCATGTGCTTGATCTAACCACCCAAGTGAAATGCACGAGTTTATAACATGAACCAATGCCGAATCATCATTGGAAACTGGGGAATCTTCTTTCTCTGCCTTTATAAGAAACTGAGCCAAATCCTTGATCTTTCCGGCTTCAAGAAAAGCCTTAACCAATTTCACATAAATCTTTTCTGTTGGTTGGAGAATTCCATGTTCAGTTGTAATCAATTCGACTTGTGTCTGCAGCTTAGCTAGTAAAGTAAGAAGTATTTCCTTAGCCTCATTTCCAAGTTTAACAAAATTTCTATCTCTAGAGAACTCATCATAAGATATAATCTGACTCGCAATTAAACTATTGTTATGCAAGCTATTGGGTTCTTGTTGGCTCTGACTTGACCCAGAAACGTGAGTACCAAGGGGCCTGTTGTCATTTCCAGCAGCTTCAAGCACAAGTGTTGCAGCAGCTAGAGAATTTTGTGCTTCCTTTGCTTTCCGAAGCATTTCCAAAACCATATTGGAGGCAGAATCAAGATCACCAAATTTTAAATGGCATGTAAGCAAACAATTATAAAACTGCCGAAACTGAATATCAGTCAAGTTACAAGCTTCATCTATGTGCCTCTGAAGTTTTCTCAGCTTTTCTCTTCGCCCATTTCTCTCATATATATGTGCCATTACAATCAGCAAGTTTGCATCAACTTTTACAACAAGTCGAGGCATCATGTCAAGAAGCTGTTCTGCTTTCCTTGTTGTCCCAAACAAGAGGCACCCAGCCAAAGCAATGTTGAAAGCAGTAGTATTAGGCTTCATAGCAATTAAAGGTGCATTGCTCTTCTTACGGGGGTCCACCCTCCCATCCTGGAATAAGTAACCTATCTCAAGAATCAATTCAGCAGCCAGGTAAGCCCCAGGAGCCGTTTGTGACATGTGGGCCAAGATGGCTGACCAAGCAGTCACAGGAGGATATTGTTCTGTTTCTACCAATTTTCTCAGAATGGTTGATGCAGGAACTGACAAACTGCATTTGGCAAGACCAAGAGAAAGATAAATCAGAGGCACCTTTTCCAACAAGTTCTGTTTACTCTCCTCAAAGGCTTGTTCAACCACACCATAAGCCTTCTCAAGCCATTGAACATCAAGGCTTTCCGCAAAACCCGTCAGAAGCCTGTTCACAACAGATTTTCGAGGAAACCCTTCCATCTGCATGTGCTGTTCATACAGCTTCCATGTATCAATGTATCTGCGCTCATCAATTGCATTAAGTATTTCCATATTCAGTTTAGCTGGGTCTCGAGCCTGAACCAAGATTGTACCAGCCATTGTTGAAAATAGCATCAACCTATCCTTAAGACTTGAAAATGCATTTAGTGTCTTTAAGTTGCTCGAAGAGGAGTCAGAGGTCCCGCAAACTGACCTGTGACTCCAATAAACGGGGAACTGGCATCTGCAAGTCCTATCAACACTATAATGCCTATGATGAAGTAAGGCAAATAAGAAAGAAGAGGAGACAGCCATGACCGGACGTCTCATTTTCCTCATGGAAAGCAAATTTCCAGACATAAAATGTTAACATGGATCAGAACCTGCAACATTAACAGAATTTATGAGAAGTCTAATTCACTGAAAAAATTGCTACTTACATAAGAGAGTTCAAACGCACATAAAGCTAACTGCTATTCACTACAAATAAAGGTACAACGTAGCCAGGAGCAATCAGCATTGTTACTTGCAAAGAAAATGGCTGATAGTCTAAATCGATTTTATCAAAAACAACTTTTAAAGCAAAGAAAGTAACAGTAACAGTTTTAACTTTGAAGCAAGGAGAAGCTAGCAAGCAGCAGTCCAATCCTCGGTGAGACATTTTTTCAAACAAATCAAAGACATGATGAAATTGAACATACGTTTGCACAAAGAGACAAATAAATAAAGGGAAATAATGAAACTTACAAAAACAGTGTAAAATACAAGGTGGCAGGCAATCTTTAGGGAAGGTTCATCAAAATTGGCACAATGATGCAGGTGAAGCGGAAATTGGAAAGGAAGGAGAAGTTTATTGCGCCTGCTCGCTGTTCTTCAAACGAAGAGGCAAACTGGGCTAGAGTAGAGCCTGGAGTATTTATTTAAACATGGGCCCAAACCCAATAATAATGGATTTTAATGGACCTCTTTTTAAATGCCACGTGTCGTGTGAAGGAGTTTTGTTTATCCATGTGCCTTTGTCACACCTGATCACTTACCCTACTTGACCAATCACCCTCTTCCTTCGAATTCTTTAAACATTCTCACCGCCTTCTACTCTCTTTTCGCCTTGTTAAACCTTGTAATTTCAGAAGCGGAAAAGTCGGTGGGTAAAAGCACAGTGTGAAATCGCACATTCCAGAAAATTAAACCAAATTAACAGCCGAAAAATCAAGAAATAAATCTCTGGGAATTCTTTTTTCTTTTGCCGTGATTTTGAACCCTGATCGACATGGTGAGTATAATTTTCTTTTTTTTTTTTTGTAATCGAATTCATTTGCTTACTTTTTGCTAGAAATCTCTTGGTTTGTTAAAAGTTACGTTCTTTGATCGGTTGATTTCTCACATCTATGCCCCGGAACTGAAATTTTTCTTTTTTTCTTTTTATTTTACATATTGTTCAAATCCGTTCCTTTTTTTGAAAAAAAAATTGAGGTTTATGTGACAGTTGATGATTCTGTTTGTTGCATTTTCATTTTCTTTTAATTTTAAGCTTTTTTTCTGTTTTTCTTTATAGGATTCGGAATCGAAGCGCAGCACTTTATTGGTTGTTACGGATGATGAAGAGTACTCCTATCGTGCGCTAGATGTAATTTGGGATTTTGAGAACGAAGATCCCAGACGCTTCGAGTCACTAATTACAATCCAAGCTTCTTCTTTAGGTATTTTCTTGACTACTTATAATTTTGTAATTTTCAATTATATATATATATATATATATATATATCTTAGAAGAATTAAGTTAAAATTTTTTTTGATGAATAGCAAAAATGTATGATTTCACGATGAAGCAAAAAGTAAGAAGTGTGATCGCTGCTTTGTTATTTGGGAAAATACTAATTTATCTAATGGCTAATAATGCATATTCACCTAATTCCATGGTTGAAATTTAATGATTTTAAATTGGATATAAAATTAATTAAAAGGTAAAAATAATTTAAACAAATATTAACCGTGGATTTAGATAAATGTGCATTATTAGTCATTATATAAATTAGTGGAAACTTCCGAGAGGATCCTTTCCCTTGTTATTTTTCTTTTACTATAATTTTTTATTTGATGACTTCATTACTCATGTGTGGATATATGTTTTTTTCCCTTGGGGATTATCTCAGCTCGGCTGCCGCTAGAATCATCCTACACAGACCAGGTCCTTTACATCACGAGAGGTGAATTTCATGTTGATGAGTTGTATCCCGAATTCTTTAGAGTTTTGATGCCTGGTGGGATACTGGTGGTTTACCGGAGTTATCTGTCTGATTTAAATGAAGCAGAGAAGGTATAAATTTTGTGGTTTGTGACTTTGATGGGATTAAGTTGTAGTAAAGACAACTTACTAGTGTTTCTTGCAGGTTATGTCTGGTATTGAGCACAAGTTATTATTGGCAGGATTTTTAGAAGGAGAACGTTTTGAAGTAAAACCAATTGCTGGCACTTTTGGGGTGAGTTTTTTTCCTGCTGCAGTTGACAATATTTTCTTTAGCCCCATAACTTCGTTTTTATTATTCTGGTTGTTATCTTAAAATGATAGAACAAAGAAGCATCTTCTATTTGTAAATGAGTGCAATGTTTGTTCACCCTTTTGGGTTTAATCCTTCTCATAGGTGCACTCAGCATGTATCCCTCTTTCCTCAAATAAAAAAAATCCTTCTGCTCTAATATTCCTTTATTGATGGCTTTATGAACTCTAATTTAGTCATTTTATTGTTTGTTATATTATTTATTCTGCCTCCCCCTATTAATATCTGTGATGAAGGAATGCTGCTTTAGGTTTTGTCTTGCTATTTTACTATGGGAAATGAGCCATGTTATGTTAATTCCGTCGTTCATTTTAGGTTCAGCATTATATTCAATTTATAGGACTTTTTAATGAAGCTAACTATTGAAATCATTGCCTCTTTTAGATTAAGGTTAAGAAACCATCTTGGAAGATTGGGTCTTCTTTTGCTATTAAAAAGTCCATGAAAAGTCCATTGAAAATTCAGATGAATGACGATTCAGATCTCATTGATGAAGATTCCCTCTTAACTGAAGAGGACTTGAAGAAACCCCAATTGCCACCTGGTAAGATGGCAAGACCAATAGTTTTTGGTTTTTCATCCTTTATATGGAAAGTTTTATGAATATTATATAGCATAATTTTAAATTACTGTTTCTTCAGTTGGTGACTGTGAAGTAGGAAGCACAAGGAAAGCTTGCAAGAACTGCACCTGTGGAAGGGCCGAACAAGAGGAGAAAGTGCAGAAGCTAGAACTGACTATGGATCAGTTGAACAATCCTCAATCAGCTTGTGGCAATGTATATCTTGTTCTGTACTCTGATATCTGGTTTGGTTTGGTTGATTTGTATTGATTGTAGTTATTATGATAAATTTTTAGAGATTAGGATTCAGTTATGAATTGGTTCTCTTAGACTCTTTTTAATTTGATGCTTTTAGTTATTTGCCTTTTGCTTTCTATTTAATCTTTAGCCAAAAAAAAAAAACAAAACAAATTCATCAATAAAGCAAAGTCCTAGTTTATACTTTTGCTTTTCCTTAATTTTGAAACTATGGGCAGTGTGTACTAATACTTTTACCTTTCCATCTTTGTAATTGTGAACAGTGTGGACTGGGTGATGCATTTCGCTGCAGTACATGCCCATACAACGGTCTTCCACCATTCAAGCTGGGTGAGAAGGTAAGTTTCCTCTTGGTTTTTCTTGCTTCGTGCAGGCATTCTTGAAAGCACAATGTGACACACCTTATGCTTGCATTTTTAGCATTGTATCTGAATAAGGGAATGATTTCTCCATCCAGGTATCTCTATCAGGGAACTTTCTTACAGCGGACATTTGAACTTGAAGGGATGGGTTTTGGCCCAAATTTTAGTTTTTTGATACTTCTGAACAGTCTGCTGTAAAAGGTGGAAGACTTTATTTTCTGTGAAGAGAACATAAATCAGGAGTACATTTGACAAAAATACATGCAAATCTTTTTTAAGTGTGGAAATGGATATTGGATGGAAACATCCTTATATGCTAATAAAATTCAATTTGACGGAGCGATTTGCTCTTTTCTATAAATCGAAATTCCTTATGCCAATATATTATAAATTTTATTTATTAATGAATGTTATAAATATATAATTTTATTATTTACATTATACTTTCCTGAAGCCATGTTAGTCTTTTTTTTAATGTATATTTCATTATTTAGACAATAAAAATGTTTTGGTACAAAGAATTGAGTAAGAAAATTATTTTTTATTTTTAATTGAGAAAGAATTGAACAAAATCAAATAACATTTTATTTATAAAAATAAACAGTCTCTAATTTTGCATTTTGCGATTATAAAGCTAAGGATGGAGGATCACTTTGATGTCGTTTCATATTGATCGAGGAACTCTTTGATGAGAAACAACGTGCTATCGATCTAATAAATCAACGGTTTGTTTGTTTTTTTATTTTAATTTCATTTGTTCAACTATCCAATTATTACTATTGAAGGATAACAAATTGGATATCTAAACCTATTTTCCTGAAAGCCGTTGGCACATCAAAAAATTATGAAATAATTTGTCTTTGTTACCAATTTTATAATGACGTAATCGATTTGCTCTTGTAATTGCTACAGTTTAGGAATTTGTACCAAAACTGATGTTATGATGTGCACTTCACAGTTAAGGCAATGCAACCGGCCAGAAATTGAAGATAATTTAGATATAGAATTAGATTGTTTCATTTATCTCGAAACCTACGAACATCTACTTGCATCTCATAACACTCGTAACTACAAAATTATAAAACAAACCACTTGCCTTTGTAGCTCAGACTTGGAGCTCCTGATCTTAACACAACATGGAAGCTGAAACCCGTTTTCCATCTGTACGTCTTCAATTCCCCTGCTTTTTCGTCGTCTCATTCATAAGCTCGGCCTCTATGTTGTCTTGGTCCAGTGAAAAAGGCCTCCTCGTCTTGGTTACTAAAGATCTTATCTACCTCTTCTTCCTCGGTCTTAAATGCCAACTCGTTGGCTTCCTTCTCGAATTGCTGCACAATATTGCCCTTCCCTGTAGGGAATCCAAAAGGAACCATATCTAGATTAATAACCAGACTCTAGAGAGGAAGAAAAATGGCTGATAAAAAGAAAAAAAAATGATCATGTGTATTTGTTTACCTGCAAGAGGGTACCTAATATTGTTTTGTATATTGACCTCAAAACATAGAATCTCTAGATCCTTATTTATAGAAGCAACTGTGACGAAAGGATGCCCTGCAGGAACAACGAACACGGCATCGGGCCTCAGACGCGAGCTTAACTTCTGGTAACTAGGGCCACTCTTTTTTCGTCCAGAGCTTCTTGAATTCTGGCTTTGTTGATCACTGGACTTAGAGGAGACATAAGGACATGCCATATCGAAGTATCCTTCGCCTTCCACATCAATGGCTATCTTTGTTGCCCTTGAGTTGTAGCATAGGGCGGACATACATCCCTGAACATAATAAGAAAAAGGTTATCCCCTGTTGTTAATATTTTAGTGAAGAAATCGTTTTCTATGCGCACGCACAAAAACGAGGGAGAAATTACTTTGGTGATGTCGGCGTAGGAGACCCTGAGGTCGAGATCTTTGACGGGTTTGAAATCATCTGCATCAACTTCAAAGAGCTGACCATATTTGTTAGACTGAGAAGGGCGGTGCTTTACGAGGAGATTGAAGGCACCCACTGAATTGTTAAGCTAAAAGGTCTCGATCCAATCAAGCTAATAGAAGTATAATTAAATAATCGATCAATCAAACAAAAAATAATAATTTAGAGTGATTCAATCTAATCGATTTAAGTCTACAGATGAAAAAAATGATTCATTAATTATAGAGAATTATAAATATACATTAAATCATATCAATTACTCAACAATTAATACTCATAAACATTCTCAATCTTCTTTAATTTTATGGAGTATTCTCAACTCAAATATACATACCTATATGCATCTATACATCATATTTATGTATATCATCTCAATCTCCTCTAGTCCATTCCCATGCACTATATTTATGTAAACACTCTCTCTCTCTCCTCTATTCCACTCATAAACATTCAAACATACACACCCATAAGACATAAATCTCCCATAGTCTTATAGGATATCTATCTATTAAACCCTATAACTTTTTTACATCTTTTTCTCATATCTAATTTTACAGAGACTTCACATATTTATAAGCATGCTAACTTACTTATTAAGAATTTTTTGCTTTTCAAATTCTTCTTTTGTAAACCAAACTTACCTATTAAAAATTCTTTTTTTCTTAGAATTTTTTTTTTGCAGGTTTTTTTATTCATCAAGTAATATCTAACTAATCTCAAACAAATCTCTTACAGGATTTGAGTTATTATTCTTAACAATTTTCACTTTGACTCAAATTCTATCAAATTATTTATCTTTCTGTAAAATATTCTTGACTCCACTTACAATAAAAGTCTCACAATCATCTTCTCTTATATATCTTTACGTTTCACACAAATCAATATTCAAAATACGAATTTAAATTTCTTTCTTAAATCAAGCTCCTCTGCATTTACCTCTTCCCATAATTCATATTATGCTCTGATACCACTTGTTGAAAATCACCATAGTTTTGATACTACTTGTTAAGTTAAAAGACTTCAATCCAATCAAGTCAGTGAAAGTATAATCAAACAATTGATCATTCACACAATAGATAATAATTTAACATGATTTAATCCAACCAATCTACGTCCACGAATAAAAAAAAATTTACTAGTTGTAGAGAATTACAATCAATAGTTATAGATCCTCTTAATCTCCTTTAGTTCTATAGAATATTCTCAACCAAAACAAACACATAACTATATGCATCCATGTATCATACCTATGTGAACTATCTCAATCTTTTTTAGTCCATTCTCATGCACTATACATATGTGGACTCTCTCAATCTCCTCTAATCTACTTATAAACATTTAAACATATACACCAATAAGACGTAAATCTCCTATAGTTATATAAGATGTCTATCCTATAAAACGTACAACTCTCTTGCATCTTTTTCTCAGATTTAACCCTATAAAGACATCACCTATTTATAAACATACTAACTTACCTATTAAGAATCCCTTTCATTTTTAAATTCTTCTTCTGCAAATTAAATTTACCTATTAAGAATTGTTTTTCTTTTAAAATTTTTCTTTTGGAAGTTTTTTTGTTTATCAAGTAATATCTAACTAATCTCAAACAAATCTCTTATGGGATTTGGTCACTATTCTCAATAATTTTCACATTGACTCAAATTCTATCAAATCATCTACCTTCCTGCAAAACATTCTTAGCTCCACTTACAATGAAAGTCTCACAATCATCTTCTCTTGTATGCCTTTATGTTTTACATAAATCAATCTTCAAAACACGAACTCAAACTTTTTTTCTTGAATCAAACTTTTTTACATCATAGTTCATACCATGCTTTGATAGCGCTTGATAGGAATTATCACAATTCTAATACTACTTATCAGGCTAAAAAACATCAATCCAATCAAACTAGTGGAAGCATAATCAAATAATCAATCAATTACACAAGAGACAATAATTTAACGTGATGATATCCAACCGACCTATGTTCACGAATGAAAAAAAAATCTACTAGTTGTAGAGAATTACAAATATTTATCAAATCATAGCAACCATTCAACAATCAATACCCATAGGCTTTCTCAATCTCCTTTAATCCTATAAAATATTCTTAATCCAATAAAACACATACCCATATATATTCATGCACTATATTTACATGGACTCTTAATTTCTTCTAATCAACTCCTATACATCATACCTATATGGATCATCTCAGTCTCCTTTAGTCTACTCATAAACATTCAAACATATACACTCATAAAACATAAATCTTTAGTAGTCTTATAGGGTGTCAATCCCATAAAACCTTAACTCTCTTATATTTTTTTTCATGCCTAATCCTAAAGAGATTTCACTTATTTATAAGTATACTAACTTGCTTATTAAAAATTACTTTTCTCTTACAATTTTTCTTTTACAAGTCACACTTACCTATTAAGAATCTTTTTTCTCTTAGAATTCTTCTTATACAAGTTTTTTTGTTCATCAAGCAATATCTAACCAATTCTAAACAAATCTCTTATGAAATTTGAATCACTATTCCCAACATGAATCACCTTCAAAGGGCCAGATACCACCGCCACTGCCACCTTCCTTGTGGCTACTCATGGCCTTGATTTGTTCTTTGGAGCCATAAGGAAGGGTCTTTAGTCCTGGTTCTCAAACAAGTTCTCCAACTTGTCTCTTGAAGTCTGGATATAGTTTAAGAAATCAGCAAATCCTGGCAATATACATTCAAATTCAATACATAGTGTTAAATAGAGTGTGGATTAGGACTTACCTTAAGGACAGCTTCAAGAATCTCGGCGCTAAATGTAGTGTAGAATGATTCTGGTTTTTTACTAGCAGCACCAAAAAATACCTGCACCAAAAGAACTAGATCAGGAAAATAAAGCTTAGGAACTACATATATGCTTTATAATAGTGGAAAAAGTGGATTTACCTCGTAATGGCCTGGAAGATTGACGGGTTGGAAGAACTTGACGACATAGAGTTCGCATTGGCATCTCTGTTAATCAAATAAATGGGAGTGCCAGCACGAACCCTGATGATATCCCCACGTTCAATGTTGAAGCTCTCTCTCTTATCTCCATGGATCAATGTGATTGTTCCACGTCCTGTTATGAATAAAACGCTGTACTCAATTAAATTTGTTAACCATGTAGAAAGATTAAAAAGAAAACAAAAATTTAAATTTCTAGATGACGCAAGATTTGAAAGAAAGAATAACCTTCAGTAACAACATAGACAGCGTCAGCATCGAAATGATTTGGGACTACAAACGCGTTTGGATTGGCAACGAGGCGGGCCACTCGATAATTCTCAATGCCATGAAGAACATTTTACTTGTGTGTGAATTTGGTTAGAAGATAAACTATTCCTTGCTCTGTCTTGACTTCAGTAGAGAAATGTTCATCTTTAAATACGTAAGGATTGTGCTTTTCTTGCTCTTCCTCTTTCTCTTTTTTTGTCTTCCTTCCCTTCCCGTCTCTCCTGTTCTCTCCTCCATTTCTCCTGGCAACGTAGGATACACAGCTGCCTCTCCTCTCCTTCTAGTCTCACGCACTGACTCTGACACTCCCTCAATGTCTGGCCAGGATCAGGCCCGTGGCCACCTCCTTCTTCACTCTCCCGCTCTATTTTCTCTCTATGATAATCTTCACATTTTCTCGCACACTCTTCCTTCTGTTCCTCATCGTATTGTTGCTGGACTCTACATTGGTGCCTGCATTGTTTTAGCTCAGGGTCTTGCTTAGCAACGGCTAAGCCAGCATACAGAACCACAACAGACAGGATTAAAATAACGAAAGAAAGCTTTGATTTGGCAGCCATATTTTAAAATCTCACTTGATGCAGAGATTGAGGATGAATATTGGATTATGTATCGTGCATGGACGGTAAAGATAGTGGCGAGAAGACGGGTGTCCACTCTACGTGTCGAGGCCAGTCAATGCTGAATCGCCGCGTAATGTTTGTGTGTGACATGGAGAATTTTGTCTGATGGCGCTTGGCGTTGACACTGAGACTGTAGCGAGTGATCGCATGGCATTCTAGTGTCTTACGAACGGAGCCTTCACGTGGCCGTACTTTAGACAAAGCTGAAGGCAGCATCTGAACTTTTACGTTGTCGTTGTATGGATTATCCATCAGAGTTTTGGGGTGGGGTGGGGGGGGGGGGGGGTATTGTTAATTTATAAACAATTTTCCCCGATGCAAGTGACGTTAGAAGTATATATCACTATAATTGTAAACATTGCAATCAATATGTTAAGATCAGATGTGTTTCCAGAAAGGCTGCAGTCACATCGAGTTAAGGACAATGACAAAACAAGGCCCCTGGACCTTAGCAACTTAAATCAATCTCAGGCCCACGAATTCTTACGGTACGAGACCATACCATCAACTCTTAATTCGGCACCAGATGATGTGTTGGGCAATTCAAAATCCCTTTAGGACCTTTAGGACAATACAAAGCGGGGCTTGTTTCAATCAAATTCCTAAAGATCACCAACTCAGATACTGCAGTACATATTCATTTTCATGAGAAACTTGACAGATGCTTTATAGACACACAAGGAAGAAATTGGGGAATGGTAATTCATGCCAAAACTACATTTGTAAAGCGTTTAACCTTGGACGTTTAAATACAATCCAAAAAAATTAATTTGCAAGATCTGCCAACCAGATTAAACGCTAGATGCAAACCTTGATAAAAGTATTATTGATGATAGGTAAATGCCCCTGATCCATGGACCATATCTCAGGAGCCTCTTTGTTCAATATGTTTCATGCCTCCAAGGAGATCGAAAGAGGTTCTTTAAATGTCAGGCATGCCCTTCCCGGTCTTAGGATCGTATGTCTTCTCCAACACAAGATCCATGGGAGTATCCTTGGGACCAGCTGCAAAACATAACAGCCGAAATAAGTTGCATGCAGAACTTGGGGACTGAAAATTTTTTATATAAAAAATTTACATCACTGTCCTGTACAAGTTTCTTTTCTGTAACCCATTTATTACACAACAATCCATAACACAAATTTGAACTAAAAACTACATCTTCACATGTTTATCAACTAAAGCTGTTTATTGACAATGATTAGCAAGAGCAAATGCACATGATACCCTTGAAGGGATGATAGCAAGACCAAGATCAAACTAAACACGGCAAAAAAACTTACAAGCAATTACAACTACGGCAGGATAAGAACACTACAAAAGAAAGCATTATATTTCTGAATTTTAATGACATATATGCACACAATTCCCCAGAGTCATTCTTCATTTACACTCGATAAGTTGAGCCCCATAACAAACGACAGCTGACAAGCAGTGGTGACAGAAGAAAAACACAGAAAATATCAATTCCAACTCTTCACTGTCTTTGATATATGTTACCCCATTTGTTAGCAACATAATGCTATATGCCTTCCAGTATCACTTAAAAGGAGGGAATTGAACTCAAATCTCACAAAACTAGCCCCAAGTGATTCAATAAAATTTCTCCCCTCAGCCATTGACTACATCCAAACTACACGACATCTGTTTTACAGAATGGCAAAGAGTATACAGTGATAACAGTAATGAACAATGAGTATATAGAATGGCACATCATTCTGGTTCCTTGCATAGTAATCTAATTACAAGAGATATAAGGTCACCAAGTTTGCGTGTATAGGAATATTTACAGACTTAGTGCCCTAGAATCATATATTTTTAAAGGTTCTAGTAGTTTCAACTCTCAATTTAGTGCCCTTTCTAGACTGTGTCTATGTAGAGCAGGCTAGTCGTTCTAATTGTTAGAGTATATTATATACTATTGCAAATGGCAAAAGCTATGTTCTGGTTCCTTTAAGAACTACTTTTTAGCTTGTAGTTAACAAGATTCTATTTTTGACCAGTTTTCAAAGTCTTAACTTGCATTGATAGGCCATGGCCTTCTAAGTTAACATCTTGCGATACCATTTCACTGATCACTGAACTGATAACCAACTCAATAGATTTATGATTTCTAGTCATCAAATCTTTTGATAGGACATTTATCTTGACTATCTTATGACAATCTTATAGGCAATGAGCTGACTTTTGAATTCATATAATTTTTTTTTTTTAAATAATGGAAATGCAAAGACACTTTTCTTAATGAAAAGAGCTCTCCCTTATGCAAATTCCAAAAATAACGTGGAAATGCTAGCCGTATATGCTACATACAGTTGCATAAAGGGAAAAAAGACATTATTCCACTTAAATTGGGGAAGAGCAATAAGCATGGTTAAGTACCAACTGTAGGTCTTGGTGTTTTCCTTATCTTCAAGATCTCAGGGCGAGGAATTATAGACCCAGATGCTCCTATACCTCTAGATACTCTCACCTTAGTTCCATCTTCTAGATATTTAATTCCAACCTTACAAGGCTTCCTACATCAATAATAAACCATAAAAAAAAACTTTAATTTGTTAAAAAATTAATAATGATAACAAAAATTATCTTTCAAAATATGCAATCAAAATTAAAGCAAGTACCCAGTAACAGGATCAAGAACTTGAACATTTGAGGCATGAAGTGGAGCCTCAACAGTAAATATACCACCTTCATGACCTGGACCTTGCTTAATGTGCTTTTTTACCTGTAAAAAAAAGAGGTAAAACAACCCTTCCAAGTAAAAGAGCAAGGCCTATATCTTAAATTTTGAAGAGAGTCTGACCAGATTTTTCCCTTCAACAATTACACGATTCTGAGAGCGAACAACGCGTTTGATAATGCCAGTTTCACCTTTATCTTTGCCCCTGATTATCATTACCTGCCAATGAATTACAAAAAATATATATAATTGGTTTCGAATAATTTAAATAAAAAAAATGGAATTTTAGAAGCAGATGCTTACATTGTCACCCCTGAGAATTTTCCAGTGCCTGATGAGCTTCTCAGCTGCTTTCCAACCCATTGTAATCTTTAACCAAAAGCATCAGAAATTCAGATAAAATACAGGAAATTAAAAAACAAGGGAAGGCTATAGACTACCTTAGAGAGCTAAAGCACCGAGCTTTTGCCAATGATTTTGAGGATCTGGGTCGCGCACCTTCTACGTCAGGTTTTAGGGTTTTCTGCTTGTCCCCTAATGGATAATCGGGTTTGAGAGATGGCCCGGTTTCGCGACAGGTTTGGATATTGGAATTGTTCCTCTCCAAAATCCCAAAATGTTTGCGGCCCGTTTGATTTTAGCTTTGGGCTTTCCAAAAATGAGCCCGCTTCCGTTTTCTTTTCTTTTTTTTTTTCTTTTCAAGAAAGTAAATGATTGTGTTCTCTTCACAAAATTCGTCACATCACATTGCTTTAGGACAGCAAGTTCAAAATTACCCAAATACATTACTTGCTACCCATTTTTTTAATTGTTTCATGAAAGATTTTAAAAAAAAATTTCTTGGAAGAAGGTTCTTTTTTCAACATAATTACCGGCAAGTTGACACAACAGGATTATTTCTAGATCAAGCTCTTATACAACAAAATATAGGACGAACATGTCACACAAAATATAGGACGAAGTTTCATGTTTGCCGATTCTAGAACAATAAAACTAAATTTAGTAGTTGGTTCAATAATAGATGCATATTTCTTCCGATCAAAGAGTCGATTTTTTTTAATAAAAAATAATAATAATGAAAGTAGTACAACAACGTAAAAGGGGAAAGATCATGTAAAGAGACTGTAAATTTTTTTATAAACTTTAAGATTCGACTCTTTACTTTCATATTCTTATATCATTTTATCTAAACGTTGAACCGAAAAATGAAATACAAGAGTTCCAAGGATTAAATATATATATTTGACCAGGTAACCCAAGTCAAATTTTATTTCATAATAATGAACATTAATATTATTAAGAGGCGTTGGGGCGAACCAAAACTAGATCTCTTTTTGGAGCCCGGCAACTATAAGTTAATGTTGAGCTTGGCTGCAGCCTCCTTAGCCCCGCAATCAGCATCGCACTTCATCTCACAGAAGGTGTTGCCCTGGCCACCGTTGAGGCATTCCTGGTTACAGTTATTGAAGCATGACTTGAAACGATCGTCGCCTGCCTCCGCCGGATGCACGCACATTGTTGCTGCCACAACGACAATGCACAACAGAATACACCCTGCAACAAACCTGTTGGCCATTGTGTTTGTTTTTCTTCCTCTTCTTTGTGACCGCTATATGTTTTCTTATTCTTCTTTTGCTTTGATGGGGCACAGGTATTTGTAGCGGCAGAGAAACCTTATTTTAGTTAGTCATCCGCAAGATGGGCAACTTTAGTGATGAATATTAGAGGTTGTAGCTAAAATTATGGTTTTCTTCCAAATACCAATGAAATTTTCAAAATTCATAAATGAATATATGGGATCTAAAAGGCTAAAGAGCTGTTTAGTTATACCAACTAATAGAACAAATTAGTTAGCAGATAAATTTATGAACATGGCTTACTATTTCATAAGTAAAATCAATGACAGTATCCAAAACCTAAAAATGAACTCCCCCAAGGAAACCAATCGTATTGCAAAAGAAGTGGCAATTGTCATAAAAAAATCCAAATTTTAAATTTTAAATGGAATTACTTGAATAAATACGTTAAATTATTTATTTGAGGCCTTTAAGAACTTCTCCCTATTGGGGGAGAGAATGGGCCATTAAGCTACGGCGTTTTAATGGGTCCGACCCAATTGCAGGACACAGCTGAATTGAAAGCTCAAAGCTCCCGCCCCGGTGTCTTTTGATCTTTCCCGTATAGCAACGCGAGTAGACAGACACTTTTACAAAACTCGGGAGTTGCGTTTTAGGAGAAGAAACAGAGAAAGAGAAAAAGATGGAGAGCGTTTTTGGAATGGTGGTGATGGATTCACAGTATTGGCTGCCGACACATCGCCGGTTCAAAAACCCAACGAGAACAAGGTCATGGTCCTCGATTCCCGCAAGCTCTTGGCCGCCAGCGGCGAGAGCGGTGACAGGTCAATCTCTGTATATAAATCTTTTCTTTGTTAGCTTTGAGTCCTATTTTTATAACTTTATACTTTTTGTTTTGAAAATTTTATAGGGGCAGTTCACGGAATATATACAGAAGAATGTAGCCTTGTATCAATTCCGTAATGGAATTCCGTCGACCACTGCCGCTGCTGCCAATTTTACTGGGGGAGAAGTTGCCACTGCTTTGCGCGAGGTTCTGTTCCTTTTACCCATTTCTTTCTTTCATTCTTTGCTTTTTTTCTTTTGGTTGGTAATAAGAATAACATCCTAGTGTTCCAGCGTGCGTCCATGGACTGTACTTTCCCACCCACAAGTAGCTGAGGGATTCTTAACTATCATGAAACTGGCTATGGAATTGAATATTTAGCTTTGGAATTAAAAAAGTTGTGATTCTTTTCAGTAGTAATATTGTTTTTGACCTTCAGATTTTGAAGTATTGGCTCATGTTCCTTTAAGAAATTTAATTGTGTATGCATATCAATATGTATAAAATAAATTGACTTCTGTTATATGAGGTAGAAAATACAAGTGAATGTCATTCAAAGCCACCGTTAAGCTCAGATCATTGAAAACCAAATAAGCTCACAGATCTAGAACTTCAAAGAACAAATATAGAATATAGTTTTAATAGAACTCGAAAATTGTGATTCCAAACAATATTATGAGTACCGATGGATTAGATGCCGATTGCTGTAATGCTGGTCTAATCCCAGGATTTACTGTGGCTGAGGGAGCTTTTTCTTCTTCTTTTTCTTCTGGTGGTGGTGATGTAGGTGTCAGGTCCAGGGGACTATCAGATTGTGGTGCTGAACCTCTGCTGAAGCTCTGGAAGCTGACAAGAAAAATGACATTTTTTCAAGAAAAAAAATTCCAGGTCTCACGGTGTTGCTCAAACTGCAAAGTTGGTTTGGTTAATCAAAATACTGATGCAGATTACATCCAGGACTAAGGAGATGCGGCTGTAGGTGGAACAGTAGGTGGAAGAAGAAACGGAACAGGGCTTGGCAAAAAGGTTATTAACATTTTTTGTTGGATTAGACGGTTAGTCAATGTTAATGCAAATTGGTTGTTAACTGAAGAATGTATGTTTGATTAGTATGACAAAAATTCCCCGGTTATACACTTTCCACAATACTGTTAAAACTTCAGTGACATGGTTCACAAAGTTGTGAACTTCAAAACCGGCTTCAAAACTGTCTGTTTTCTTCCCCTTCAAATTGCTTGAAACCCTCTTAAACTGTAAATCCTTCCTTTCCGTAGCTTAATAGACCCAACAAGAACTTTACACTCATTTTATTACTCCACACTCTTTCCATTTCACTCACAAGCTGGAGATCATTGAGGCTGTGCAGCCTTTTGATTCAGAACTTAAACCAATTTCCACAAGTAAATTTTTTTTTAAATGATGAAATCACAAGCAGTTCCAGATAGGTAGTTTGGCATGTTGGTTGTAACTCTGCATTTGCCATTTTTTTTCCTGTTTAATTATAGTAACATATAACTTGGTTGATTTTAGCTGACGTGGCTTTGTTTTTTTCTCGGTTGAAGGAGTGCAACCAGCATCTTCTGAATAACATACAAAACAAGGGTAGGCTTGTTATCAATACCAATTGTCAAGTAGTCCAATATTTTAAGCAGTCTATGGTCAAGGGATTGATGTGTATCATAAACATTATTTTTCACGGAAACAGCATCTCGAGGGGTACTTTCACAGTGTTGCCCGGAAACCAGGCTTTTTGGCTAAAAATCAAACCTTTTTTGTGCCATTTGGCATTGACTTGTGATGAAACGGGCCAAAAGCCTGTCCACATTACAATCCCAAACGGGACCTTAGTTCTTTACCTACGGCACCGAACGGCTTTTTGAGAAATTTGACAAGTGAAATTTTGAATTGTTAACTTTAAAATAGACCTGTAATTGTATCACTTAATCTTTTGTGCTATGTTTGTAGCTGACCGCTTCTTTAACTTGTGTTTGTTGTCTTCGTTGTATTTTGTTTAGAGATGAATTCCTGTAAATGAGGGGTTTTTTTAATAATATTTGTATAGGCAGTATGATTGTTTATCTATATACATATTTCTTTATTCAGAAAAAAATAATTTATAATTTAATCCAAAGGCAAATGTCTGAATATTAGCTGTTTAGTTATTGAACAACCCTCAAGTTTAATAAGAGTTGGTCATCCAAATATACCAATCTATTTGTCACTTTTTTCAAAGACTTTACTATATAGCTTCAGTCGTCTTGTTTTCCTTTTCACTCAAATCCTCAGGTCTCCAAATCCAATCAAACAATTTGACTTCCACAAGCTCCATCTCTCTTCAATTTTCAAACATTCTAGGCAAACAAAAGTTCTAACAAGAGGAAATGGTTTCAAGAGCGCTTGAGATGGATCTAATCTATTAGAGAGATAAACTACATTTAGAGTTAATGGGAGTATACCAAATAACTCATACATATATATTGGACATCATTAGAGTCCAAAAGCTTAAACTATTAAAATTTTGGGTCCTTCATGCATATAGAGGATATCTCATTCAGATTTTCTAATGGTGTGGGATTCTTTACTTACATTTGAATCATATTCCAACAATCTTTCCCGTTCACTTGTGAATTTTGATCAAGTCTTATTTCGGCTTTCTCGTGCGAGTAAGTTCTATCAATATTTTTTTTAAATTAGGCAACCTTACATCTTTTAGTGTGCTTTTTGAGCCAGACCACAGTACTCAACCTTGCCACTTAGATTATTTTAGTGCTTCTTCAAGCTTACACTTCAAGTTAACTTAACACATCACCCACTTATTTGAGGAGCACCTCAAAAATGTGCTTGAGTTATGAAGTTTCAAAATCAATTTTAGAAGGTTTACTAATGCTGACATGATAAGTGATCTTAATGATAGGAAATTTACTTCAGGGTATTTGTTCACTTTTGCAAGAAGAGCTGTATCTTGGCAGTCTAAGTTGCAGAAGTATGTTGTTTTGTCAACTATAGAGGCTGAGTATATTGCAGTAACCAAAGCATATAAAGAAATGCTTTGGATAAAACGTTTTCTTTTTGAATTGAGGTTAAATCAGAAAGAGTATGTGGTATTTTGTGATAGTTAGAGTACTTTAGATTTGAGTAAAAATATCATATACCATGCCAAAATAAAGCACATTAATGTTAGATATCACTGATTATATTCATTGATTGAGGAACAATATATGCTGTTGAAGAAAGTTTATACTGATGAGAATGTAGTAGATATATTGACTAAGATACTTTCCACAGATAAGCTTGAGCTCTACAGTAACTTAGCCAAAATGAGTTCTTTGATCAAGGTAAGTCCTAAATGAAACTGCTATGGTGATAAATCTTCTCCTAATGGGGCTGTAGAGGGAGATTGTTAAGAAAATGGAGTCTAGCCTCATGTAATTGGGTTTGGACTAATCGAAAACCATAGCCCTTGGTCTTTCTTTTTACACAGAGCCCTAACTAAATAAAAAAATGTGGGACTGTTTTAAGGTTGTCTTACAAACCAAGAAAAGAAAGAAGAAAAACCAAAAAAATAGAGAGAAAATGGAGAGTTAATTGAATGGAAGTCAATCCGTGGTTCGATTGAATTGAAATTTTGTTAACAGGTTTATGATTCAGAGTTGTGAAGATCGGGTTTGAAGCTCTCTAGAAACAAATCTATGTTGTATTTGTTGAATCACCTATTTAGTGAGATTTCTCTAATTGTTTCTCTCTAGTTTATTTTTCTCTAGTGGTTGATTAGCTCAAGTTTTAACTAGATAAGAATTTTTTATATCTATTATTTGATAATAGAGATTTTTCTAGTGGTTCATGATTTTTTTCTCTGCACTGGAAGGTTTTTTACTTAAATTTTAGTGTGCTTTATTTTTTTTATAATTGTTTATTACTGTAGATTTATTGTGGTATATTACTTTTGCATTGTTGTGTTTATTGCTTCAAGCCCAATATAATCCCCGTCCTCATGGGAATGGTATGGACTAGAGCCAACGCCCAAAGCTGCACCTCCACACTCACCAGCCTAGCCCCTTGCCTAAACTACATTACAGGAAATTCGTCCACCCCATCATCTACATGCTGCTCACAGCTGAAGACTGTCGTTCAATCATCACCACAATGCCTTTGCTCTGCGTTTAATAGTGGCGCTTCATTGGGAAATGGGAATTACTCTAACTGGACTCAACTCCCTGGTTCTTATCAGGTGCAAACTCCATCAATTAACCAGTGTAACGGTAAGCTCGATTAACTTTTCATTTATGCTTGTATGCTTACCAACTGTAACAAGGAGATTTTTTCGTTAGTAACTTGAATTAAATTTTCCCAGGTGGAACATCTTCAACTCCAGAAACTCTACCAGCAGCATCTCCAACTGGTTCACCTTCAGATCCTTCTGATAAAACACCATCAGCATCAGACATTCCTTCAGGTACAAATTTGAATTGTTCTGATCACCTAAGGTGACCAAGAAAACAAAATTAATTATCTTATTATCATGGCAAGTTTTCATTCATTACTATATGATTAAGGGACAGATTTTCATGTTAATGCTTGGATAAATATGCAGGAACAGGATCTAAATCTGTCCCATGGATTGACGGGGAATCATCCGATGCAAGCATAGCCAAAGCCTCCCTTCATTCTGTCCTCTTCCTTCTCCTCATTGCAACGGTCACCAAATTCTGAGTTAGTAAGGGTCCTCCGTAGGAAATTGTTGCCTGTTATAGTGTTGCTGTTGATTCTTTTTCTCCCTTGTTTTCCTGATATGATTCTTGCTTCCCATTATACGAGTGTTGTTGTATTGCTTTGTTTGAGTTGTTTAATGATAACTTCAGTTCAACAGTTGTATTTTGTCTGCTGCTGACTGCTGTATTGGTTGAAAACTTGAATGTTGAAAATTTTCAATGAATCCTTGTAAATAATCATACAGAAACAATTAGATACAGTGACTAAAGTGGACAAAGCACTACTGTTTCAATATCCAATCCATCAATATTTCATACCCTCGTAGCATTGATGATTTATGAACGCAATGCTAATATACAACAGAAATAACCTCAAATACGGTAACGAGAAACGACCACATAGAAAATAGACGAATTTAGGAACATCGATCTCACACCATGTCGGTTGATACGCACACCAAAGTCAAAACAACTACTATTTGTTTATGCAATTACACCAAATCAGAACCAGAACATTCATTATCTTCAAATAGAAGGCAACACTACGCACTAGCAATATACCTTTACTGCGATCTTTGTATCAATTTATGTGGAAGTGGCAGAACCAAAAAAACTATGGTATGTGATCGAAAACCAAGGTAATTTCTACTTTCAAGCATTAAGATATTATATTGTTCAGCTAGGGGTTGTTAATTATGAAGAAGACCTCAGTAGCACTTGGACTGCATAAAAGTGACAAGAAATATTGGTTTCAAGGGAATAAGTATGGAGACCTGAGACTTCGGACCCTGCATCGAGTGACTTTCAAGCATTACCTTGTTCAATTGGTTTTTAAGTTATGAACAAATCCCTCAAACCCTATAAAAGTGACAAAAAATAATGGCATATGAGAATAAGTTTGGTAAACAAATTATTTTGACAAACAAATTTTGCTGTGAACATGTGGCAACACCTTTTGTACCATAAGAAGGTTCAATTCGGCTATGATCTTGAAATTTGGAAACGGTGAATCTTTTCAAAGAACAACAAGATTATTATGACATAATTCACCAGTCAAGAGTAACAACTAATAAAAAGTATTACTAAAAAAATATATTTATATTTGATATATTATCAATGTATAGATATATACTGTCAATAAATTAAATGATATTATTTTATTAATAAAATAAATCAAATGATACTATTTCATTAATGAGTATATTTTTTAAAAATATATTAATTTTTATACATTTATTTACTTATTAATAAGATGTCATTATTTAATTTATTAACAGTGTATAAAATTTATATATTAATAATGTATCAAATATAAACTTTAAAAAAAATTACGTTTTTCCCTTTGGCAGAAAATTACAAAACAATGGTAATTTAGCATCGTCTTAGGTACATGAGCAGTAATTAAGGGTGTCTTTTGAAAGTTTGAAATGGATACCCGCAGGTTTAGTCCCCGACCCGAATAAAGATAAGAACATCACAACCGACCTTTTCCTTTTCTGTACTCTTCAAAGGAACCCTTTTTATTGTCTGAATGTATATCTTGGGAAAGAAATGTCTATGTTACCTTCATCAGATTGATTGGTGGATTCTGGAACTTGTATCTTCCACGTGTTCATATTTCATCATACACCTTTCAAGAAAAATATTCTCACCATAGCCTTGCATTTGAAAAAGTGGTTGGTATAAAGTGTTTCAGCGTTTAACCCAAAAGAAAGCATCAAACGAATTCTTTATTGGAGTGCAACTCACAATCTGAATAAAATAGAGGGAGACAGCTGGGGCTGACTTTATTGAAAACTCATTTGTAATGTTTCAAGTTGGAGTTGTTTACCAAAGAATCAGTTAAGAAGCAGGAAAAGTTGGTGAACAATATAAAGCACAGCTGCCTCCCTTTTGTCACATTTTGATCCCCTTTATAAACCAAACTTCCTGTCTTCTCTCTACAAGCCACATACAATAGACAATAGTCCATTGACGACCTTCCTCATTTAACAGTTCAAGACTTTAAACATCAAGTTGGCACGAGAAAATCCTGCAACAAGCAATGGCAACTAGAAGCATGAAGGGAACAATACTTGCTGCAGTTTTTATAGTTGCAGCAAGTTTATGGCTGGGAGCTGGGGCTCAATCAAGTTCAAGTTGCACCAATGTGCTCATTAGCATGTCCCCGTGCCTGGATTATATACAAGGAAACTCATCAAAACCATCTTCTTCATGCTGCTCTCAGCTTGCTAATGTTGTGAGGTCACAGCCTCAGTGCCTTTGCGAGGTCCTTAACGGTGGTACCTCATCACTTGGTGTCAGTGTTAACCAGACCCAGGCCATAGCTCTCCCAACAGCTTGCAATGTTAAGACTCCCCCTGCCAGCCAGTGCAATGGTAAGCAAACTAAATATTTGTGTTCATGTTATCATTCAAACTTTCGATTTCTGGTTGATAGATTTTATGTTTATGTACATTGTACAGCTTCTTCTTCTCCCTCTGACTCTCCATCAGGAACATCAATTCCTCCTTCATCAGGTACAACTTACAAGAGCTAGTTAATGAAAACTTGGTATCCTATAAATATAATTAGCATTAGCTACAATTCTATAAATTAGACTAATATGTTGATGTTGTTTATGTTGGAACAGGTGGTGGTTCTAGGACTGGTCCAACAACGGACAATGGCACATCAGCTGGGAACTCCACAAAGCTGTCATTTTCACTGCTCTTCTTCTTCTTCTTGCTCTTTATCACGGCGCAAGCTTCAAGCTTTATCGCCATCTAAGCAATTCCGTCGCCGATGGACCCTCTCTCCTCTATTAGTTCCATTTTAGTAGTTTTTTCTTCGCTGATTTTCAATTTGTTATTAAATTATTGGGAGGAATAATTTCTTGGAGATTGTATTAGTTATTTGGTTTTCTTCGTATTTTTAGTAAAGATCATATTTTCCATTTTCATAAAGAAATGTCCCATATGTGTAGAACAAATTATGACTTGTCCAATAATCAGAGGCTTCACTTCCAGATTGGAATCATTATGTCAATTAATGTCACATCCACTTGTCTGTTAAGCAAAACTTGTCTGGATTGGGGCTGCTGGCATATATGAACCCAAGCCTATATTTATCAAAACATCATGAAAAAATAAAAGACAAAAGCCGAAGGGGGTTATCTCATATTCAGCATTGTCAAGATTTATAGACCATAGGACTATCTAATCCTCCGTATACCTTTTCTTAAATACATGTTTTCCAATAAATTCAAACCCCATTTACTAAATGAACAACGCTAACCAACTCGCCTAATCCAAGTAATTTGGTACTTTTTTTTTTAATTATCAAAGGTATGTTCTCGTTTTTGGTGTATTTGCATGTAAATATATATATATATGTGTCTATATATATATATTCTTACTAAGAGTATTATGCTTCGTGTATGATCTCTATAACCACATCAATTCTTAAAAGAAAAAGGGTTTTGGGTGCAAATACATCCCAAATTTATCTAATGTTGGAGGGAGAGTTGATTAGGCCTTTTACTTGCGCCACATACCTACAAAATCCTTCCATAATTTTTTAATAAGTTATAAATCATAATTAAATATTATATTTATATAATTAATTAAATAATTAAATTATAATATCTTAATCAAATTACTATCATTAAATAATTAACTAACAAATTAAAATATAATCAAAAACTAAATTCATACACAATAAAATTTAAACATAAAAATGTTAATTTTATCTAAAGTCAGATGAAGAATTTGATTTTTTCTAATGGAAATGAGGATGAATATAAAAAATAAATATGATTTTAAAACTTTTATTAGGTATGAAAATGATAATGGATAATATAACACCTATCGTATGTTCGTATTCATATTTTATATATATAGTAAATAATATAAATTATTATTTTAGATTAAGTACAATCAAAATATTTTTATTTAAAATAATATTAATAAATATATTTTAAAAATTACATAAAAATAAAGATAAAAATAAAAAACTAAAAATATAAATTTTTTATATTTATTTTTTAAAAAAATTATGAGTAGAAAAATTATTTATACTTATTAAATATTGATAGAGATAAAAGTTAAAAAAATTTTAAAATATTCATTGAATATGAATATTAAAGCATATATTTTATAAAAATTGAAGAATAAAAATAAAAAATACTTTACGTATCCCATGTTCTATCAATTGATGTTCCACTTAAATTTAAGATTTTAAAATTTTAAAGCTTCCCGTTAAACATATCTCATTGACAAAACTTTCCGTAATTTGATACGTTAAGGCTTTGGAGTTATTGGTCAGCAAGAAAAGAAAACATTAAAATAAAAAAAAAAAAACAAAACAAGAAGGAAAAAAAAAAGGCGCATGTTCAAGTTTCAACTACGTACAGTTTACGCGTCCAGGAAGAATGAAATTAGGGAGTAAAGAAAATGCCATCCGAAGTAGAATTTCCATACGTTTATCATTTTGTTTTCTAGAGATATACAACAAAATGCAATCAAATAATTATTAGAAAGAAAAAAAGAATAAACTGTTTCCTAGGAAACCAGTTTTTTCTGATCTTTCCCTACACGGAAGTCTTTATAGCGCTGAATCAAATAATCAAATTACAAAATAAAATATATAAGTAAAGATTAGTAAAAAAGAAGAAACAAAAAAAAAAGAAAGAGAAATCGTTGGTTTTGTAACTCAGCGTTTCCGTAGCCGTGCTCTCTCCGTCGAATATCTTCTCTTCTCAAGCAAATTACACGCTACCGTTTGGCTTCCTCTTTTCTCTATCCCCTCTTTTTCAACAACGGAGCTCAAATCTTGTTCGTCTTCGCGGTGTCTTGGCTTTCAGGTAAGGCATCGTCTCTTTGTTCATTTCAGAAGCTTTAGAATTAGAGCCTTTTTCTCTACTCGTCAATTTTTAACCGATATTTGTTGGCAATTCCTTAGAATTTGGGTTTGGTTTTGAAATTATTGTGTGCCCTTTTGTTTTTTATGATGAACTAGAAGTGGGTTTTATATGAAAGTGAAGGAACGTTGGTAGTAGTTCTTTTTAAGAGAAACTTTTTTTTTAATCATATGCTGAAATTTTAGGGTTTTGTTTTCAAATTTACCAGTTTCTTTGTTTTGATTTTTTCTGGGTTTTGGATTAACCAGTTGATAAAGTGAATTATAAGTGTGTTTGTCTATGATGGTGAAATTCAATCTCTTCGGGGCAATGAAATGTATTCTGCTGCCATGTAAATGTGATTGATTCTTGTGCTTGTTATTTGTGTCAATGTGTGTCCAGTGTACTATAAAGTCAGGATTTTGGTGTGGATATTTTAATGTTGGAAATGTTTGCCCCTTTCTTCTTTGAAATTGCTTGTGCTTAAGATAAATTTTGATTTTTGAACAATGTAAAGATAGTATATTAGATATTCTAAGTTTTCATATTCGTATAAATATGTTAGTCTTAGTTTCTATTAGAGGCTTATTGCAATATCATTGCTGATCTTGTATGTTAGGTTTATATTTGAGCAAAATTTCATGAAATACATATAAGTAATGTCAGTCATTACAGTCTCAGGTTCTCAGCTATGGTAACTTATCTAAATGTTTGTGCAGATAAGTGTTAACAGATGCATTATAGGGGTAGGAATTCAGATTTTTTCTTTCTTTTCTTGGATGCTCTTTCAGAGTTTTCTCAAAGTATCAGCTCTCATGAGTGTCTGAAAATGAGTTGAAGGGCAAAAACTTTACAGTAACCTGCGATGTCACTATGTCAGTGTTTTAGAAGGGTGGTCCTTTGAGTTAAGTTCTCAATCAGGAACAATTGTTTGGAGAGAGTTTTAACTGTAAAAAATTGGATAAAGCTGGAATGCTGAAATCCAAGGACTTGAGATCATAGCTGGGCTTCAAATTTGATGTTTATACAATGTGCGAATTGTAAATCGAAGTACCCAAACGGTGAATACTTGAAGGCATTATCCATAAACTTCCTAGTTGCTTAGAAGTTTGGAAGCTAAACGTGTGTTAAATCAAATTTTATGTTTGAGAATTCTCATTGTTTCTTTTTAGGAGAATTCAATATATTAGAACCAAAACATGTTACAAATGCCACAGTCTCAAGCCTGGAAAATGAAGTCTTGGAAGTTAAATTATATGCTATTTTATCACATTAGTAACTAGACTGTGTGCAGACGATTTCCATTAAGGTCCAGCTGTCTTTTTGGGTTTATCAGTTGGTTTTTCCTTCATGTCTTAAACCACCACGTCTTTTTGCTGCTTCAGGCACTTGAAAATTGTTAACAAAATGATTTGTTGCGCTTGAAACTCTTGGTACGAAAAATTTATCAATGAACTATCTCTAGATTTGCTGTTTCATGTCCCCTTGATCATTAGTTTTCGATGCCATAAAGCAAAAATGAAATGGAGCTAGTTATTTTATTTAACATAAGGACAGTACTTCAAATTTTTGTTTGTGAGCTATGTTTCTTAGACCTATGAAATATGGATTACGTTTTTCTTGTTAGCTTTAGTATTCAAAAAGAAATTTTATCACCAAAGTATGACTTCATGCTTGAATGAACTAAAAACTTTATGGAAAAAAAAAATACTACTACTTTTACTCCAAAGAAGGTGATGAGTTGCCTATGCTTTGGAATTGAAACATTTTTCTTTCATAGTAATTTCAACAGCCTTTGGGTGTCTTTTGGAGCATCTTTCTTGGTTAAAGGAAAATTTTAGTTTTGATATTATGGTTGCTCTTTATTTTTGTTTCACCTTCACATTACGGCATGATTGCTACCTTATTTGCTGATGTTGGTGAGAGTGAGATGGTGCCTAAGAGTGTGATTTTCAATGATTTCATTGATGCTGACCCCCCTTTTCCCAGAATAAAAGAAAATTGCTAATTGTGCTGCATGAACGCAAATACAGTGATTCCATTTTCTTCAAGATCCAGTTGGACTTAATTAATATATTACTTCTGAAATTCAAAGCTATTGATTTGGTTCTTACATAGAAGTTCCAAATTTGCTCTTTCAGATTGCATGTTCCACTGTTGTGCGTGACGTAACAAAAATTTTTCAGTGAAGAATCAATGAAACCTTGGTTAGTATGTCTGGATTAATTGAAGGTCTTCCAGATGCTGTTGCGCTTAGGTGCCTAGCACGGGTTCCCTTCTCCCTATATCCTAAGTTGGAGCTTGTTTCTCATTCCTGGAGAGCTGCTGTTCGTAGTCCTGAGCTGTTTAAAGCTCGACAAGAGGTTGGCTCAGCAGAGGAACTTCTTTGCGTGTGTGCCTTTGATCCAGAGAATTTATGGCAGATGTATGATCCTCTCCGTGAGCTTTGGATAACTCTTTCTGTCCTTCCCTCGAAGGTCAGGCATCTTGCCCACTTTGGTGTGGTCTCAACTGGTGGAAAGCTTTTTGTGCTTGGTGGTGGGAGTGATGATGTGGACCCATCCACTGGTGATCAAGATGGGAGTTTTGCGACTGATGAAGTCTGGTCATATGACCCTATAATTCGTCGGTGGGCTCAATGTGCATCTATGATCTTACCTCGTGCCATGTTTGCATGCTGCGTTTTGAAGGGAAAGATCATAGTTGCTGGTGGTTTCACCAGCTGCAGAAAATCTATATCTCAAGCAGAAATGTATGATCCTGAAAAGGATGTCTGGATTCCAATACCTGATCTCCACCGCACTCACAATTCAGCATGCACAGGATTAATTATGGGAGGAAAGGTACATGTCTTGCACAAGGGATTATCTACAGTGCAAGTCTTGGACAATGTGGCATCTGGTTGGACAGTCGAGGATTATGGTTGGCTCCAGGGTCCAATGGCAGTTGTTCAGGGAGCCCTCTACGTGATGAGCCATGGACTTATTTTCAAGCAGGAAAAAGAAGTGAGAAAGGTGGTGATTTCCGCTTCTGAGTTCCGTAGGAGAATCGGGTTTGCAATGACAGGACTTAGAGATGAAATTTTCGTGATTGGAGGGGTGATTGGCCCTGATCGGTTTAATTGGGATATCAAACCAATGTCTGATGTTGATATCTTGACGTTTGGAGGTGATAGACCTACATGGCGTCAGGCGGCTCCAATGACAAAGTGCCGAGGAACAATTTTTGGTTGTACGCAGCTAAGAATTTAGATCTCCACTTCTTTTTTTTTTTTTTTCTTTTTTAATAGTTTGTTGGTTTTATTGTGAAAAGTGTACTCTTGTTGAGGCATTGAATTCCTCCTATTGGAGACGAGAAATGATCTTTTCTTTTATTCGCTACCTTATTTGTAAGCCGTAATATTTGGTCTTGTTTTGCCTTCTGATTTAAAGGAGCGACACTGAAGGTCATGCATCAAATATAGCTACATGGAAATATTACTTAATGTTTAAAATGAGCAACAATGGTTTTTCCACTCCCAGGATTGCAATGGAGAACAATCTGCTTATTGAGGCTTTCTTCTTCGACCGATAATAGTTTGTTTATGCTGCACTTTCTTACATGGATGCCCCGACGTGCCCTTACCCTAAGAAAATGGGTTAAGAACTTAAAAGCCCAATGACTTGAAAAGCCCCCGGGAAGTTTAAACTAGGGCGTTAACTAAAACCCTAAAACACGAGAAACCTTGCTTCTTTCAGTTTCCCACGAAGGAGTGAGCATGGAGGATCCTCGGGTCGAAGAGTGTGAACACGACAGCAATAAAACAGAGGAAGATACTCAGATGGAAGAAGGTGAACAAAACAACAAAGACATGGAGGTTTCTCCCGCCCTTATTTCCGTCCACCCGACCCAGAACTCAGTTGCAGTCGCTGTCGGGTCTGACCTTCGTGTCTTCAATCTCCTGTAAGCTCGTATCTTCCCCTCTTATTGTTGTCCTGCTTTTATGTTTAATTAAGTTTTGCTCACTCAAATTCCGTAAAGAAATCAATGTTATTTAAAAAAAAAAAATTGGGCGTTGGCAGAGAAGATTGCGCTGTGACTTTGGTGGATGAATCTGGCGGAACTTCTCATAATGATTCAATAAGAGGAATTAAATATGGAGCAAATGGAAAGCTCTTTGTATCTGCCGGAGATGACAAGCTTGTCAAGGTTTGGTCTACCGAGTCTTGGCGCTGTATTTCTACTGTGTAAGTTCTTAATCAGCCAACTGGGTTTCTTTTTTTCTTGTTTTAGTTCCTGTTTTATTTGGGGTAAATTTTAATTTACTATAGTGATGCATTATGAATATGATATGCATGACAGGTGTTCTGAGAAGAGAGTGAGTGCAGTTGCTGTAAGCCATGATGGTCTTCATGTTTGTTTTGCTGACAAATTTGGAGTGGTTTGGGTGGTGGATCTTCCAGGGTTTGATGGAACTGAAGGTCCTCTTAACAAGAAGGCAGTGCCAATGCTTGCTCATTATTGTAGTATCATTACTAGCCTGGTAATTAATTACTATTTTGCGTCCTTTTCAATATGGAATCTTATTCTTGATATTTGTCGTTTTTCCACTTTCAAGAAGGATTGTTTCCCCCTTAATTGGCACATGTATGTTGTTGCCAGCATGGTTCACTTTTTAGTTAACAATTATTAACATGACTTATTTACAGGAGTTTTCACCTGATGGGCAATTTATTATCAGTGCGGACAGAGATTTTAAAATTCGTGTAATCCATCATACCTTGACCTTTCTAGTTTCTATAACCTTGATAGTTGATAGCTTGATAGAGCACCAATGTTACATGTTACTTTTCTATTAACAGGTTACAGTGTTTCCTAAGAAGCCATTAGATGGAGCTCATGAGATTGAAAGCTTTTGTCTTGGTCATACAGAGTGAGTGAGTTTTTATGATTTCATGTTTCCTTTGCATCGCTTTGATATTGTATATATAAAAGGGTAATATATACCATTACTTGGTTTAAAACACTATCTTTGAATACAAAATTTGTGCTGTATTAAGGGGCAGTGGTATGCCTGAACCTGCTTGATCCCTAGTTAAGGACTCAAGTAGGTCGATTGTCTACCTGCTCAAACTTCAAAGTACTCTTTTTAGTAATCAAAGTTTACATAAATCTCCATTTCTTTGTCTGAGAATGTATAAATCTCTATTTCTATAATCAAATAGTGTTCATTTAAATTAATTGTGTCTACAGGTTTGTTTCCTGCCTTGCCTTCATTTGTTCTCCAGATTGCTCACAGGGTATTCTTGTGTCTGGAGGTGGTGATTCAAGTGTGAGTATTAAGAATTTTGTTTAATTAATCAGCAAAGTTGTTTTTGTCTTCTGTTTTAAGTTTTCAAGTTGCAAATTTTAGTGAACAGTTAACTAGTATTGCTTCTTCAGGTCCGCATGTGGGATATTATATCTGGATCCCTCCTTGATACTTGTGAAGTTGGTGCAAAGGTATCTCTCTTACAAAAATTCCTGGAGATTGCTGATTGTTTTGGGGAAAAAAAATATCATTCACCTCTGTTGTTGGTAGATCCCCGTGGCCTCTCTTTCCTCCTCTCTCTCTTAAAAAAAAAAAAAATGTAATTGCATTAAATGACTGCTTTTGCATTTCCCAAAAATGCAACAGAGAACATGATCTAGTATCACAGTTTTGGGTTGCCATTCATTAGAAGGAAAGACAGTATTTTGAAAACTTGAGTGGCCACCATTTTCTAATTTTAGTTTTGCTGTTAAACCTTTTATCTTTCTCGGTTTTACTTTTACTTCCTTACTGAAGACAGGACAGCTAGAGTCTGATGCAAGTGAAGGAAACTTTTCAACTGTTACTGATATATGCACAATCCCCAATTGTACCCTTATTGCCGCAGCCATTCAAAGGTCAGGTTCTGAGTATTCTATATAGTTGTTTTTCTTCTCCTTCTGTGGTTCTCCTGTTTGGTTAATTATAACAGTCATTGTGTTCTATGTAGTTTGCAAGGAATAATGTTGTTGAGCTACGACCTTCCATCTCAGACTCTTTCTGTTGCCAAGGTAAAGACTACAACTTTAACAACAATAACAACAGTTATCAACTATCATAAAGGATTGTTTAGCTTGCATGCCTTTGAGATCAGTTTCATTACCTTTGCTTGACATCATAGTAGCATGTATTTTGCATATCCAGCTCAGCCTTGTGCAGTCAAGCCTTTTTTCCAGCTTAGGTGTGCACAATATCTGTCTTGTGAAAATATGATATGGATATTCTTTGAATAAACCAACCTTTCTGGTTTAATCAGAAGAGGCTGAAAGCAGATGTATGCTTAAAGCTGAATGAAATGCATTGCTATCTACTATTTCCTGTATAACTTCTGATTTGACAGGTGGTCTCTATCGTGGGGGAAATTTTCATTCCCACAAGCCTTGGCAGTAGTATTTCTGGAGGATTATTGTGGATGGTAACAGGTGCCTCTAAGTTGCGCAGTTTTGACCTTTCCTCTTTGTCCCGAGTAAAAGTCATTTCTGGTTTCACAAAAAGCAGTCCCGACTCTTCAGAGCAGGAGCCAGTTGTTTTGGCAGATAGTGAAATACCTGGGGGAACAAAACTACTTGAGAAGTTGCAGGGAAGTATTTCAATTGATGAAAGGTTGTCATTGGCAGCTGCAGATGCTGTGAAAACAGCAATGTGCAATTTGTTAATTAAGAAGCAATACACTGTTGAGAAACGAGAGTTTAGAAAGCGAACAAGAAATGATAAGAAAAGCAAGCAGTAAACCGGTTTTTTTCCTTATAATAATTGAGTTTTTGTGAGCGTATGACATTGAGGTACCTGTGACATTAGTTATGCATATTTGTCACATAAGAAAATATGTAATAGTTTTCTGAGATATCAGCGAAGTTGATATGCATGATTCATGAAGGACTGCAATTATCAATGATGCGTTTGAAGATTTTTTGACCACATATAAGAATTGAGAGATGTTATCTGTTCATGGCTTTTTAAAGTAACCGGCTAATCTCATCGCCAGCACCAAGAAAATTTAACTGGTCAATCTGAAACAGATTTAGAGGAATGCTTGTGGAGTGATAGGTCAGGGCTTACACTTTGGTAAAGATAAGGCTAGAGTCTGTTGGATATTCCTGCTTCTTACCCCGCTATTTAGGTCTTCACATGGAATCGGAAAGCGTAGGCTCTCGCAAACATGAAACAAAAAGCATCAGTAGGAGAAATATGTGGCAAGGCAATGGTTTAAGCAAGTAATAAATTTATCAATTTAATCATCAGGTTTTCTACATGTTTGTCATGGGAATTAGGGAGGTTAGGTACTTGGCAGGAAATAATTAGTTTAGGTATAGGGGAATGCCGGTCTAGTTTTGCTTTGTGCTTGGTGGGGTTTATAATTGGTTTGGTTGGGGACAGTTTGACGTGGCTCATTCGCCTCAAAGAAACAGACTAAACCGTGCACTTAATCTTCTGGTGGTGGTTTCTCCAATTTGGATACTTCCATCAATTACCTGACTTGCCTATTTAGAGAGGTAGGAAATATTTTAATAATATTTAAACTTTTGGATGGAAAGAGTAGCGGAAGTAGATTTTTCCTTCCTTTCCTGGGAAAGGAAGGTAAATGTCTCTATTGTGAAGGTGGCTTCTGCGATGCGTCCTGTCAAATCCAGTTCACATGCGGTCCAACAGTTTGAATTAGGTACATTGAATCTGTGGATTTTTTTTTGTCTTTTATGATATACAATATCTCAAGTTTCTTTGAATCTGCTTAATCTCTTTCTAATGAATAATTCTAAACATACAACACTAGATTGTGTGTTTCATCAATTAATGATTTCAAATAATATGATTTTTAATCTCAAAGTATAATCAAAATTTTTTATTGATTTAATGTTTTTGACAAAATAAGAAAAAAGAGCAATTAAATTTTTTTCCATAAAAATAAAAAAAAATGTGTTTAAATTAAAAAATATATAAATAATTTTTATAAAAATTAGAATATTTTATTAAAAAATATCATTAGTTTCTTCTCTCTCCTTTTTCTTCTCTTTCAAACTCATTCTTTTCAGATCTTACCAAAACTAATCAAATTTATCATCTAAAGGCTGAATTCGACTTTAACAGATCAAAGTAGCCTCGAAGCAGGTTGAATCGGCCTCAAAGACGTTATGGATCCTACCTTTTTCAAGCTAATTTTAGTGTCTTTCCAAATCGTACCAACCAATTGAAATTAAATTTGATCTCAACTGGTTAGAGTTGGTTAAGGAATGGAGTTGAGACAGTAGGAAGAGAGAGAAAAGAAAAAAAATTATATGTATTTTTTAAAAAAATTTTTTACTTTACAAAACCTAAAAAAATATTTATTTAAAAGAATAACTTATCTTATTTTTCTATCTTTAAAAAAGATAGATAGTAATTTTTCATGCAAAAATTTTGCAAAACATGAATGTTTTTAATTTTTTGTTTTTATAATTTTAAATAAAATTGAATTTCAGGAGTGGCATGACTTTAAACTTGATTAAAAAATTTAAAGCAAATACCATAAACGTCATATTCAAAGTTCAGCGTTTAATTATGGGTCCATCCATTTTAGGTCATGCTAAAGTCTAATTACTTGTATTTCAAACCATAGAACATCAATCTATGCTACGTTTTGTCGGTAGAAAACTTTGTTATTTTCCCTTCATTTGTCAAAAAGAAATTTGTCGTAATGGAACCTTATACCACAACCGTAAGGGCTAAAACCTTCATCTCATGAAGGCTACCAATCACCAATTAACGAATCGCTTGAATAAAAAGATTTTAAATTTGTCTTTGGCTACACAAGAAATCCACTCCATCTCTATAGCCATCATCATCGTCTCTTCTTACATGAATGTTGCCCATCTGCTAAATGTCATGAAATAATTGTTTGAAAACTTTGATTTAATGGAACTCATGAGTACTTTAGCTGAGAGGGGGTGGGGATCATCTAACAATGAAATTAACTTTAGACTGGTCCTTTTCTTACTCTCCTCCCCATTGAGTATCGCCAAGTGGCACGGCCGGCAAGTAGAATCGTGGCACCTAACTCTTTAGATAATTTGGGGTTTTGAGTTGAAAGGGACGTGGCTGTATACGTCAAAGAAATTCATGGAGTAGATAAGAACGGTGATATGTATCGAAGAAAATTAGGTTTTCATGGACCATACAATGTGTGAGAGAGAGAGAGAAAGACTTTTTCGAGTTTTCTTGGAGGGCAAGCACCATCCATTGGTAACTTTCTACTCATAAAAAAAAATAATAATAAGAATGTGAAGGGTAAAGTTTTATTCCATATATTTTATCATCATTCTTGTTTCAAATATTTTTAAAATTGCACTATATATATATATATATATATATCAATGTTCATCAACTTTAAAATACGTACAATTGACTGAATGTGAGATGAACAGATGAATTAAGGGTACTGACAAAACCAGGCATACTCAAAAGGGACATGGGAGACCTTTAGGAGGATAGATGCTCCATTAATATTTTCTATCATAGTTTATTGCAGGAATAAAGGTTACCACTATAGCAATCCTCTTTAACCAGCAAAATTAAAATATTATGTTGGTTGAATGGGCTAACAGAATTTTGGGACAGTGCCTAGGAATGTAGCTAATGTTTTCTTTTTGTCTGATTAAATGAGTGTGTTTTATGCCTTTCTCAAACTTTTTGGCTAATCAAAGTGGAGAAATAATAATTTCTTAGGATTGAGTTTTGGTTTAAAGTTTCAAACCACTCAAAGATTCAAGAAAAGTAAATTGTCATTTATTTTAAAATTTATATTTATGCATCGTCAGTATATATAAACTATATGTGAATAATACTATACATGACATTTCATCAAAAAATTAATTTCAAAATTTTAAATATCGAAAAAATAAATACATTTAATTTTAAAAATATATTTAGAATTAATTTTTTAAAAAAGATATCATTGTTTAATTTTCTGACAGAATCTAATATTTATACAATGTATCAAATATCAACCCTTATTTTATCTAACTCAGTTTCTTAAACCCTTCTCCATTTATTTTGATTGATTTGGAAAAAAAACATAATTCGAACAGTCTATTCTTTTTATAAAACCAAAGAAATGTGAAAGTAGGTTATGTTTATTGTCTGAAACTTGTGTTCGAATAGATTTAAAAAAATAATTGTATTAAAGTTTGATTTACAAGGTTTTTTTTTTTTTTTTTTTTTTGTGTCTACTGAAACGCAATATCAAACAAAATGTAAAACAAGTTACGCTCGTGTAAAAAGGGCTGCAGATTTGCAGCGGTCATCTTATAAGTTGTCAATGCTGGAAAATGATTTGGGAAGTTTTTTTTTTCTCTCTCTTCTTTTTTTTTTTTTTTCTTTAGATATTTAGATATTATTGAGAAAAAGTTGGACCATGAATTGCCCATCATTGGTTCGATCAATTCCCCACTTATAGCCCATAGAAAATGGCCCAAGGTTTGAGTCAGCCCTCTAAGTAGGGCCCAATTTTGGTCCCACTTTATTAAATTGACTTGACAAATATTTTAAAAAAGATACAAAATGAAAAACGGCAGCTAGTTTGCGCCTCTCCAGAAAATTACAAAGACTCGCTTATTATTTTCCCACCGTTACTTTCAAAGGGCCCACCACCCATTATTGGGCCCCATCAGACAAAAAATATACATTATTCAACTTACTTTCCTTGATGATGATTGATGAAATTGTGGGTCTCAGTTTCTGCTGTGCATGTCGTAAGGGGTTTTTGTCTTTTTGGTGCTAAGGCCTAATGGCTAAGGCCATTTGTCACCATTAGCCATGTTGCTTGTCGAGTGTAACCTACATTTCATGCGAGAATATTTCCCTTCTTTCCATATAAATTAATGTATATATTCATTTTATATATTTTCGTTTATCCAATGAATTCATTAATGTATTATTTTTTTTATTTGATATTATTAAATTTGTATCATAATCATTAAAATTAAAAATTATTTTTATCTCATTTCAGACCTCAAAGGAACGTAAAAATAGAAATCCTTATATCTTCGTATATTCAATTACTAAATTTAGCATAATTGCATTCAATTTATTAACTAAAGTTAATTTCCAGATTAAAAACTTCGCATGCAAATCTACTTTAACTCAAAAGATGATAGAAAAATATCATCTTTATCTAAAAGCCTAAGGCTAAGCTTCTTTGAAAATAAAATTAGTCAGTAAAGCATTACGATTTAAGAAGATTAATAATAGGCAAGAATTATAAAGTTACTCCTATCCAACCTTACTTGGACCCATTAATGACTGCTTTGAAGACAAACACATGGACTGTTTACATGGGTTTTTATTACATTGCATGGGTTAAACAAAGTGCAGTTTCAGGTCCCATTTTCTGTTCCTCCACAGCAACAGTACTCTTTTTAATTGGCGTAAAAGTTTTTTTTGTCAGAAAAAGTTTAGGATGCAAGGAGATTTCTCCTATACAGGTACAGAACAGATCATAAATTAAAAAAAATATTATATTAAAATTATTAATTATTAATTAAAAAATATTATTGACAACAACAATTAAATCTAAACTAAGTATTTAATTTTTAGCAATTTAATAAACTCCTGTTGACATTGGCCCGAGACTTTAGATAAAGAGAATAGTTTATAGTAAATAGACGAGAGATAGAGGGAAAAAAAATGCAACAAAATTGCAGATGAGATAATTTATTATTCACTAAAGTCAACTGTGATTAGAGATTTAGAATAGAGAACTAAGATTATGCCTCCGATTGAATCAGTAAATGAACTAATAATATATAGTAACATTTCAAAGGTTAAACGAAAACCACATGGAAAATCCTGACTGGAATGCTCGATCTTATTCCACCCGAGTAAAGTATAACCAATTTCTTACATTAAATGTTAACGTTATTTTTTTCAACGAAGAATACGAGAATGTAATAAAAAATAATAAATAATGAAATTTGAATAACAAATCTATCATATGCTATTTTTTAAAAATAATTAAATAAATTAAGTAAACTAATTAAGCTTCGAGTTCAAATTGTTTGATTTTGGTATATAAATTAAGCAAATATTTCATTGCAATAACCCCTATGGAACTCTATTATATATTGTAAACTTTACCAGCTCATTTCTGCTGTGAGAGTACTTGGGTTTTTTTTTTTAAAAAAAACATTTAAGACAATAACAAAGAGGTACATCCAGGAGAAAACAGGTTAATTTTCTTTTAATACTAAACAAGCAAAATTATTAATCCCCTCCAATTTTGAAGTAATTAAATAAACCTTTAAAAGGTTTAACATCACTATCTGGTGACTTCATTCAATGGTCTCTTTTTTCTCCTTCATCAACAGGTAGAATTGGACTAAACCATATATAACAAACACCAGCATTTTTCACTTGGTTTCATCCATAATAATGGCCTTGCCTTGTCTTTGAAATGCAACCTCAGGTTTGAATTTGATTGAAGATTAAAAAAAAAAAAAAGAGTCTAAATAATTAAGTAAAGCTATTTACTGCTCAGGTGACATCATGAATTCATGATCATTCCCTTCGAGTGCGTGCGTTTATTTCTGAAAGAGTAACAGTGAAAGATTGACAACAGTACAAGAAAGTGAGGGCAAAATTCCATTAAAATCTGGACTTAGAAACTCAATCCACAAAAGGACAAAACTCAGTTCTGTTTTTATAGAATAAAAAAAAGGTAAATGAAAAAGAAGAAAGAAATTTGCTACTGGAAGTTTTCAGGCTTTTACTGCAAAACCCCACTATTTCTCATGCATAGTTGCAGACGCCTCTCTTTCTCTCTTTAAAAGGCACACCCAACAACAAAACTCCATCCTTTAAGCCAAAGATCTTTTCTTTTCTTTTTCTTTTTGCCCTTCTACCCTTTCTCTCTCTTTTGCAAAGTATTGCAAATTCGTGGCGATTTAGCAGGGCTCAATAAAGAAGGCGTTGGCAGAGTTAAATCGATGTCAAGAATGAGAGCCCACTAACAGAAAGCAAAAGTTCAGACATCAGAGAGAGAAAGAGAGATAGTGAAGCTTATCTTTCTATATATATTTCATTTACTTGATGGTAATGATTTTTGTTTCATAGGGAATAGCAAACATTTATGCTCCATATTTGCCTGAAACACCCAGGACTGTAGATAGTTACAGTTCTTTGGCAGTAAAAAAAAATGGCAGAGCAGTTGTTGGTGCCTGCTCTTGATCATGTGCTTTGCACGCGGGATATTATGATGGGCATCGATTCTTGTCCTGTTGATGCAGTTGATCAAAGAAACTGAGACCAAGGACGAGAGAAATAGGGAAACCAAGTTTTTTTGTTTATACGTTTCTTTTTTACTGTTCTGTCATGGAGGCTACAGAGATTTAGGAAGCATTTCAATTTCCTAGAGTATGCGTTAGTTTAATGAAATAATAATAAAAAAAAACTTGCATGGATTTGTGTGTAAGGTTTGAGAGGTATTTGCAGTAGAATTTCAGCAGAAAAAAAGAGAACTCCTTTTCTTTTCTTTTCTTTTTTTCTTTTAAATTCTGTTACCTACTTTTGAACGTCTAAAGGTGGATTTTTGTGACTAGCGCAAGCAGCAATCCATGGTGGTGTGACATTAATCATTTCTAGTTGAGTTCATGCCTTTTCTGACTTCCCATCTCTCTCCTTTCAGTTTCATGTTCCTTGAGCTTAATTGATCTGATGCTTTCCTTTGTTTTTGGTTTTGCAGTTGCTTCATGTTACAATTTTTGGGGGCTGATATATACGTATGATAAGAGGTAGTTATGCTAAAGAATAGGTCCAGAGCAGTGACCAGCAAGCAAGCTTTAATGGCTGATCACGGCTCTCAATCATTCCCTGCTCATAATTACACTAAACCAATCTCATCTTTCTTTGGTTCTCCAAGATTTAAAGCTTTCACTACAAAAGGTCTCACCGAGACTGAAGCTGTCAAGAGTCCTACTTCAATCCTTGATAACAAACCATTGTTTCCTTTTAGTAACCCCTTTGGTTATGATATTAACCAGCCCAAATCCCCAAAAGTTTTCTCACCTAATAACAAACAGCACTCACCCGAAAAATTAGAATCAAAAGGTATTGGTCTTGCTCTAGTCGATACACTCAATGATAAGCCAGTTGAGGATAAGAGTTCTAGCGAGACAAGTAACAAAAAAGTCTTGTTTGGGACCGAGCTTAGAGTTCATATTCCTCCAGTCCCACCTTCTATAGTTGCTCCAGCTCGTACTTCTCCAAAATCTCCAAATGATTTTGGAATCAAGACCAGGAATTCACATTTATTATCAGCATTTGGCTCTCCCAATTCTGGTATTTATATAAAGGATTCTCCTCGGGTCTTAGCTGGATGTCTTCCTTTTAGGGAAATGGAGATGTCTGAGGATTATACATGCGTGATATCTCACGGCCCTAATCCCAAAACCACCCATATTTTTTATAACTGCATTGTAGAGAGCTGCTGCAGTGTATCGGATAAGCCCAAGTCCGCACCAGAGAGTTTCCTCAGCTTTTGTCACACATGCAAGAAGAATCTTGAACAGGAAATTGACATTTATATTTACAGGTTCGCTTCCTTTTTCTTCCTCCTGAAATCCAACTTTTTTATCTGATAAAACTAGATTCTGTTAGATCTCTTTAAATGCATAATCTGATCATTGTTTGCTCTGTAATTCAGAGGTGAGAAAGCTTTTTGCAGCCAAGAGTGCCGCCATCAGGAAATGCTCCTGGATGGAGAGGAGAATTAGGAATTTCATTACTGCTTGGAGAAATTATTTTCGATTGCGAATAATTGGGAAACCAAACATTGCTACTTCTTTTTTTCTTGGTAGTTTTTAGTTTTCTTTCTTTTTTTTTTTTTTTTAACTCCTCTCCTTTGCATATAGAGATAAGAGAGGATGAGATCATGTAGATTTATTAAATTAATTTTGTTTTGAGTAACTATTTATATGATTGCCAATGGGCTTTCCCCCCTACAGTTCTTTTCTTTCCTTGGCTTTTCGATAGGTGATGATGCATAATTGAGAACTTGCCTTTATATCTCTCTTTCTTTATTTTTTCCCCGTTCACATCAATCACCCCACCTATAATTTAAACAGGCAAGACCAATTATTTCACTAATGAAGATTTTGAAACTATTGATACCCATCTCTGTCTATTTTGGTTGAGAAAGAAACATCTCAAGGAAATATTATTCCATGGATTGGAAGTTTAAAATATAAAAACTGACTTCCAATGAAACAGATCCAAACTCTAATCTCTTTTCTATATCAATGCTTACAGGAGTAAAGCAATTAAAATATAAGTAGTAGTTGGGAACTTTGATTCATTGTGCACAGATAAGTCCAAATATTCAAATTGTAACGGAGAGCTTTTTCAACGTGAATTATCAACCCACATCATTGCCAGGTCCCTTTTTCCCTATCCTTTCACAAGGAAAAGGTAATACGATAATGATGAATAATAATTAATGGTGAGAACAGTAATAGCAAAGATAATTTGTATTAAGCAAAATAAGAGAAAGCAACCTTCATTTGGTGAAATCCCATGATTGTTGTGTTTAAGTATCGTTTATAACAGAATCAGAAACTACCATAACCAAGATTGGAGAAGTTGAAGAGGAACTGGATCAGAAAGAAAAAAAAAAAAGAAAAAAAAAAACCGAGACAATAAATGTCAACAATCCCCCAACTTGCCCTTAATTGAAACCAAATTATGCAGGTATAGTTGGGTTTCCCGAAAAAGGTTAACATTGCATTTGAATTTTTTCCAAGGGTGTAACTATAACAAAATGGGTGAAATGCAACTTTGATTATAAAAAATTCATTGCTTTGAGAAACTCTATCATTATTATTTAAAAAATATTGGAATATAGTTCATATATGAGTAAAAAATCTCATATCATTAGAAAAATTTAATGAGATATCTTATATATATGCATGAAAAACTTAAGAATCTAACAGCTTAAGTTTTTGGACTCAAATGTTGTTCAACATATATATATAGACTCTTTAATGTGCTCCCAAAAACTTTAAGTATGGTTTGTCTTCCTAATAACTAGTATTAGAATTAAAAAGTCACGATTCAAGTCTCAATAATATTGCTAGGAAGAGAAATTATTAACAGATCAGAGGGTTATCATGTAATCAATTTCATGTGCTCAAATACTGGTATTAAAATGTTCAATTTGGATACAGCCAGTATATGATAATATGTAAAAGAAATGTGAGGTTGTCTGACCCAAAAGACGTGTTGATAGGATTTACTCGTACGAAAGAGTCGATGTGAAACTTGATTAGAGCTTACAAATGAACGGAGGAGATTGTTTGGATATGGTTCAGATGTGAATAAAGAATTTTATATCATTAAAAAATTTGAATGAGATATCGAACGACTTAAGAACTTAATAGCTTAAGACTCAAGTGATATCTAACATATATGTACGTACTCTTTGATAATATGATTATCTCCTAAAAAAAAAAAAGCATTAGAGAAATATATATCCAATAGTTCCGGTCAATGTCGTCCCCAGGGCCAGAATGGCTGAATCCATTATTAGGGATGCTAAATCCATTGGCATTCTTCACTAATCTAATCAAGACGGAAAACAGCAATGGTTGCGGGCTTGCAGCTATGTTCAGGTTTTATTGCCATCTTTAGCAACTGTTTAACTCAGCCTCAACATCTCGATTTGAACTATCAAATTTCAAAGTATCTCAGGTAAAGGTGTAAATAATTCAAATTTCAAAATATTTTAAGTAAGTATGTAAATAATATATTAATATTCGTAAATTATTCGAATTCGATTTGAATAAAATTTGAATTTTATTCAATTATTATCGAGTCGAACTCGAGTAATTTGACTCATTGATCGAATCAAATTCAAGTATTTTTATATCTAATTCAAATAGCTCACGAGTTTAATCAAATTTTTATATTTAAATATATTTTTATTATTTTAATTAATAAAATATCTCGAATTTAAGTTCAAGTTCAAATACAAATAATTGAATTTTTATCAAATATAAGAAATCGAATTTATTTTTACATGTTAATCGAATCTAATAAAGTGAATTTGAGTAATTCAATTTTTATTTCGAGTGAAGTTCAAATTAAAAAATAAAATTCGATCGAATTTGAATCGAAGTTTCAAGTCTCGAATTTCAAATTGAATTTGAATTCGAATTTAATACCATATCAATTTAAATTTGATCGATTATACACATATTTTCGTACGAAAGAAGTGGGGAAATACATATTTCACAAACTCCTGTAGATCAATTTTGGACTCAAGTCAACTAGACGAAACAGGACACGCTGAACATTAATTCTTAAGAATAACTAAAGATGGGCCAATTCGTTCGACGAGCATTGATCTTTGTCAAAGTACACATGCCCTGCATATTGTTAGATCGACACGTATGGACTATGGTCCAAAATTCATTCAACCTTTGTTAATTGATGATCGGATCTCTCTTTTCCTTTATTCATTTGTTTGCAATTATATAGAAATTCATGCAAAATCAGTTGATTGGCCCAATAAAATGACTAATACAAAACAAAACACATGGTAGGGACTGGGAAGCAAGCGCAGCAACTCCCATTATTGTTCAAGGGTTACTTAGCTGGTTTGCACTTGAAGACATGAGATGACAATAATAAGGACAACGATTTTTACAATCCTTCCTTCTGAATTTAAAAGGAAGCTAGAAACATGGTTTGATATTGAAAGCATAACTCCCTCCGACAACGTTATCACCGAACATCTATTTTCGAGCCTCGTTGTCCTTAGCATCAACTTCGATGAGCCCAAAAGAATTGATTTAACGTTTGGATTCACCGTCCACGATAATTAAACAGCCCTGACAAGAGAATGCACAAAACACCCATTAGTCTGAACAAAACTCAAGGCACTGAGACGCTCTTTTCACAGTAGGCTTCCCAAATCCGAGTAGAAAGGAGAACAAAAGGATCAACTACAAGTTATCAACCCTTTCAGCAGGATTACTCTTTAATGTTGAGAATAAAGAGGGGTAAATCCAAGATTGACCTAACAAACTAACACCAATGGAGCATCCTCTTCTAATCCTGCCCCCTAGGGAAGAGAGAGCAAGCCGGTCTTATTCGTGATAAGTTAAGGCTGTGGATATTGGGGCTTTGTCAGGAGTATTGGGTTCTACTCTAGTGTGATGGCTGAGCTATGGGCAGTGACAAGTGTGGGAATGGTCTTCAGTTGACAGTAAATCCTGGGATAGAGTTCTTCGAACTTGAACCTGATGTGTTAGCTGCTCTGCTATGATATATAATTAGTGATCAAATCGATTCCCCACTTGTTTTCGATTGCAGGAGACCCTCTTCAGGAAGTTTGAAAGGGTGAAGATAATCCACATTTCAACAGAAGCCAATTCCAGTGCCGACTTTTCGCCAAAAAACTGGCGACACTTAACAATCTCTGCACTGACCGGGAACCATCAAATTCGTTGAGTAGCTTGTTAGTCCGGGACAAAGCTGACGGTTTCTCTCAGGACTTGTAACAATGTGGTGTTTTAAGTTCATATAATGTTCACCTTTAAACTACACCGACGCCCGAGTCAACGAAAGAACTAATACTGACTCTTTTTTTTTGGGAAGAGTGGGGCAGGTGCTTCGCCCATTTTCCATTTCACTCCCAAATTTGAACTTTTGCGAAATGAACACGAGCATTTCGAGGCCTCTAGTTACCGGGCTCGAAGAGGAAACTACTTGCCAACGATGATAATTTAACATTCCAATAAATAGACATTCCAACATACTTGACAAAAGCATCATAATGCATAAATACAAATGAAAAACACTAGTAACAAAAGAACATACCGCAGCCTGAACATTAACATGGCTCAAAGAAATCTAGTCCAAAACAACATAAGCCACTGCTTAAAGAACACGTTGAAAGGCGATGACACTTGGCCCAAAAAAAAAAAAAGGAAGGCAAATACACCTATAACAAACATTTCAGAGAAGTGCTAGAACCAGATACGGTTCCTACAAGACTTGCATTGAAGACTACAACTAACAAGAACACATCTACTTTAACAAAGCCTCCTGAAATACTTATCCGAGTAGCTTCCTGAGGAAAAATATATAGCAGATCATTAGTAACAGTTAACAACGATTTTTTACTAAACTAATTAAATTTAAGGTAAAAGAAAATACCTTGTAAGTAGCTTGGCACGGTCAACAATCTCCAAGAAAGATGGGCTCTATGAACACTACAGAGTGGAATTACCCATTAGGACGAACAAGACATTAACAATACTTGCAACAGGTCATGGCAACATTGGAAAACCTAACAAGCTTCAGAAGCAGAAGTTACAGATAACCACTTTACTTCCTCTTCCCAATTTTTCCTTTTTAAAAAACAGAAAAAGGTGGTGAGGAGGGAAAACAACCCTGCAGAGTGTAGAGGAGAAAAATCCTTACCAAAAGAAAGAAGAGCATATGGAAGATATTTGATAGTTAAGCAGCCAATTCAGGCAATGAAGGACAAAGGAAAAGAGTTGCAAGAAAACGAACGATCATCTAGGCAGGCTAGTTGACAGGTTGAAAAAAGTAACAAGGGGACTAATCAAAGTTAGACTAGTAGAAACAAAGGACACTGATTGAAGACCAAGGAAATTAAGATGATCAGAAAAAGAATAAAACAGAAACCTAAGGAACTTGGGAAAGAAATTTAGTGGAGATTCTAGAGATTACAGTATATACATCGCATCTGATGCTAAAGGAAAAAATTAGTCAAAGTTAACAACTGAACTAACACTAAGCACCAAGGACTTGATGTAGTAAAGTTGTCAGCTAACAAGTACATAGTTTCCTTCAAGCCCAAGAGATAACTAGGCAGTAATCTTTGCAATTTCATGCGAAAGGAGAGAACAGACAATCTTAGATTCTAATGTAAAGCTCCCTTCAGCTTCCTGAACAGCCTGAGTCATCTTCCATTCCATCCAAGCTTACAAAAGCCATAAATCACATACCTTATGCATCTTGTTAATCAAAGTTTTTCATAACCAGCACCAAACTCTCACAAACCATCAATTCATAAAGCAAAATCCAGAGATTGTTGACCTAGCATTGCCATAACTTTTTCTCATTCCACCAGCCAAAGAAAGCTAAAAAAACTCATACTGATCCATGCTGCCAACCATCTTACTCAATCTATATACAATCTAAAACTAACTCCAAATTTGCACAGTAAACTTATTTACGGGAGCTGAAAGCTCCTTTGCTCTTTCTACTCATCGGTGTTGTCAAGATTGAGAATGCGACGTAAAGTCTTAGTCGCAGACTCAGAGTCAGCACTATGAAAATGTTCCGCCACAGAAAGGTTAAGCTCCCTGGTAGGAGATGCAGGCGCAGACTTGGCAGTTGGGTGAACATCAACAACATGGTCAGCAGCAGGTAAATCAAGGGATATGGTCCTCTTCACACGAAGTGAGAATTTGGGTATTGGCAAAGAGCTAGGTGGCGGTGAATTGGAATAAGCAGGTCCAGCCCAAAGCTCAGATAACAGAAAACCTTCCCCCGCAATCTCCTCATTAAAAGATTTATCATTTCTAGGGTCTCCGTTGTTCTTGATAGGAATAGGAGAGCTTCTCCTGGCGGTTTTCGAGTGTGTTCCATTGGCTAAAGGAGATGGTGTATTTGGGGAAGATGATGATGCTGAAAAGTGAGGGGAAGATGGCCGTTTGGTTATAGGAGTAGAGCTATGATTAAACGGGGTTGGTAGTAATCCTGCGCCGGATTGAAAAATTCTACAGTTAATCCCTCTGAAATTTCTAGATGGTGATGACCCAAACCGAGCTGGTCCGTGTGGCTTCACCCCGCTACAGTACTGATTCCTATGATGCGCCACCACAACAAGAGTCTCCATACTTTCCTTAATTTTGATAATCAAAACCCACTGATCCTATGTTAACTCGGTCCAATGATAACCCAATCTCCTCTTAATCCACTAAATCCTCTTTACAGGCCACTGAAATATAATAAAGGTGAAAACTGAGGCTAATATCATACCCAAAACGACACCGTGAAGTTCTAGATCTTCGCCATCACAGATCCAACAACATGATACTAAAATCAAAGTGATTTACCTTTTTTTCTAAATATACTGGATCAAAAACTCCATAGATTCAAGGAAAATCATGGTAATAATAAAAAACCCACAACTCTATTGCCTCGAATCAACCAAGATCTTCGTAGATCACAACCATTAATCATCTAACTGTACAAAAAAAAGGGAAAAAAAGAAAAAATTGAGAAACGGAGGAAAAAAAAAAAACCTGAATCCTAAATTAAGAGCAAAGAGAAATCTCAGTCATTTTCTTCGAAGAAACTTGAAAGTGGGAAAATTACCAGAAAAAAGTTGGCCCTCCAGAAATTTTAGAGAGTGAAGTGACCTGATATTGATAGATCTGAAAAGAGAGTGAGAGTTTCTTCTTCTTTTTTCTTCTTGTTCTTCTGGTGAACGATGATTTCATGTACAGTTAATGGGTAATGTTTGTTCTTTTTGGTTTTTTTCTTTTTGGTTTCTAATTTTTTGAGGATTTTTTTGGTTTTGGGTTCAAATCAAAACGCCATGAAAATGAGAACCTTGAGAGGGTATCAAAGAGAGGAAGCAGAATCACACGGATCCGAAATGACTTCTCTCACAGTTATATCGTACATGTACTGCGTGCTCCCCCGTTTACTGTTATTTTTAGTCAAGTGGGCCTTGTTTTGACCCGATTTACTATTTTGACATTTTGTTAATCCTTTGACACGTAGGAACCAAAATTACGTTTTGTTTACTTCTGTTTTGTCGTCCAAATATTTTTATAAAGGAAAAATCATTTGAGATACTATTAAAGTTTTTTAATTTTACGAGTGAAATTAAAAAAAGTGATATATATTTTTAAAATATGTATATTTCTTTAATTGTGCTTGTAAATTTTAAATTAAATTATATAAAAAATTTATATTTTATAAAAATTTAAAATTTATTTTATGTATTATAATTTATTTAAATTTAATTTTTGTATTATTTTAAATAAATCATTAATTTCATCCATTTTTATACCACATCTTGCTTGTGCTATGGCTTTGATTTCATTGTATAATATATATTTATATATTTTGCTACTTCCTACTTGTGCTATGGCCGACTGATGAAAATTCTTAAAACTCTATCAAATTATAAAGGGCACGTGGAATGTGATGCAAAATCAAATTACATTTAATTTACAATTCAATTTTTTTTTTCACAAATTTAAGTATTTCATGAAAAATGTTTATATTTTGAAAACTAGTATTTCAATTCCAAACATGTGATGTAGATTAACAATCATTTTATACCTATCTTAGTGAAAGGAAATAAAAGTTGAATGTCTAATAGGAAATATTAAAAACTAATAAGATATTTTTTAATAAAGAAATAATTTATATACTTTTTTAACCAAGAAGATTATAGTGTAAGAATTGAAGATACATTGAGATTTAAACTTTATTAATTTTTAAAAATTTTTACATAAATTAATTGAATTAAATTCAAATTCATATATAAGGTTGTTTAAAATTTAATTTTAACTGAATTAATCAATTAAATCAATTTAATTAGGTTAATCAATCGATCATTATATTAATTTCACTTGTTAACAAAAATGATTTTAGAGAAAATTTAATTTTTAATTAATTTGATTCGAAAATTAAATTAATAAAAATATAATAAAACTCAAATATAAAATTAAAAATATATGAAATAAATCATTTTATTTTTTAAAATTGTTTGAGTTTTTAATTTAATACTTTGATATTTAAATTTTTTTGGATAATTTTATTTAATTTATTACAAATATAAAAAAATTAAGAATTTAAAATATAATTTAATTTAAATATATTTATTATTCGATTAACAAAAAAAATTAATTAAATCAACCAAATTTAATTTAATTAGTTAATTTTTGAAATTAACATATTTGACTTGGTTAATAAAAATAAAAATAATATAATGCAGTTAATTTATTTTTAAATAATTTAATTTAAAATTAATCCATATGATCAAATGAATATCTCTATTTTTATATCTTTTTATATAAATTTAAAAATTAAAAAAAAAACTTTATCTATGACACAAAAACATGTGCAACTAAATAAAACTTATGAGCAAAGCAGTTAGCATGTGCAGTTCAATGAAAATGTCGGTTGTAATTTGATTTAAACTCTTCAAAATTTTGTTTTTAATTTATTATTCCACCAAACAATAAAGAATAGGAAAGTCCCCATGCGTTATTCATATCACATGCTGAGACTTGTTACGTAAGTTTGTCCCATTTGATGGCACGGACCGTTAAATTAGTCGCTGGAGAAGGGCAAAGAGGTGAAGGATATTTTGGTAAAAAGGGGAACGCAGCTAACGTCGGAGTCGGAGTCGGAGTCGGAGTCGGACCCATAAAAGTTGAAGCATAAAGCTAAAGATAGAGATAAAAAGGTTGGTCGGATTGTAGTGGGATTCTTGATAACTATTCACAATTAACACGTGCCGGTTCTGGGGGCCACCATCTTACCCACTCTTTAACTCTACACCGTCCGATCATAAACGTACTAGTGGTATCAAAATTTTGAAGAAAATTTTGATGAGTTTTAGCATCAAGTGGTTCTTTTCTTTGCTTGGTGGTCAAAAAAGTAAAAAGTTGGCAAAAGAAAAAAGTTTAATTCGGCTTTTACTTTGTACGCCCAAGCCCATTCCCAACTCCCTAGTTTTTCATAGATTGCCGACAACAAATTTTTTTTCTTTGTTACACGATTAAACTTATGTCCAATAATTAAATACTATTATATGTTTCAAAAAATAATAATAATATTTTTTCCTACTTAAATGGTTTGAAATGCATGATAAACTTTCCTTTTATATGGTCATTGTATTTGTAGATGGCAAAGACAACATGTTTAAATATTATGGTTGTATCTTTTGATGGGATATGCAGCTTTTTCTAATGTTTACACTTCTTTTTATAATACATAAAAAGATGTCGACGCTATTAAGCAATATTAAAAAATTATCTTTTGATGTTTTGGCTTTGATGAATGTGTCTAAGCTTATAATGTATTCCAAATTATCATTGCTTGTACATGATGGAGGAGGTCCCATACACATTTGCTTTTTTGAGTTTTATTATTTTGTTGCCCTAAAAAAATGGCAAGAGTTTATTAGACAATCTTGAACTCGATGACTTTGATTTGTTCATCTCGTTCTGATTAGAAAAAAACTAATTTATCTTTGTTGTGAAATAAAAAAGAGAGGAACCCCGAACATTTTTTAAGGTTATTAATTATGTCATGACAATTAGTCAATTGAGTACCATTTTTCCTAATCCAATCAAAGGGTGCCAAATGTTCTTACGGAATAACAAAATGAAAAAACACCTCTTTCATACTTAGCCGTCTTGGGCCACAATAAGCCCATATTGACCCTAAGGCTGAGGCCCAAAAAATAAGTTCATTTGCTGTGAGCAGCCTAAGTTACTTTCGCAGGTGATCAATAGCTCCTGACTCATGTTTCTCATCTTCTGACATTAACAAGGAAAATAAATCAAGCGATGAAGAGGGAAAAGGGGAAGAGCCGGAGAGCGAGGATTTTTTTTCTTTCTTTTAACTTTCCAGTTCTTTTGCTCGGACCCAGCCAAGTGTACAACAAATGCTGATTCAGGTTCAGCTTAAGCCTTTATCCTTTGCCATATGTCGCACAGGATTCGTTTTTACTTGGGAGCATGATATGAAACCCGACCACCACCTGTCAACCCAAGCTCCAAATGTCTCGTTGCGTAGCTGAAACGCGTAAACTTAATTATACGGGAACTGCGCTTTTATATACTCTAATAATGCATCTCCTGAACCCTCCGTAGGTTTTGCCACGAATTCAATCAGCCTTCGATTTACAGTTCCACGCAAAAGAAAATGAACCAGAGACAAACAAGAAGGCCCCAGGCAGACCAAGCTTCCAACCCGGAAGCTATCAAGTACGGCGATGTTTTTGATGTCACTGGTGGATTGGCATCTAAACCAGTTGCACCAAGAGGCGCAGCTACCATGCTTTCTGCCAATACCCAAGTGCTGGGAAAGCCGCTGGATGCCGGTGCTGCAGCTGTTATGCAATCTGTAGCTGATGTAAACGATAGTTCGGGTGTTGTTGATCCCGACCAGGGCGATGAGATGGTCGTTAGAGAGGGCGTCGCCCTTTCTAAATCCAAGAGATGTCCCAGGAAAAGTTGCTGTCACTGAAGCTTTTGCTGGCCATGTAAAATATATGCATGTCCCCTGGTTTTGTCAACTCGTTTCTATTAATTATGATATAAATCCTAATAGATTGATGGTTTTTACGAAACAAATGGCAAGGCAGTACAATCCACCTGATATGCGAGGCACCTCTCCATCTCCAACTCCAACTACAGGGCATACGTGGTGGACAACTCCATCTCCATCTCCAACGAGTGCGGTGCGGTAGATCAAAGTGGCATCACCATTGGAGAAGCTTTGGAGGCAACAGCTATATCTGTTGGCTAAAATCCGGTTGACCAAGGTGATGCAGCTGCAATACGAGCGGCTGAGGCGAGAGCTGCTGGTAGCAATGTAACCCAACTTAGCGGTCTTGGAGCCAAAGCTGAAGCTGCTGCTATTTTCAATACTGTGGCTTATGATTATAATAAGATCACTATATCTGATGTTTTATCGGTAATTAGGACTTTATAACACTTTCCCCGTCACTTAATTAGTTAGATTGCAATAATTAGTAATTTGCCAAATCGTCTTTAGTTAGTGATATTTCTTTGGGACAGGGTGCTACTGCAAAGTTACCTTACGATAAAGCAGTGACAAGTGAAGATGCAGATGGGGTAAGAGGTGCGGAGCTGAGTGACAAGCCTGACACGATGGTCACACCTGGTGGAGTGGCGGATACCATGGCGACAGCTGCTAGGGTAAACCGGAATGATAAGACATGAAGAGCTTTCCTGTGTATTATATATAGTTACTCATGCTAGTGCTATTGGGCAGCTTTAACTTTCAAGATTTTGTAGCAATGAATCGAGTCCATCTTGGGCTAATGTATCGTTATACGTATAATATCTTAAGTAGCAGTAACTGTAGTGTTCAAGTTTCCTTTTATAGTAATAATATTTTGCTTAATTAAACCTTGCTTGTCCCATAATGGTAGACTGTCAATTATAATGAAGTTGGATTTGGATTTTCGCGCATCAAAGGGGGTTAACGTGGTAATGGATTTTGACTGTGAAGCGTCCGTTCTAACTCAATATTAGTAACATCGAAATTTGCAGTTCGGCATTAGGCGGCCAATGGCCAAGTAGAAAAGAAAAACGTTAGACAGTCTATGTAGTTATAGTTAAATGAGACCCCAACATGTACCAGAGAAGGAATGCCAAAGTGTGATTTTCTAGATATTTGGATCCCTTCTATGCACCTGGCCTCACAGAATTGGAAGAGCATATCACCTACTAACATTGGATTACAATAATTCATAATTGTCAGAATTTACTACATAGGACTACAATTAATCACAGTTCAGAATAGTATATTGATCATAAAAATTTTTTTCACCTAATGTATCCCTGCATAACAGCATTAATTATAAGATTACACTATGAAAATCATAGGTAAAATACACCACTCGACAAGTAGAATGGGTGCGTTGATTTTAGCCGTTTGTGTCGAATTGAATGAAAGTCAAGAGTCCAATGAAACGCAGTCGGTAGTTTTGGTTTGTAGGATCTTTTGGTTCATATCATATCAGATCGGAGGTTATCTGTTCGGGTTGGATTCAGGTCATTTCTATTCAAATCATATCAGATTGAGGTTATTTGTTCGGGTTGAATTCAGATCATTTGGGGATTGACATTTTGGTTTTATTCCTGATTGACATTTTAGTTAATTTAGATTTGGATCATTTAAGTTTAGGTACTTTTGGTTCAAGTTTTTTATTTTTAAAATCAAATAAAATTAGATTTTGAATAAATTGTTTAATCAATTGGATCTTATTGAATTATTTATATAAAATCCGATTTTATTAACAGTAATTAAGTTATTTTAAAATTATATTTTATTAAGTTATTTAAATTACATTTTTATTAACTTGTAAAACATCTTAAATTTTAATTTTAATTATCATAAATATTATTTATGATATAATTGTGAAAAAAAAAACTTTGGTTAATGATATATATTTTAAATGCAGGTCATGTTTGGAGTTATTTTAAATTTGGATCATACGGGTTGGACACTTGAATTATTTGGATTTAGATCATTTTTGGGATTCGTTAGTGACTTTTAAAATCATATCAAATTGGATTTTAAATGAATTGTTTAGTCAAATTGGATCTTAAATGAATTATTTAGATAAACTCAGATTTTATCAATTATAATTAAGTAATTTAAAGTTGCATTTTTCTTGAAATATAGAATTAAAAAAAATATTTTTATTAATATGTATTATGTAATTTATATAAATAATATATTATAGTGTAGATATTTAAAAATATGTTGTTTTCAATGTCTTAAAATTTAATAAATGAAAAAAACAAAATATTAAAGACTAAATAAAATACAAAATATAAAATATTTTATTTAAAAAAATTTATCTAGACTGATTTAGATTCAGCAATTTACAAATCTAAACTGAGTCTAGATAAAATGTGAGGCTTTAATTTGGATCAACTAGAATTAAACAAACATATATAATGTTAATATTATGTGCGGATTCAATTTAATTATAGACAATTAAATATCTTTATATATGATTTATTAAAATATTATATAAAATTTATATTTATAAGTGATGAATCTTATGTATTTTTTATAATAAATGAATAAATATAACATTATAATTAAAAAAAGTTAAAGAATAAATGCTTCCTGAAATCATAACTTTATTAAACAGGTTGCTCTGATGTTCCTCTGGTGAAGGATGGGGAACATTCTAGTTTGTTGCTACAGACCAACCTAAAGTACGTAGCCGGTTGCCAAGTGTCAGTCCCATTGCTTACTGGTATCATATGATCCAAGTCAAGTACGTCTTAACTCCATTTCTTACGCCATCTGTCATAGTGGTTCCATTAATCTCTTCCTGACGCCGAAACTTGTAATTTCAAGCCACGCTGTAAAAAATATGGCTATACGTGGCTCTGTGGCGCACACCACATGCTCCGTACTTGAAGCACCCCGTGGACTTCCCTCGGCAGCCACAGTACTCTATCCGGCTCCTTTTCAGTCCATTAAACACAATTGCACAAAACCTCCGATCAACCAAACTATGAGCCAGTAACAACCAAGAAGGCCACGGGCTGATCAATTCCTTGATCAGGAATCTACCAAGTTTGGTGATGTCTTAACGTCACTGGTGAACTGGCTTCAAAACCTATTGGACCACAGGATGCCGCCGCCATGTAGGCGGCTGAGACCATGGTCCTTGGACAAACACGAAAAAGTGGTCCTGCAGCCGTCATGCAATCTGCCGCGACCTCCAATGAAAGAGATAAAGGCCTCGTCAGGGACGATGAAGCTAACGTAGCAGGAGATGAGGGCGCCTCCGTTATTAAGTCCGACGCGGATGGCGAAGTTTGGATCATAGAAGCCGTTGAAGGACAGGTCAATTATTGGATCTTTACTTCTTATGTACATTGTGAAAGTCGAGTGACTTCATTAATTAGGAGTTATATTAAGCTTGGTTTATGCTCTAAGAGTATGCATAATCTTATTAACAACTTTAAATTCTTCTGTTATTGAGACAGGTTGTCGGACGATACATCCAACCAGAAGTTTCAGCGGTCACTACTCCAGCAACATTGCTTGCTCTTGATCCAATTACAGTTGGAGAGGCTTTAGAAACGGCATCCTTCTCTGCTGCTGATAGACCAATTGACCGGAGCGATGCGGCCGCAATTCAAGCTGCTGAAGTGAGAGCTACTCGCAGTAACGAGGTAATGCCTGGCGATATCGCCTCCGAAGCCCAGTCTTTAGCCACTCGTAATTCTCAAACCTTGAGGTTTGAAGATCAAGCCACCCTCTCGGACATTTTATCAGTAAGAGTTTTTTACCGAATTTTCCAATTGGTTTTTATTTCCAAAAAAAAAAAAAAAAACAGAAGATTCATATTGGATTCGAAATGTAATTTTCCTTTTAACAAGGTTTCAACTTTTAGTGCAGGATGCTACTTTGATGTTGCCAAGGGATAAGGCAGTGACTCCTGAAGATGCTGACAAGGTGGTAGCTGCGAAGGTGAGAAATAATCCTAACATGACTACCACGCCTGGTGGAGTGGGTGCTGCCATGGCTGCAGCAGCTTGGCGTAGTCAAAATTCAACAATTTAAATCTTTGGATCATACTACTTATTTCACTTTTTTTTTTTTTTTAAGTTATGTCATGCTTACTAGCTTAATTTAAGTTTTGACATCGTGTAGTACCCTTAACATAGTCACTATGTTACATGTGCCAGTACCCTAGTAAAAAGATATATATAATCACTATGTTACATGTGCAATAGATGCTTTCGAAATCAAATATTTGATCTTGTATATTTAATCTTAATGGGAATTTGATTGAATTAGTAAAAATCAAATATTTTGTTTATAAGTTTAGTTTGATTCACGTTGTCCATAAATTTTTTTTTAGACAATTTATAAATTTAAATATAAATTTTTAAGTTTTCCTGGTTCTAAACTTAATGCTCTTTCTCTTTCTTTGGTCTGTTTGTTACTATGATATATGCTTAATCTGTCTTCATTAATTGAGATGGATTGTCTGTATGTCTGTTTCTCTATCTTTGCAAAGAAAGAATAATAATATGCCTCTGATGCAGAAATGTGAGACGGGGTTAATACTTCATAATTGGTCATTGGAAAATGAAGTGGTTCTACCAAAAAAAAAAGTGAAATGGTCGATGTTGATGTCCTGCCAGTCGAAAACTGAGTTGGTTTGGCCCAAGAAAACGACCTCACATGGAAAGTGTTAAGGCTAAAATAGTTTGGTCCCAAACAGAGGCCAGCATCCACTTGGTTTTGTTGTCCTTACGGCCCGATAAATCTTCGTTCGGAATGTGTACGATGATATTCTTTTTTTTCCCTTCAAACTGCTTGGTTGATCACCTCGTTAGAAATATTAATTTTGTTGACTTGTCAAATGACTTCAATTTGCTTCTGCTTCTTTCTATTGGGAAGACAACTTTTTATGAATGGGGTCTTGTTTCGAATCGAATCCAGTTTTGGGTTTAACAGTACAAGTAATTAATAGTAATTTGTAACCAGTGGTTCAATGCATATTAACATAATATGTAATTTCATAATAAATAGTTCTAAGACATAACAAAAACTAGTATTACCATTATGTGTTTGGTGAAATAAGAAAATTAAGTAATTTGATAACTAACAAAATGTAAAGATAATCAAATATAGACTTGTCTAAGGATTGTATGAGTGTTGGGTAACCAAATCCAAAATATTAAAATATTATTATTATTTTTTTTACATTAAAAATATTTAAATACTAAAAATATAATTATTTTAATAATTTAATTTTTAAAAAACTTGGACCTTTTAAGGCTGCATGGTTGAGCCACGCTGACCTTTAGAAAAGAATTCTAGAACGTCCATCGGACCGGCCCGAGTCAGCTCAATACATGGATAGATTTAAGAAACTGCAGTAATATTACTTTTTATTTAAAAGAGTAAAGAATTAATAAATTTTTTTAGCTAATAAATATAAATTCATTTCTTCTGGAAAAAAAATTTATAGATATAAAGAAAATATTATGTAATAATATTATTTTTTATTAAAATTAATAAAAAAATAAGAAATTTAATAATTAATGGATTGAAAGATAATAAAATACGATAATATTATTTTTATTTAAAATAGTAATAAATTATATAATTTGATCATATACGATTGCAAATATAACAATAAACAATAATACTATTATTAGACAACAAAAGTTAAAATTGTTTAAAGAAAACTGGTAAATGAATGGTAAAAAAAATTATCTTTTCTCCCCAGTCCCAACCGGTTATCCGGTTGAGCTAAGGTAAAATTAATGATAGGGCGTACATGCCATGCTAGAACCTTAAGGGAAGTGTTCCAAGAAGAGAGCAAAATGAAGTTATTGGGTGAAATTTGTGAAGTTTTTTATTAGAAATAATTAAATATAAAATAAAATAAAAAATTAAAATTGATATATTAAAAGGTTTCATTACATAAATGATTGTGTAAAATTAAAAAAATTTAATATATTTTTTAGATAAATATTTTTAATAAAAATATTGATAAAATTTTTATTATTTAATAAGTATGATCAAATTTAAATTATAAACAATATTTTTAATTTTTTTATATGTTATTTTTCTTTACTTTAAACTCTTTCAATTTATCAATTTGAAATTTTTATTAAACTTTCTTTAAAGATCAATTTATCATGATTATCAATGAAAAGCAAATGGGAATCAAGATAGCACCCATGAAAAGCAAATGGGAAAAGCACCCCTAAGTCTCTCATTGGGAATCAAGATAGCGTCCATAAAAGAACCACGGACAAATAGTTAATGTGCAATGAGGTTGATTTTGATAAAATATATACTAGTATATCCAATAATTTTGCAGAACAGAACAGATGGGAAAGTTTCACTGACTTAACCCGGTTGGCTGGCTTATGGGCACAGATCCTCCACCAGGACATTTTCTACGGCTCATCTTGAAGATCTGAACCTGACGAGCGTGCTCTCTGAATTGGCACTGCCGCACAATCTTCTTGGGTTTCTTTCTAGGTCTTACCTAACACACATGAGAAGTATGAAAAAGAAGGGTTTCTTAATTTTTTTATATTTCAATGATTAGTCATATTTTATACGCTGGTCTTTTCTTGCGTATTTCATTAAGAAAAGATATCGCAGTTAGGATGAGTTAAGCAATCATCGAGAACGAGCCTCCGGACCCCCCCCCCCCCACACCCCAATCATTGGATTACTAACCAAGTGTGATGTGGCTTTGAAACTTCTGATGATAGGAACAGGTTAATGTCATTTCTCAAGTTGACTGTATGATGTTATATAGGTAAGTGAGGGATCTCTGTCCTTGCCAGCTGCTTCCGTCTACTCCACGTTTCAGTTTTATTGAATTCACAGCTCTCCTACGAAATGAACACAGAGGGAGAGAGGGAAACTAAAACAGGAAATGCAACAATTCTCATGCTTATGGCCTATGTGCTTAATCAAGTGCTTGAGTGGTTGCAAAATCGATTAATCGTTAGGGAAACAATTAACTGAACATAACATCTGACGTTCTAATTAATCAGTTGTCAAATTACTGAATTTTTATTAGTGAAAAGGATTGAAGAAAATTACTTAAAAAATGTTGATCGATTTGATTGACAGATTCAAGTTAAGTTTTCACCAGGCACAAAAATTCAGATTTAAAACAACAATTCAGTATTCACGTAACTTTAGCTTGTAGCAGTCATTTACTTGTATTACTGTTTGTTATCATTATGGCTATTTTCATTTCTTTCTCTTGACTAATGAACGAGCTCAGGCGGGGACCAACCCACCCCAAACCAAATAAGGTGGCCCAGCGCTTAGCCTTGGAAGTAAGAAAGAAAAGCAGGATAATTACCATAGTTGGTATATAGACGATTGAGTCGAGCTATTTTTGAGTTTCATTGAAATTCGGGTGATTACACAAAGAAGTAGCTTGATCAGCTGCAGAAATTGACGTTGATTTCTCATGCTAACTTTTTCTTGTCTCGCAGTGGATGGTGGCCACTCTGTTGCCATGTCCTTCTCTGAATATTACAACAACAGTTCTGCTGCTTCCTTCTATTGCTTCAGCTTTTCTAACGGAACATTTGTGTGTCTATATATATATATATATATATATATATATATATATATATATATATTCCAATTGATTTTGGTAAAATTAATTTAAATTCACGCATTACAAAAAATCTCAGACGTCATTTCTTGCAACAGGTAAATTTACATGTACAGTGAAAGCAAAAAAACTTGTATATATATATAAATATATATTAAAATAATGCAACAACTCATATAAAGTGGGATTAGGAATGGCATCAGGTCAAAGCTCGTCTCGAATCTAATTCGATTTTATATTTTAGCATATTCGAATTTGATCTTATCCAATTTTTTAATATTCGAATTCGACACGATTCAATACTATGTAAATCGTATTCGATCTGATTCGACTTGAAATTAATAAAATATTATTTTTTAAAATATAAAATATTATTTTTAAAATATAAATATTTAAAAATATCATTATATAAATATATATAATAAATAATAATTAATTAATTAAAAAATATTTTTTTATATAATGTCGGGTCGGGTTGGATCGAATTTTAGGCATACCCAAACTCGATCCGACCTCGATTATTCCCTAACTATACCCGATCCGACCTTATCTGAAAATCAAAATTAAAAAAAAAAATTCAATCCCATAAGGTCGGGTCGGACCAAAACCCGTCAGAGACGGGATTGATTGCCGTCCCTAAGTGGGATACTACTTCCAAATAAATTAAAAGATTCAAATTACCTTTGGTTTATACATAAATCACACATTAATGGATACAAAGTTTGTGTTACCCATCAGTACAATCATTTTATAGCTTTTATGCTCCCTTATATAAATTTTACGTGAAAATAATTGATTTTATGTTTATAGAAAATAAGGATTTATATATATACATATATGTGTGTGTGTGAATCGTAAGTTTATATGCGAAACAATTAAAAAAAAGAATTTTGAATTTGAGAAAAATTAAAATTTTTAAAAATAAATCAAGAAATACATAAATATAAATAATAAAAATTTATATAAGAGTTAAGAAAATAAATAAAAAAATTTATTTTTGATAAAAATATATAGTATAAAAATATTCAAAACTTTGATTTAATATGATTCAGTTTTTTTTATCTTTCGAACAATCAATTCTAAAATTATGAAATATAAAATTTAATTTATTATTATTATTATAAAAAAAAGAAGAAAAGGAGAGAAAGATAATTTAATGTGTTCAATATAAAAAATGAAAATAAAATGAACGTGGAAACGTTGACAAAAGAAATAAAAGTTGAGCAAAGAAAAGGATGAAAGTATATTGTATATATGTACAATATATAATATTGTCTTTTGAAATATTAATTAAAACTTAATTATGAATATTCTTGATCTTGACCTAGGCAACCTCCATTTAGGAGATGTTATTATATATTGTACATATATTAGCGTCAAAACATTGGATGATGCATTCCGTTACCTAAAGTAGTGATTGAAGTTAAGAGTGTAAATGATACATTATTATTTGTAAGTTATTCATGTTTGATTTAAATAAAATTTAAATTCGATTCGATTATTATCAAGTCGAGTTCAAGTTTAAATAGTTCAACTCATTGATTGAGTCAAATTTGAGTATTTTTATATTTGATTCAAATAGTTCGTAAATCTAATCGAACTTTTATATTTAAATATAATTTTATTATTTTGATTAATAAAATATCTCAAATTTAAGCTCGAATATAAATAATCGAATTTTTGTTAAATATAAGAATCGAATTTATTTTTACATATTAATCGAACATAATCGAACGAGTTCGAATAACTTAATTTTTATTTCGAATTAAATTCAAATTAAAAAAATTAAATTTGATTAAATTTAATACGAGTTTCGAATCTTAAATTTTAAATCAAATTTAAATTTAATACTATATCCATTTGAACTTAATCAATTATACTTCTAGTCGGGGTTCCGTTGGACACAAATAGAAGCAAAAGGATAGCTGGATTGGCCGACCTTGGGGCTCCCTACCATGTGCTCTCAGCTGTGGTCGTTTTAACATTGGTTGGACCATCCCTGTAGCCTAACTGACCTCTCTCTTTCTCTACGCTGTATTCCGTGACCGAAAACGCCTTTCCCCATTCTTTTATATTGCCGAATATCTACTAAGAAAAATAATTATGGGTACGTAGCAAGCATTCTTTCAAAGATTTTGCAATAAATTAGCCTCCGAATACTTGTCAAGACTGTTTTTATCATAAGTGGGAATCCAACATGTCATGAACATGTTTTTATTTAATGCCATTGAAAATTACAATAATCTAATTTGCTCACATTATCCGTCATATAATTTTTATATAAATTTTGTATAAATCTAATTTTTTTAATGATTTAAAAATACATTTTTATGCTAATTTAATGCATTTAAGATTGAGAAATATGATTTATCCCACTTTTTTTTTTTAATTTTTGCACTTACTTATACGACATATAATATTAATGTAATTATAATATTTTATTTATGAATTAATTGATTTATTCGTAAATTCATTAATCAATAATTATATTGTGTTAAAAAAATAAAAATTTAAAATAAAATTAATGAAACAAATGACATGACTTCATAATATTTTATTTTAAAATATTTTTCACAAAAATCAAATTTTAGTAAAAAAAAAAAAAAACCTGCTTTACGAAATCTAAACCATGTGAGTAATGATTATAGATTTTCACTCGTCCAATCAAGTATAGTGAATTGGCACGCATGAGTAGCAGGTTGGTGGGGACAGATCTGGAAATTGAGAAGTGAAATTAATGCAGAGAGAGAAAGAGGTGTATTTATAATTTTTCTTCTTACAATCAACAAAATATATGAAGTTATGAGAGATTCTACTCTACTACTAGCGTAAATTACCAAATTTATCCTTTGACTGCAACCTTGCGTACCACTTAAGAATGCAAGTTGTGGAACCCAAAAACTAGACAAGTCAAGTGATAAGATAATCATAGCCACTTGATTTTGATCCATCACTTTCTTTTGCTTTGACAATCAGAGGACAGTTCTCCCCCGATTATGACCACTCCAATTACAGGGTCAACGTGCGTATTAACGGTTGGTAAAAGAAATATTTTGATTTTCTTTCTTTAACGTGGTTTCAAACAGAATCACAAAAATGCCTCTGTCGTTGCCCCCACTGTATATACTTTTTGCATGTGCACCTTACGTAAAACTTAAGTTTATCTTTTATTTTATTTTAATTCATTTGTCTTATTATATAGCAAAAAATACAATGTTTTAATTAAATTATTTTCTCTTCGAAGCAGGTAAAAATGGTTAAACAAACTCTGGAAGGTTTTTTTTTTTTTTTTTTTTTTGTCCATACGTAGTGATTTCATTTTTATCAAAAATTGAAAATAAAGTGATTAACACGTAACAAACTCAAAAAATATATATAAGTTGGGAATAATGTAATAATTTTTATCTGATATCATACTAAATATTTACTTTAAAAATAATTAAAAATAAATAAAAAAATTTAATTTAAATATAAAATTATAAAAATTCAAAATTTAACAGATATAAAATAATATGATTTAACATTTACAACATTTTATTTTTTTTAAATCTTTTGATTTTTAAAAATATCAAAAATTAAATCTAATAAGTGAAATTAAAAATCTAATAATTTATTGAACCACGTGACTCTGGTCATTATCTTCAAATCTGGTTCTAAATGAAGAGAATGGTAAAAGATGTTGTAAAACATATCAAACGACCAAAATTAAAAGTGAAATTTCTCAATCTATATAATTGTTTTCTACTGCATAGTATAATAATTTTCGTGAATTGAAATGATTGACATGTTTCATTGTCGAGAACTTCGTAGAGTTTCGCCATCAGCGCTCTCTCTCTTTCCCTTTCTTCACAAATATATTAATGGAGCCTCCTTCCCCTTCATTTGCCTTCTAAATTCTCCTAAATAAACAGAATTAAGTTGGAGCCTGGAACTTCATTTTCCTTCTCTGTCTCTGATCCCAAGTTGGGCGAAATTATGCCAGGCACCCTGGGCAAAAACCTCAATCTTTGCTTCACCAAGATCAAATTCCCCTTAACTTCCCAACCTCCCTCTTCCCTGTTAACCCCAGATGATGACAGCCGTCCATTTCCCTCCTCCGACGCCACCGCATCAACACTCCTCTTCAAAAACTACAACTCCCTCTATGACAACACGTTTGACTACTCAACCTCTAAATCTTTGACCGCATCATCACTCTTCTCCGAGCCCGAGCCTGAATCGGATTCCGAACCCGACTTGGCTACCGTTTTTGCCACACAGCGCTTCTTTTTCACTTCTCCAGGTAGCTCCAACTCCATCATTGAATCAACAGCGTCATCAATCGCCACTACTATGGAGTCATCAGATACCCTTTTAGCCAGCACTTCTAGTCCCATCAATAATGCAAATCAATCCTCAAACGACGGCTGTGATCACCCGAGTCACGAACACAGCCACCCAACGACCGTTAAAGACAGTGTAGCTGTTCCAACTTTCTCTCCAAACCCGTACATGGATTTCAGGAGATCCATGCAGGAGATGGTGGAGGCACGTGACTTAATCGACGTCAAGGCTAACTGGGACTACTTGCATGAGCTTCTTTTGTGTTACCTTGCATTGAATCCCAAAAGTACACACAAGTTTATTATAGGAGCATTTGCTGATCTTCTTGTTAGCCTAATGGCAGCCGAGGGCGGTGGAAGCGGTGACTGAGACGTCATTGAGATTACCGGCGGTAGGATTCCAAGGCAGTGATTGTAAAAAACATGTAACAACATTTGGTTGCCGATCAGATATTGATTATCTAATCTTGTTACATTTAATCTAGTAACACATATACATGTGGGGAACAAAAAAGTTGGTCCCCTTTTTTTGTCTTCTATACTTGCACATACTACAACTCTATCACCTTATCTTCTATGCTTTCTCCCTGTGGTCCTTGTTTTTAAAGCATTGCAATTTGTTTGTTGATTATAGATTTATTAGTTAGAATGAATTTCATCTGACATAAATAATTGACTTTTTTTAGGGTTTCTTCTTCCCTTTTAAGTGACTAAGAATTTTAATATTGGTTTGGGGAAATTAACATTTGTCACACAAAGGCATAAAATGTCAGGTAATAACTTTTGGCATTATCGTAGAATGTGTGTAGAGCTGAAGTTTGTATCTGTAGTATAATTTCTAATGCAAACAAGTTGCTTATCTTTGTTTGTACTGAAAAAAGTTTCAGAAATGGCTGTCTCTCTCCCTCGCAAAAAAACTTCTGTTTCTGACTTTCAAAATTTGATGAAATGAAACATGGGCAAGAAATGTAACAAACGTAAAAAAAAATGGTAGTAACAAAGAAAATAAGGGGATGAGAATGTATAGATTCATATAAAAATTATCAAAACCAAATTACTATAATTGAACGGAGAATAAGAGAGAAAAAAAAAGTTAAAAGGTAAAATCACGAAGGAAAAAGATATAGTTATCAATCTTGCATTGTTTGTCATTACAGATTATGTGTACGCAAAGAAATTGTAAGGTTAGTCGGCAAACTCGGCATTATTTATTCCAATATTTTTATTTTCATTGCCACTGTCCCTTTATTTCTTGCTTATTTCCTGTTGGCATCCTTTTATTTTATTACTGTTCCCCTCTAAAATTTAGACATGCCTTTTGTCTTTTCTATGCACGCCCCGTCGTTTCTTTCGAGTTAAGTGAGAGAAACATTATAAGATTAAAAAACCTCGAATTCCATGTGAGCTTGGAATCAGTGACCCTAGCCTTATACACAAAGTCATAAATGGATAGCGATGGACAGATTAAACAACAGGTAAATTTTAGGCAGAGATTTTTTTTGTTTTCTACCATTGTGATTGAGATGAAGCCAAAAAAGTTCATCATTTAATAAGTTCCCTAAGAATCCTTAAAATATTGTAGACAATTTCCGTGTTAAAATTAAACCAAATTGGAATCAGTAAACAATTTCCATGAAAACAGACAGGATCAGGGAATCTTGAATTTGTCCTTAATTATTTTTTTCTTTTTCTTTTTTTTTTCCTCTTGTTAAGGACATGAGAATAAGTTACCGTGCAAGGTTAACGGAAATGTGTAGATGATGACTTGTACTAGCACTGCAGCTATGATTGATTTATATTTTTCTAAGCGAGTGTTTCATATATAATTGTCTACATGATTAAATGTTGGAACGATGCTGGATTACCGTACATTGGTCCATCTTGCACCACAGATTAGAGTTTAGAATTAATGAGTTGAGTGATCACATGTTTGTGTCATGTACGTCACACCCAAGGGATAGGGAAGTCTTGAGAGAGAGAAAGAAAGAGTCTAGCTATAGTTATTGTTTTAGTTGTCAAGCACAGCAAATAATGTTTTAAATGGTAGTTGGTTTTTGTTAACCTATATCTGACTTTGTGATTTCTTTAACAATGCATTGCATCAAAGCTAAGGTTAATCTACTCCCTGAAGAAAGTAGGGGAGGTTAGTGGCACAAGTTTGTGTTTGACAAACCCATCAAATTTGTTAAAGTTCTAGAGATGCCAATAGAAATCCGAAAGCTCACGTGATTTATTAGTGAAATATTAAAATTTTAATTTTAAATATAAAAAAAATAAGTTGATCAAACACAAATGCAATATAATTTCCTCGTATAAAATGTAATATAATTTCCTAGTATAATGCTTTCTTCATCATACTAAACAAGGTAGGCAAAGACAAGATAAAATTTGTAATTGACGAAACAGAGGATTAAGAAACAGAATAGTACGGAGAGTGAAAAGGGGAGGGGAGCAGGCCTCTTGTTCTTGTGGACGTCTGCTTTCTTGCAAAAAATGTTGGTGGAACGGAAACCAAGCCCTTTTTTGATAGGAGTCAGAGCAAACAGAATTTATATTCAAACACAAAAACTAATCAAATCGACAATACAAATACAAAGGTAAAGTTGCTAATTTTTAGACACTAACCGCGGCTAGGGAGCAGATCAGGGCACCGGGAAAAATTAGAAACAGGGGTTAGGAAATGTTCAAGAGGTTTACCGCAAAGATACCAACAATTTTTCTGTTGCCAGGTAGTTCTCGAGGCTACCTTTTTAACACTAGTTTTTCGAATATTTTTGAATCTCAATAAAATTCTTCTCTTATTGCTTTCATAGATTCTACAAATAATTTTTAAGTTTTCAGAGTCAATTAATTAGATCTACTATCAAGTCATGATGCTTTTAAAGGCGTTTTATGCTAAGGGGCAGGGGAAAATTGCAAATTGCAAATGCCATGTTTACTGTATTAGTTGGAGAAAAAAACTTCTATTGAAAAAATAGAAAAAGAAACTATTAGGATAGCTCAGCGTTGAAATTTCCATTTACAAAACGCATGGGAAGGACAAAAACCACGATGGCGTTATGCTACTCAAGAGAACACTATTGGCCTATACTGTACACAGCATGAGAAATTAAAGTACCAACCTAAAGCTTGCCATAGCTAGCATCCCAGTTCCAAATGTTAATTCTTCCATAATAGACGAACATGAGTAAGCCTACAGAAAGTCTAGCACCTTAATTAGTTGCTGCCATCAGAAAGACACCTTATCTCAACCGGAAACAAAGGAAAAAGAGATTAGCTAGCTAATTGGTTAGACAAAACTATCACCTCGGATCCATGTGATTCACCTCCAACAGATGCAAAATGAAGTGCCACTCCAAAAGTTAAAATTTGAGTTGCAAAATGATTCAGAATCACAGTTGACCAGAGAACTTGATACAGGGTGCTCAGGTTTGGCATTCTTCTGAGCCATATTAGTAACTAAATTACCTTCAGAGAAATCAGACTTTTTAGCAGTTAATGTTTCTCTCTGATAATAGGCGTTGGTCACAGCAACCTCGGAACAAGCTGAGACAACCTCTGAGGACACGAGCATGCACAGCTGCAAGTTTTCTTTTTAGGATCTATCTTTATAAACCTCATAATAAGTATAAAAATTTACAGCGAGTGGAGCCGGGACTTCACCAGATGCACCAATCCTGTCACCCCGTTTGGGAAGAACTATTTTTACTGTCTGGATGCAACATCATAACAGCCATTTGCAACATCTTGAGCACTTGGAAGAGCTGATGGTGAAGTTTGGTTGGCCAGATCTTTGGCAATAGCATGGAATTTTTTTTCTTCTTCCATCCTAAGGACCATCCCATCAAAATCAGAAACGCATTCTACCACCTGTAATTTTGAATTTTCGTGATGCTTGATGTCATTTGCATCCTCAGACATCTGAATTGTACCATCAAAACCATTAGTAACAACTTTCTTACCAGCAACCTTTGACACATGAACAAGAACTGCTACTTTATTTTCATCACCAACAATATCGTCAGAGTGTTTGACAGAAGCCTCATGCTTAGAATCAAGGTTCTGTTCAACAAAGCTTTCATCAATTTTCTCCTCAGAAGATATGCTTAATTGAGAGTCAAAATCCAGTTTCCTTTCTTCAGGTACTGGAATGCACGAACAAGAAACAGTAGCAGACTCTGGAAGATTGATGGTCTCATTCGTTACATCAGATGTATATTTCAAGGTGCCATCAGGAAGCAGTGACGTTGATTCAATAGGTTCATCGTTTCTCTCATCTGTTTGAGGTGCAGGACTCTCAGCAGAAACATTCAAATCAAACACAAGTGAGCACCTCTCCCCAGATTTATTGGACCCATCAACCATTTTCTGGTTCTCTTTAACATGTGTCAGCAATGGTTTCTGTAACATATCTATACCAGGAAAGACCAGCATACTCATGTTCCTCATCTTCTGCTTGCTTGCAGTTTCTAGAGGCTGGAAACCAAAGACAGAAGTCCATGTTTCCCTGAGTTCTGAGATTGCAGGTATGACCAGTTTCTCAACATTCAGAGAGCTGAGAGCCTGTAATCATGTGGAGAAGAAAAAGAACCATAAGGATAAAAATCTGGCTGAAATAGATTAAAATTCAAAAATAGCCTTAGAGCTATCACTCTATTACTCTTCTTAGACACACTCACAAATCCTTGAATAAAAGCCTGTCACCTATGAATTACTTCCTGTATCATTAGGTTGAGGGAAAAAAGTAATTTATATCTGGTCACAATGACTTCTATTTGAAAAAATAATCTAATTTGGACAGTATCCCAAAAAAAATCTAATTCTGTAGGGACGAAGTGTCATGATATTCAAGGTTAAGTCATACATATAAAACCAACTTGTAAATGTCAAAATTCTTGAATGTAACAATAAGTGAGCCTTCATTGAATTTTGTGAGAACAGCTACATAGCTTCTCTTAAGCCATGCCCAATAGCCAAAACTTTTCACAATGTAATTGATTTTCTAGCAACATAATAAAAGACATGCAAATAAAAAAGGAAAACAAAGATAAATTGATTCAGAAATACCGATTCAACTGCGCAAAGAAGCCGGCGACACATCCCTTGACGCCTATAAGTATACCGGGTTCCAATGAAAGGCATCTCAGCTAACTGGTTTCCATGGATCCTATTAGCCCAATAAGTAAAAACATAGTAATCATTAGCATTTAAGCAAACATGAGGACAGTGTGCTGAGTGGGCAGGTCTATCAGATTATGATCAACAAATCTACAATAATCAACCAGTCACTACATCAGAATGATGATCATGTACCATTAATTGTATCTATGAATATAAAACAAAATGTAATGTGTTAAATCTTCAAACTCAATATATTCACATATTAGAAGGCTAGTGGCATTCTGGATTGGGGGAAAATTAGCAAACTAGCTTCAAAATGTAAAGATATAATAGAAAACGGCAGAGAAACAAAAGTATGGCGGTCAAGAGTGTTTTAAAGGTATGAGTTGGAACATTACCTAATGGATGCTATCTTATAATCATTCTTCAAATGTAAAGACATGCTAGAAGTTTTGAGGTTCAAATTCAGTATTTCCACACTTTATCCTCTAATTCAGCAATGAACTAAGACAAGAACAAACATTGATAGAGGGTGAGATGACAAAAAAGAGCAGAAAGTAAATTTACCTGATGGATGCTGCGGAGATAATCTCATCCCCTCTTTCTAGAATTGCAGTGAAAAAACCGCTGTAGTTTAGCCTAGTGAAGTTTGACCTGAGGGAAAAAAAATTAATAAATCGCTTAAAACAGGAACGTATTGGTTTTATTCAATTTCAGAACCACAGTAACAATAATCATGCAGAAAAATACAATATCACTTAACAATAAAACTATGCATTAGGTTGTCTTTCACTTATTACCATAGCAAAGAATAGTACCACTTGACCACAAAAAACTCTGTTCCATGCCAATCTGCTCAATGGCAGCATTTTAACGATTCCATATGGTTAAGGTAACTCTGAATGTCTAAATATCACATTAAGTCATCACTACACATGTTGATTATGCTGCTTGTTTCTATCTAAAGATTAAAAGCTGTCTTCATTCAGCTTAACATCCTTTCAATCTGCAGACCTAGTGCATGACATTGCATAATGTTCTGCTCTAACTTTTCTAAAATATAATTTCAAAGCTGTAGTGTAACTACCATTCAACTGCATATGCATCCTTAGACACAAACATTAAATTAGGGACTCTTGAAGAAAGGCAGCTGTGCTTGCATCTTTGTTGCCAATTCCCAAAAGGAATTACAAAATTTAAGGAGAGGATACAGCAGCAAGCTAAAAATCAAACCGTACTTTCCAAATCATACTCTTACATAGAAGGAAAAGCCAACTTTTCTTGAAGAACAGTAATTAATTTAATAGGAGAATAATTATCCTGAAGTATACACAGAGCAGATTAGGTGGACTTACCCAAAATTATAGACAACATTATGAATCAGATTGATCCCACTTCTGTGGTCAACAAGAGGCAAAAAGCACTCATCCATCACAGATAATGCAACAGCTAGCTTTGAATTTGATTCAACCTTCTGATACACTTCACTGAGACAAACATCTGAACTGATATCAAAGCGGTGAACAAGAGACCATGAGAAGCCTTCTGGCAGTTCATGTTTAACCCCAACTAGCATCTGAAGTCTCTCAAACAACTGGAAAAACAGAAACTTTAAGATTAACTTCAATACACAAAAAACAGCGTAATTTCTCCCTTGTATAAAAAAGGAGTGTTGTTATGGAATTCTCTGTATTCAAATTCAAAGCAAAACTTGTGTGCATGTTAGTAGCACCCAAATAGAGCCAGAGACCAGTTGAATGCACACAACAAGAGTATTGGCCTCCTTTCCCATTCTTGCTAAATGCAATGCACAACGTGGTATCAAGTTAGAGGTTTAGTTCCAATGATAAAAAAAACTCCATAAGATACAGAGTTAGACTCCTGGTTAAACCATAGACACAATCACTTAAATTTGACAAGGTGAGAAACACAATCATTTCATACCAGCAGACATAACTTAATTGACAGCAAAAACTAACAATTAAAATTTCATATACAAATCTGGCAAACCACTATAATTCCTTGCTGCACAATTACATCAATGGCCAACTAAAATTATACCTCTTTGCATCTCTTCCCACAAAAGGATGCACTACTAGAATCATCATCAAAAGCATCCATTGGCTGAATACATGGTTGATGATCTACACACCAAAAAAAAAAAACCTTGAGAAATGAATGGCATATAATAGTAATAACGACAATAGTGACACCAAAATTTAAAAAAAAAAAAAAAACCCAAGGGTGATCAACAATCAACGTATAAACAACAAAACTTGGAATTTAACATACATTTTTCTTCACACAAATGACATGTAAGTAATATAGGATCAGTATCCTCATCTTTGTCGCTTTGATCTGTATTTCCAACCACCCCACAATATTTGCATGTACAGTAGACACAGTTCCAGTTACCTGAAGGGAATGCCTGTGGCAAAGAAAAGAAAATCAGAATTAAAAAAAAAAAAAAAACTCACCATCAACATTTAAACTGAACCTAAAATATACTCCTACATCAAATTGCCAAAAAGAAAAAGATGTAAGCTGAATTCTCAGACACTGTTTTTCTTTCTGGCTACTTTTTACAAATGATTGTAATGGTGAAGTAATGTCAACAAAGAATTTCCTTTCCAAAAGCCTTCAACAAGAATTCTGAACATAAGTTTTAATCTATGCTTCTTGCTCCTAAGTTACAGTCAATCTTTGCTCTACATTATCAAGGCCCTGAGCAAAGCAAGGATGACAGCATCGATAAAAGCCCAGCCAGACTGTGAACTGTAAACCAAAAGAATAACCAGATATTGTAGCAGAGTTTTGTGTTTGATCTTAACAAATAAAGTCTTAGCACAAATAAACAGAAATTTATTTGCATCTTTAAGCATCCAATCCCATTATATCAATCATAGATCTCAGGGTGTCTACCACTTGAATGACAAAGTAAAACAAAATTATTAAGCCTTTTCCCTTTCTTCCATGTGCTTTGGAACCAGAACATGCCGATGTAGAGAAATTAAAAGTTGGGAAGGCACTAAGGTCTGGGTGGGATGAACTAGTGAGAGCTAGATTCCATATGCCTGTAATAAAGACAAGTGGCAACATGTATTTACTTGTATATCTAAGCAGCTTTGATGGAATGTTGATGGGCAACTGTCGCAACATATCAAGTCACCACCATCGCCGCAGATACCACAGGTATCATCATTTGGATCTTCACCACCAAAATCTACAAAATGGAAACCCTTGCATTTAGATTGCTGTTGTTTGTTCCATGCATCTAACAAGCATTGCAAGAGGGGAATTCCTGTTTCTAAACATATATTCTGAAAAGGCCGATGGAGTTTGCTCCCTGCATGAGTCTCAAATTCTGCAATGGTGAAGACATCACTACAACAGTTGCATTGGATGCCATCCCTGGTTATCTTACCAGACTTAATCTCACGTGTTCGTGTTCTTCTTTGGATCAAATATTCCACCTTTGTATCTTGTGGAACAGTGCCCAAATCAATCATCCAAGTAAGCACAGTTCGCTTTCCATCATATAGCACATAGCCATCATTATCAGATTCAGCTCCATCCATTGAGTTGCGGACCAACAAAGCATACCGCTTTCTATTTTGTGTCTGCTGTAGCTTAAGCTTCCTGCCTGAAACTTGCATTCCCCTTTGTAACGTACCATCAGAAGTTTCCTCTTCATGAAGCAAAAGTTTCTCTTTCAGCAGCTTCTGCTTTTTCTTTTTATTTACATCTTCATTGTCCCCATAGCCCTTCCTTTTCTTTTTTCGTTTGTTCATTTTCTTTTCAACTTCTCCATCATCCACTGTATCATTTTCCCCTTTTGGCTTCCTTTTTCCTAGCCTTTTCTTCCGAACTATTCTTGTTAGGATGCTAAGTTCCTCTTCCGGAATTGGAGTAAATATAAAACCATTTGGACTAACCTTAGAGTCACAATCACCACTCTCATAATAGTTTTTAAGCCTCCTGTAAGCCAAGGTAACTGACCAATGAGTCTTTCCTTCAGGATTAACATACACTGCATCATTGTACTGTTTTTTATTCCTAGGCCTGTAATCAATTCTCCAACCTGCTGCTATCAGCAGTTTCACTATTCGATCTCTCACAGCCCTTTTTGCTTCTGACCTTCTCGCTTTCTTAACTCTCTTTTCTTTGCCTTTCACATTCACAAACTTAGGTCTCATCGTTGGCGAAGCCTTGCTGTTGTTCTTTTCTATATCATCAAACCTAACCCTATTAGCACATACAAACCTCTTGACATTTGATTCTTTACCAGTCGGTCTCTTCTCTGAATATGAAGTATTAGCTGGCACATTAAACTTCAAACTCCCCCTCAACTTCTTTCTGCCCATTCTTAAACCACCCAGCTTTTTTCTCCCATCAATAAGCTTCCCCTTCAAAGCCTTGTTACCAACCTGAAGCTTGGGTGGTCTTCCACGCTTACGGATCACACCTTCCCTTACCTTGCTATTATTTTGATCGCTCCCTTCCCTTTTCAACTCAACCCATTTCTTCACTAAACCATCACTTTCCTGCATTTTGGGTGGTCTGCCACGCTTATGCTTCACTTCCTTCCTTAACTCACAATAAAAGTGATCACCCTCTCCCGTTTCCATCATAACAGCCTTCATCTCTAACCCATCATTGCCGTGCATCCTGGGTGGTATTCCATGCTTACGGTTTGCCTCCTTCCCTGCCTCAACATCAGAGTGATAACTCTCTCTCGCTTTAACCTCATCTGCTTTCTTCTCAAACCCTTGATTCCTGTGCACCTTGGTTGGTCTGCCACGTTTATGCTTTGACTTCTTACTGCCACCACCATCAGACTGATCACTCTCTCCTACTTCCACCTTAACTGCTGTCTTCTCAAACCCACTATTCCCCTGCACCTTTGGTGGTCTACCACGCTTACGCTTTGACTCCTTTCTCACATCACCATCAAAGTGATCAATCTCTCCTGCTTCCATCTTACCTGCTTTCTTTCCACTATTCCCACCATTTGTCAGCAGCTTGGGTGGTCTCCCACGCTTCCGCTTGAACTCCTTCCTTACTTCACAATCTGGGTAATCATTCTCTCCCACTTGCAGCTCAACTGTCTTCTTCTCAAACCGATTATTCCCCTGAAACTTGGGTGGTCTCCCACGCTTACGCTTTGCCATCTTACCCACCTTACCACCATCAGAGCAATTGCTCTGTCCTCTTTCTACACTAACAGCTTTCTTTTCATCCCCATCACTGCAGTTCATTCCGGGTCTCCTCCCAGGTTTTCTCTGCTCCTCCTTTGCTTCCCCATGAGAGTGATCATTCTCTTCCTTAACCACCTCATCTGTTTTCTTCTCACAACCATTGCTATCTTCAGTTTTATCAATTCCATTCTCAACCTTATCATCTTCATTCTCACTCCCATTTTTCACCGCAAACCTTGACCGCAAAACCCTGCCATAGAACTGCACTTTACCTTCTAAGCCTTCCTCCTTGACCTTGTTCTTCACACTAACATCTTCTTTATTATCTTCATTATCCTCCACCCAACCCTTTTTCCTCTCATTCTCATTCAATTCACCAACTTTTAGATTTCCCACCTCACCATCTTCCCTACATTCTTCAATCTCCTTCTCTTTCCTCTCAATTTCAATCTCTTTCAAGGAAGAAACTAACGGCTCGTCATTCAAATCAAAAACCCTTAGCTTCAAATCATCCCCTTTATTTTCCTCAACCTCTTCGCTCGGTAAAACCTTATCTTCCCCAGATTTCACCTGCAAAAGTCCAGATCCTACGCCCCCTCCCATCTCTTACAAAACCCTAGCTTCAAAAAGTTTCCTCTTATTATTTTGGGCTCACAAAATCACTTCAACTGGGATCATGCAAAAGCAAAACAAGAAAACAAGCCCCATTGGTTTCACTTTGGCCAAAGAAAGTTCAACCGCCAAGCTACTCAGCAGGATCTCAGAATACCCTAAAATCAAGACCCTGAAATTATAAACCAAAAGAAATCAATAAAAATAAATAATAACGTACCAAAACCCGAAAGTGATCACGAACCTTGCCCACAATGCAGCAGAGAGAAGGGAATCCTAAAGCCCAACGGCGTCGTATTGCAATGTCGAGATATAAGGGTGGAAGGTCATGGCCATGGCGTTCAAAATTTTGGGTATCATTGGGGTTTTAGTCTTATAACGAGAAGGAGAGAGAGATTTGGGATATTTGGTTTTTAAGGTCTGGTGCTTTGCTTTATTGTGGCTTATTGGTGGTTGTATGTACTCAGGTATCAGCCTACTCTGGAAGGTAGTCGGATGGGTAAGATTGTTTTTCTCTTTGTACCTTCGCTTCGCATTTTCCCTCCATGTTTGCGCACAATTTCTTCTTGTTAGTCAAAGGTGTTTTTTTTTTTTTGGAAAAATAAAATAAAGGATTGTATATTGTTACAGTGCATACTGAAAATTAGGTAAATGATTTTGTGAACGAAGGTCTTAAAATTTTTTAAATTAATTTAATTATTATTTATTTGATAATTAATTTCAAAACACTAATATTCATTAATTAAATGTTTAGTGTAACATAAAAGATTGCTTTCTTCTCTCATTCACTTGTCTCATATTTGTATGAATTTATTTTAACTTTAAATAAAATTAAAATTGAACATAATGATCTAAAAAAAATTAACTCTATTTATGAATTATTATTAATAAGTCAAAGAGCTCAATTATTCATGTGAATTAAAAAATGAATTATCATTTATTTTTAGAGAGATGATATTTTTTATTATTTAAAAATTTACTTTATTTAAAAGTGATAAATGTATTTTTTTAACTAAATTTATGATGAATATTTTTTAATTAATTTTTATATTTAATTCAAAATTATTAAATTTCAATGTTAAAAATGCATTTATGACATTTAGATAAAATATTAAAAATATTTATTAATTTTTAAGTAACGAATTATTTTTATCCTTAATATATTGAAAGTTTAAAATTTGATATTCACTCAAAAACCTTTAACAATTTGAATCTAATGAGATTGATGATTAAAAAGAGATCCAAAATTATTACTTCCTGAAATATTTTGCTATTCATTTTTATGAAATTTAATTTGTAAGCATGAAAGAAACTTGATTTTGAAGTGCACGCAAAGGGGTGCCAGTCTTGGGTCCAACCCAAGCATTATTCTATCAAAAAAAAAAAAAAAAAACACTATCTGAGTGATTTTCCCCGCTTGATAATTGTGATTAAAAAATAAAAACACAATGTGCTCCGTTAGTGCCCAAATAATCTTCACATATTATCAACAACTATATAATATATTAGTGAAATGTTAAATTTTTAATTTTTATGATTCAAATTTAAATTTTAATAATTTTAAATGAAAAAAAAAAATCATCTCATGGAGCGTAAGCAGTTAGCTAGGCAGGCTCATTTAGCTTGCGAAGCTTTAAATGTTGTATCAATTTTCAATTTCCAGCGTAACCTATACTATTGTTAGATCTATTCTACCAGGCAATTCCAAAATAATTGAGGCCTCAAAGCCGCCAAGAAAGGCAGCCCATTCCCATTTATGAATAATCAATGCACGCCAATGAGTTAATCTTGGTAGAGATATACCCATAGTACCAATATATATATATATATAAGATATGATAATGAATACAAGAAACACTTTGCTCCATTAATTATTTAATTTCATTTCATTTTTGGATAAAATAATGCTCCATTGATGAGACCATGGGTTGGGGTTCAGCCTGCCCATCTAAGTATTTCTTTAGGGCTTCGGCTTCTGCCTCTAAGCTTAATGGGCTTTAGGCTCATTTTAGTGCAATCGGTTTACGCTCAGTCATTGTTTTTTAAGGGTTTTTTTTTTTTTTTTTTTACTAAATCGTTTTCTCTTCTCTGTTTTGAGGTTAATTAAAAAAAATTCAGTTAATATAAATAGGATGATCTGATCTCCTGGCCATCTTTTGAACAAGATACAACACGACCCTTCGAATAGTTTATGTCCTTTGATTAGATTCTGATGGGCTGCCTGACATCCGCCGTCGAAATTCCTGAACGAGGACACCAATCTGACCGCGAAAACGGCCGATACATATCTAAATGTGATGGTTCCCCCAACTACCGCCACCGCCGCCGTAGCCCTAGCTACGAAGCCTATGAACGCGACCACCAGAGCCGCAACGTTAACCAACGCCGTAACCGTTTCGGTTCATCTGAATACAGGAACCCTAGAAGCCCTGTTGAAATTCCTGGAAGAAGACAGCGTTTTGACGGCGAAAACGGTCGCTACGCATCCGAATCCGATGATTCTACCGAATACCGCCGCAGCCGTCGCCGCAGTCCTAGTTACGATATCTACGACCGCGACCAACCTCGCAACCGCCACCGTTCTGAATCACCTGAAGACCGAAACCCTGGAAGACGGAGCGCCGCCCATGACCGAACCCTAAACTCTCTGCCCAAGAAATTCGGCAAGAATCGTAGCTACCTGGACCGAGATTATCAGAACGGAAAACATTTAGAGTCCGAATCGGACGAGGAGTTAAAAGGATTGAACTTTGAAGAGTATAGGAGGCTGAAGAGGCAGAAGATGAGGAAGGCATTGAGATTCTGTATTTGGGAGAATACACCGAGTCCACCGAGGAATGAAGACAATGATTTGGAGGATAAAGCTGATGAAATTTCGGAGAAGTATGGCGAGGATAATGGCTATGAGAAGAGCGATTCCAATAAAGTGAGGAAGAGCAATAAGAGAGTCAAATCCAAGTCTGAGTCTGAAAAATCTGGAAGTAGCGAGTCAGAGAGTGAGCCAGAATCTGAATCGGATGATTCAAGGTCTGAGAAGAGGAAGAAGGGGTCGAGTTCTAAGCGTAAAAGTAGTAAAAGCAAACGTCGAAGTAGGAAAACATCGTCCTACAGTGATAGCGAATCGGATGAGAGTGAGAGCAAATCCGATGATGAGGAAGATAGAAAGAGGAGAAGGAAGTCGAGGAGAAAGCAGAGTAGGCGAAATAGGAATAGCAAGAAAAGCAGTAGAGGAAAAAGAAGCAGGAAGAAGAGTAGGTATAGTTCTGATGAGAGTGGGAGTGGTGAAAGCGAAACTGACATATCTGATATGAGCAAATCTTCTGATGATCGTGTCAAGTCAAAGAAGCGGAAAAGCTCTTCAAATTCAAGGTCTAGGAGGAGTAAGAAAAGGAGAGGCTCAGGAACTGATAGTCAAGGTTCGTATTCTGATAAGAGCTCAGATTCTGGGGTTGATGCCAAGAGTAAATCAAAGTTAGATGAGGCTAAGATGGTTGAAATTAATGCTGCTGAGGCTCTTATGTTTAAAGAAATGATAGAGGCACAGAAGAAACCTGCTTTGGATAATGAGCCAATGGTTGGCCCAGCACCATTGCCAAGAGCTGAGGGACATATAAGTTATGGTGGTGCTCTAAGGCCTGGTGAAGGTGATGCCATTGCGCAGTATGTCCAACAAGGGAAGCGTATCCCACGAAGAGGTGAAGTGGGTCTTTCTGCTGAGGAGATTCAAAAGTTTGAGGGCCTTGGGTTTGTGATGAGTGGTAGTAGACATCAGAGAATGAATGCCATTCGTATTAGGAAAGAAAACCAGGTTTACAGTGCTGAGGACAAGAGGGCATTGGCAATGTTTAACTATGAAGAGAAAGCAAAACGCGAGCACAAGGTTATGGCTGATTTGCAACGACTGGTGCAGCGCCATATTGGCCAGGATGTTGGTCCTACTCACAACCCTTTTGCTGGAAAAGATGGGGCTGAAGCCTGAATCTCATGTATGTTCAATTACGTATATGCTGTTGGCACTATTAGTTTATTGCTAATTTGTTTGTGTGTTGCAATGAAAGCATTATTACTAATACTCACTGCTGAGAATTGCCCATCAAAGGGTTTTTGTGTGTGTGTGTGTGTGTGTCATTTTTACTATAGTATATAGAATTTTGAAATTAAAAAAATTGTGGCTTTAGGATGTCATCAATGATATTTACCTTGTTTGGGGTTAATGAGTGAGAAGAAATTGTTTACTTAATCCTTAGATTTGTGGGCAGGTTGGTATCCTGGACTTTCTGGTGACTGAACGATCTGTTGGTACACAGAGTTAAAGAGTTTCAGTTTCTGATTTCTAATGCTCTTCTCTGAGAGTGCTTTGGTTATCAGCTTATTGCTTGTGTTTAACTTCAATAATCTCATCTTTGGTCATCACGAAACTTAAGAAATCAATTGTTCCCGAAATCTGTTCCTTATTTTACCCCCACTAATTTAGCAAGATTTTTTGTTTTAAAATTTTCATTTTGAATGAATCTTTCCTGTGGATCATAGGTCTTAAATGATGAGGATTGCAATGGTAATAAAAATATAGATGGACAAGAATATCCTAAATTATCAGCCTTTGATTGTCTTATCTTGACATTGCCAAAAGCTGGACAAAGGTTCTTGATTGTATAGTTAATGTTTTAAGAGAAGTTTTTTGTAGTTTCAACTTCAATTCCTAATGCTGCAAATCTTTCAAGTTTCTAAGCTTTAGAGGCTAAAAGCTTGAAATTTTGTTATGGAATCTTAAATTGTCTGCCTTGTCTTAGAAATTGTTGGAGCATATTTTCAGATATTAATAGAAAGATGGGCAAGCTTGGGTGAGTTAGCTTTTGAAATTTTTACCAGGTTTAAAAAGGTTTACCATCCTTCTTAATAGAGTAGCTTAGTCACATTCTATATGATTAGAGTGAGTTTCTTTTAGAAAGATTCCATACTTTGGATCTAACTTGGTGACTTATGATTGATAATGTGCATTCTTGTAATTTTGAAAACCGAATAGGCTTTTCTTGGGTTTTTTATCTGATATCTTGCTTCTGCTCTTGTCATAGCCATAGGATGTGTAGAATGTGTTTGTTCTCTTTTTAACCCTTAATACATTCATATATTGGTTATCGAAGCCAAGCTCAGGTTGTTGGATATTATGGTTTGTGGTACCTGCTGAGCTTGCTAAATGTTGGAGAATGATTGGGTGCAATGCCCTTAAGAATGCATTTTAGTTTTTTAGAGAATGAGAAAGAAGAGAGCGCGCTTGTAGCATGATCTACAGCCTTCTCTAGGAGGTTTTATTTAAATGAAGGGATTTCAACTAGAGTACAACATGTTACATAAAAAGAAATGGTTTTGATGTCATTTAAAAAGAGTTGCCAAGTTAGAGAACTGATTATTAGTTTATCACAGTTATTGCAAGGAGACTTGACATTAAACATATTGCTTTCTTGTGCAGATTCTTGAGCTTGTCATCAGAATTGAAGAAAGTTCATCTCAGATTTGGCAGTAGGTGCAGGAGATTATGACATTGCACATACTGACGAATGAGTTAATTTAGGCATCCTTCCTTGTATGTTTGATTCTATGCAGTGTATGCAAGTGGCTGATGAATAGTAGCACCAACAATGAAAACTTGACTGTTGTTGCTTGATTTGTATACAATTTTTATTTCAAATAATTAAATGCTTTTAGACGATAAAGGTGCCATTGCAATTATAAAAAAGAATCTACTAACTGGAAAATGAACTTAGATGTTTTTTTGCTTTGATCTGCATTTGTTATGGTGGGCCTCTTTGTTCAGTTGTTCTGCATCTAATTCTGCATTTATTTCTGAATCATGGAGTATTATTGCTTATCAGGAAAAAGAGAACTATCATTGTTTTTAATTTTATAATAATGCACTTGTTGGCAGAAAGTTGATGGACATTTTACTTAAATGCATTAAACAGGTGGGATTATCAGATCAAACCTTCTCTACATCAGTAGTGATTTTTAAGTACATACCCCCAATTAGGCAATCAAGTAAACTACCTTTTCCAGTAGGAGCATTGGCCTCTTGCTTTGGAGTTTGATTTGAAATTAGAATAACAATTGAGACGATTTACTATTGATGCTATTCAAGGACCGTTGATTCCCAGAGTAAAGTACAGTGCCGAAAGTATTGGGTTGGGCAGGGAGTTAAAACAGCGAGGACATGGCCCATTAGAGATGGGGCCTATTCTTAATGGGAAAAAAACGTGAAAGAGATAAACAAATTTTTAAATTTTATTTAAAATAAAATATATTTTTGAACTTTTATTTGGATGAAATGAAAGTTATGAGCTTTTATTTTATTGCAATTAAAGTCCTGATACTATAAAAACTCTGTCAAGAGATGGGCGGGAACCCAGCAGTGTAAATTCGAGCAATCCAACAGTTGATCAAGAAGATTAATTCAAGGAAAATGATCGATGCTAGTTTCCGGTAAATGCTCTGCGCTACTTGATAAAATGAAAAAGTTGTTGGTGGCCCCAAAATTATGTCTCTGAAAAAGACCAAACAGCTTTGTTAGCTTTCATAATTGTTATTAGTTATCCATAAACATTACCTTCTCTCCTACAACATGGTTTTACAAGTGCAATTGAATGACGGGTATTTTCAAAGCAAGCTGGTAAAAAAAAAAAAAACAAGGAAAAAACCCTACATGTGAGATGCATGTATGTTGATGTTTACATGAGCATAGGCATAGGAGTATGGGTGATGCATCTTAGATGATTTGGAGCTTTCAGCACATGGGAATGAGGTTGATTGCAGATAAATGTCCAAAAGGAAAAAGGATGTTCAAGTTTTAGCCTTTGGGTTTTTTTTTTTCAACCTGTTTAGTTAGCCAACAGGAATGACATAATTGCAGTAGTTAAGAGAAACGAGGAGTTTTAATAGTTAGTCATTGAAACCTGGGGACAAACAAACAGGAGAAAAAGGCATAAAAGTTTAAAGTTACATGGGCCTTTGATTGCTGCAATCCCCCATTTCCACGACATAAGAACTGTGCTGGTAATAGAAATGGGAGAGAAGACTCTGATTAAACAGCTATTTACATAAAATTATAACGATTCCTATCGTCATACTTTTCTTGAAGCCTTGCTGATTTAAAGTAAATAAAAATTTGTTGAACAAGTTTTCTCAATTGCAGTCATTTGATGCTTTTCTGAGTGTGATAAGTGCACATGTTCACTGCTCGTTTATATGGTAAAGTTAATTGTATTTGGAGACCCACACTTCTCCTGGTCCTCCTTGAAAGCTACGCGAAGCCACCTAATTAGATTACATTCACAGTGAAAAGAGATAGCAGTAGAAAATCGAAAAAACTATCATCAAATGATTCAAATCCATGCTTTCAACTTTTTTATTTAGAAATTTGAGTAATCCTCACTTTTTCTTCTTGATTATTGATGTTTGTCATGTCATTTGGAAACCCGATAAGGACTTCAATGCTTTGATATAAAAAGATTGTTGAAAATATTACTAGTACTAATATTTTGCGTGATAAACATGACAATTGTTCTATGAGTCGTTGAAAATCTGCAAATGAGGTAGTATTCGAAATGCAACAGGGGGCACAGTTATCTGTCATTGGCTTTGTCATTGAACAGTTCTTGTAATTCTCACTGCTAGTTGCTTCTGCATCATAGATTTGATTCCAAATAAGTTGTTTTCACTCATTTAATCCATTTGTCTCTTGGCATTTCAGGGTATCTGATAAGGGTTGGAAAGCTTGGAGAAAGACGGATGGGAAGTAAAATGGAACCAGAAAATGATAAATGTGAAAATTTACATATACAGGACTGTAAAACAGACAATAACAGCTTTCACTTGTTTGAGAATGACCTGACCGCAGTATCTCAGAATCTCCTGGACTTTGTTAGGAATTCTTGGTATTCGTTGCTTAAATTAGTGTTGTTGGGTCTATATCTGGGATGTTCAAATCAAGTATTTAATTTTTTTTTGGTTAAACAGATTATGGGTTGTTAATACTTAATACCCTGTTTGTGGATTGACACCGCCTAGCCTTTTGTGGTTAAAATGTGAGGACAAATCCAATGCCAAATGGCCAATGAGTATCTAGTTCAAACACTGCTTAATTATTCTTGAAGGCAATTGACAAAAGGTCATAAAAAAAAAACTAGGGCCAGTAGGCCCTTACATGATGATTTGTGTAAGTTCAACGAATCAGTTGTTGTTCGGTGGGGGCAAGCTAATTTTTTTGCATTTTGTTAAAAAAGAAAAAGTAATTATGAAGTGTCGGTAATTATAGAATATTGTCTTTCTTGTTAATGGAGGAACAGGAGCCAAATTTCTGGCAAGAAAAGGTCCACTCTCACAGGGCATTGCCAACCAAGCATCAACCATTGCATGTGATTCACTACCCTTCCTTAGTATGGTATGTTTGATCAATGTTAAATTGTATTTCAATGTAACAGACATGGCCATTTAACCAATCAAAATCTGCCAAGAAAATGACCATTTTCCTCCTATAGAATTTTTTAAGTAAATTTTTTTTTTTGGTTGCGTATTCTATCAATGGCTTTCTCATTCTCAATAACTCAGTCTCCCTCTTTTTGAACTAGCGGTACTAAAAGTAATAAATTTCATCACTAAATTCAACATTCTCTCAAACATTAAAGTAATTGTTGTCCTTAAAAGACAAAAATGTGTTGGATCAATCAAATTCAAAGCCACCGTGAGTAATGGGGTTTGCATATCAAGAGGCTTTAATGCAACCTGGTTCACACTCTAGTAAACCATTGCTTTGCTAACTACAAAAGCAGCTGTCTCAATTCAATGCTTCAAAACCTCTATTCTCCTATTTTTATATTTAATGCCAGTGGTCAAGTGTTGAAGAACAACAACACTTTACTCTTCTTCCAGTCTTCCCCCTTTTCATTGCTTGCCAACCATTAATCAATTCTCTCCCCCCATCACTGAGATTGCCATGATTTTTGTGGTAACACGCGAAGCATTATATCTGTTCAACAAAAAAAAAAAAAAAAGGGAAAACAAATGATAAAAAAGCTCATCAGTGGTAAAAGAGAAAACCAAAATACACTTTACCATATGTTAGTTCTTGTTTTATCCTGTTATTAGCATTATTGATATTAAATGCTTTTGCAAGCATGTTCCATAGTTGAAAACCCATGATGTTAATCCGTTCTCATTGAATGCTCATAGCTTCCTTTATTTTCTTTATAGTGTAAGCATCTCTTTTTAAATTTTTTTTTTCTTTTTTATGTTATGTAATCCAACTGTCTAATGGTTTTCCTTCGTATCTGACAAAGATTGGGTGTACAACTATGCAAAAGGAAAGCCAGTAAAATTCATTGTGGTGATGTAGATCTTTCAGAAAAAGTTTGGCGTTTTGGGTTCTAAATTTTGGATTGTTTTTCGTTATCTAATGGCATGTGCAAGTGCAATGTCAGTTTGAAGGAAAGGGTCCATTTACCATTAGTATTCTTTTAATTATGGACAGGAAAGAAGATAAAACTGAACTTGTTTCTCCTAAAGCAGGAATTTAAGCAGAGAAAAAAAAAAACAAAACTTAAAAATAAATAAATAAAATGAGTGTACCTGATTGATAGAGATAGAGATAGAGAGAGAGAGAGATACTTATTTTTTTTGGCTTTTCTTTTGTGTAGCGTTGCATAAAAACCCAGCCTTTTTCCAGCAAATACACAGTTGCCATTTTCTTCCAAGTTCCATAATATCCCCCCTCCCCCCGCCCCCCAAAAAAAAAAAATCTCTCCATTCCCATGTGACTCAGCTTTCTCTCTTAACTAGCTATTTTCCTCTGTGTCTCTCTTATGTCTCTTTTTCAGTCTTTTTTTTTTATTAAGATAAAAATTTTTGGTCATTCCTAAGATGGACTTGAAACAGACATTGACAGTGATGCAAATCTAAATCCTCTCTATCTATATCTCTCTTTCTCACTTGTGTACAACCTTAGGCTGTCCAAAACCAGACACGAGATCAAACTGAAGCATTTTTTGGAAGTGGGTTCTTGAGTTCATCATCAATTATCTGAGGTAGGATTGTTGTGCTACTGTTCATTCTTTTGTTTTTGCTAGCAAAGGAATACCAAAATCTTTGCTTTAGCTAGAGAGGGTTACTAAAAGAAGAGAAAAATTTTGCATTTTATGGTTATTATAATGAGGGATTTTCCTTCTTGTTTTGGTGAAAACGGTGTTCAAGTAGCTGATTCATCATCATCATCATCGTCAAGTGCAGCTAAAGCTGCTCAAAACTTGGTGACTTGTGTTTATCAGTGTAAATTACATGGTCGTTCATGCTTAATTACGGTTACATGGACCAAGAATCTGATGGGTCAAGGGCTTAGTGTTGCAATTGATGATTCGGCCAATCAATGTTTATGTAAAGTTGATATAAAGCCTTGGTTGTTCTCTAAAAGAAAAGGATCAAAGAATTTAGAGGTAGATTCTGGTAAAATTGAAATATGTTGGGACTTGTCTAATGCTAGATTTGACTCTGGGCCAGAGCCAGTTGAAGGATTTTATTTGGCTGTTGCATTTGACCAAGAAATGGTGTTACTTCTTGGGGATTTGAAAAAGGAAGCATACAAGAAGATTGACACTAGTGCTCCTCTCATTTCCGATGCCATTTTTATCGCAAAGAGAGAGCATATTTTTGGGAAGAAGTTTTATGGTGCCAAGGCTCAGTTTTGTGACAAGGGGCAGATTCATGATGTCATAATCGAGTGTGACACCGTCGATATTAAGGATCCATGCCTTGTTATCCGCATTGATAGTATGACAGTGATGCAGGTCAAGCGGCTTAAGTGGAAGTTCCGTGGCAACCATACCATTTTGGTGGATGGACTTCCAGTGGAAGTGTTCTGGGATGTGCACAACTGGCTATTTGGAAATGCGATGGGCAATGCTGTTTTCATGTTTCAAACTTGCCTCTCTGCTGAGAAATTGTGGGCCAGCCAGTCTATTTTTGACCCATCTGTATTGCAATGGTCTTACTCTCAAAAGTTTAGAGATAGCCAAGTACATGGTCTTGGTTTTTCATTAATATTGTATGCTTGGAAGCATGAATAGAAAGTGTTATTTTTCACTTGTGAGATTTAGAAAATACTTTCTGCTATGATTTTCACAGATATGTGATTGAAATATAGTACATGCAACCTAGAAGTCGTGCTTCATTTGTTGTTGTTGTTGTTTTTTTTTTTTTTGTCAGTTCTTCACCAGCTTATCTTTTGTTAACAGCAAAAACAAATTGCTCTGGTTTCTTTATCACATTAACATGTGTTTCAATTTCATGGAGAACTGTTGCGGAGACTAATGGATTGCGAGAATCTATGAATGGAAACGAGAAGCTGTAAGATCCCACTTGCTCGTTTCTGACAATGAATGCTCTCAAGCAGCGTGACCTCTGTTATTGAAGGCTTATAAATCCTCGAAATGAAGGCCATGAGCATATAGGATAGATGCAAATTGAATATTTTCATTCACTATATTAATGACAGGCTTGGAACAGGTGTGCTATATTTTCTCCTTTGCATTTATTTAGTTTTTATTGTAAGGTGAAATGGTGTAAATGGAACTTCAAAAACTTATATAGAGCCCTAATATAGCTAAGCATATGGAACTTGATTTCCAAAAGCTTTAGTTTCATGATAGCATGCTACGAGTACTCAATTACATGACTATAGACTTCATAGGTTCATGATATGCGCGAGTAACTGAGGAAACTAATGGAGTGGGAATCAGTGGAGAGATAAGATACATTCTGAGATGGATGTCAATGGCATTGCATGCGAGCCATATTGCATTTAATTTTTGAATTTTTTTTTGAAGGAATATGATAATTGTTCGTAAAAAACTATTCCTATTTAGATCCAAATGTTTCCTTCTAATTATCAGGACATTAATTTGGGATAGGAGTTCAATGGCAAGAAATTGAAATATGGCTAAGGCTAATTGACTCCTCTCAGTTATAAAAGTTGCAGTTCTTTTGAGGACGTAGGTCTCTAAAATTCGTATTTTGCTAAAAGGATGCACACTTGCACACAATCAGCATTAACTTCTAGACATCAAGAAAGCTTCCCATCCTTAGGGGGCGACCTATTAAGGATGGTCATCCAGGAAACCGTTGCATGTTTAGTAATGTGGTAAGTGACCACCATAGCCTATCCCAACGCACCTTTGGTTGCCTAGGCCTTACCTCCTTCCAAACTTAGCCACGGTTCCGAACTGATCTCCCTCATTTCTGCCTTGTAAAGTGAACAGCTATCTGCTTGCTTTTTTGAGTAGCAGACACCTTCCATTTATTTGCTAGGTGTCAACCTGGACAATTACGCTTGCTGGATTGTTGGTGATTGCCTCAAGCTGGCTAATTTTGCACTCAGTTGTGGTCACAGCTTTTGCAACTTTGGGAATATGCACATGGTGGCACATCTTTCGATATTCTTATCCTAAGTTATGCATTTTGAATATTTATTCTACTTTAAATTATAGTTTTTATTTGTCATCCTCAATGGAAAGCTTTTTACAATTTGTCTTTCCAGTCTAGTTGTCCTTTATTGGTGAATTTTCTTGCATTTGAACTCTGATGGTTATACTATAATAAAACATGTTTTAGAATTAAACCTATAAAGATAAAGCTTGGTTGGTTCATGATGTGTAAGCCAAGAACTATTTGGACTTTGATGCATCTTGAGAGATTGATAAAGTTTACAAACAATGGGTTGCCTGGAGTTGCTAAGAGATTAGTCAAGTACTGAGTCTTTCTAAGCAGAGATATCCATGCTATTCGTCATGGAATGTTTATGTTTTTTAAGGAGAAACGAAAAGAATTTTAACCTTTATTTCTGTCAGTCTTATGTGGATATGATAGTGGAGCGACGAGAGAGGGTGATGAATGGTGTAGAGAATACATTTGTTATGAGGAGGAATCAATTATTTGCAGATTCTCTCGTTGCATGCAAATTTTGTAGTTATCACGTAAGAATGAAGATGTTAATTTCATATCAGCAAAAACTACGTAGCTTTCCTTTCCTTGTTCCCCATGCGGAATCATACCACGTTGTTTTGCCTACAAACAACATACAACATAAACCTGACCTAGTTATCAATCACAAAAATTCAGTTCAAATTCTTTGCAAATATCTTTGAGGTGTTGCATCTATTCCATTTTAAGAGTCCAAAATAATTCTTTCAGTCTCTGACAACACAACCAGGATAATTTCGAGAGCAATATTGACAAATGGGCATACCGACATTGCTCAAAATAAGCTTAAAAACATTGAGAATGTTGCCCACAAATAGCAGTGTGCAACACATGATATAAATTAACATCCATAGAGAATGATAGTCTGCTTATTCAGCAGAAAGGTAGCCTATTAAATTGACCATACAACACCAGTTCACTGATCTTAAGCCTTTCATAAGAGACACAAGTAAGAACAACTTCAAGTGTAAGCAGTTCAGGCTCCATAAACCTGACCATAAGTTGCTCAGATAACAAATGGAGATGGGACAACAAGAATTGATAAGAGAATCATTCAAAAAGTGAAAGCAATTAGGCGTTCATATTTTCAAAGTTAGGAATAGAGTTTGCCAGCTCCATGTGCCTTAGTGAAGGGAAAACCAACAATGGAACATGAACAAGAAGCTGACAATAAGAATATCTTCACACCCGAATGCTCAACTCATATAGCCTACAACTATCAAAGCCAGCAACGATGTGGTAACACAAGAAATCAAAGAACTGCAACCAGAAATGAAGTAACCAGGAAACCATAGGATTTTCCTCCTTTTTTTTGCCTGTGCACATATAACCTCAATGTGTATATCCATTTGAAATGTTAAATGCTCTCCAAGTGAAAACTGAATATCTCATTAAAACTGGTATATTTACATGTTAAGTCATAACTTCACGAGAGGACAAGAAGCATGTAAAGGAAAACTTTTGAACTCCAATGCCAAGGCAAATTTTTTATTCTGTTGGATGCTGCTACAAACAGGTCAATTTATAACAAAGTCAAGCATCTTGAATCCAAATCCTGATTGTTCTATCACCCTCAAGGCCAGCAGATGCAATTTTATTCTCAGAAGGATGACAGGTCACAGAAATAACAGTATCAGAATGACCTTCAAGTTTCTGTAGCATAGCTTTGGATTGCAGATCCCATAAATAAACACATTTATCCTCTGATCCACTAACAATGTACTTCCCACTTGTAACAGAGAATGTCGATGTTATACAATAAGCTCTATTTGTATGACCTTGATATATTTTCAAAAACTTCCCAGTTGAGTAATTCCATAGCTTCTGCACTCAAAATTAAAAGAATAATAATAAAAAAAAAGAACACTGATTGAGCTAAAACCCATATTTATTTTAAAGCTTAAAAGATGTTAAACTTACGAGAGTGCTGTCGAGGGTGGCAACAAGAATGAATTTCCCATTGGGGGAGAATTTGGTAAACGAGACTGCGGGAATTTTATCATCGATTAGAGTTTTTAAGCAAGTCCCTTCTTTGGCATCCCAAATCTTGCACGATCCGTCGTGGCTACCCGATACGATCAGCGAACCGTCACGGTTAAAGTGCACCGATGTCACCGGCATGGAGTGGGCCCTAATAACCCTCAAGCACTTCCCTGTTTTCACTTCCCAAATTCGAATCGTTTCATCAAAAGAACCTGAAACGATGAGATTCGACTGTGGATTGAAGTTGACGCAGAAGACGAAGTCTGAATGACCCTTCAGGATCTTGAGGCAATCGAAGGGGGCGCGTGCATCCCAGATGCGGAGGGAGCGGTCGTCGGAGGCGGAGCAGATGTAGTGGGAGTCAGATGACCAGGCAAGGTCGGAAACACCGTCCGAGTGGCCAACGAGGCGGTTGAGAAGGGAGAGGGTCGACGCGGACCAAATAATTAGGGTTTTGTCGAGGGAGGCGGAGGCTAAGAGCGTACCGTCGTTCGAAAATTTGACACAGGAGACAGCGCGTTCGTGTGCAATTAGCGTTTTTAGGTAACGATACGGTTTGTAGGCGGCTGATGATTGCTGGTTGCCGCCACCGCTAGCCATTGGTTACTGACCGGCTACACGGAGCGGAGTGAAAATAGAAGCGTCACAAGCATTAAGGCGCACCATTTTATCCTTTCTGCGGATTGTGGACTAGATCTAATCAGGCGGGCGGTTAGTTTGATTTGGGCCCAACATAAAGTTGTCTGGCCCAGGACCCAACATCTAGTTAGTTGATTTGGTTTAAAAAATTAACCAGGCATCCACTGAGTGGATGAAGTGATAAAAAATTATGCAATAAATATATATTAATAAAATTAAAGTGTTAATTATTCAATTTAAAAATCCTTCTTTTTTTTTGTTAATGCATTAGAATTTTTTTAAAAAAAATTAATAAATTCATATAAGAAAGCGAGGAAGCATGTAACAACATTCTAACAATGCTTGTGAATTAAAGTGATGCATAGAAAAAAAATTCATAAACTACAGATGTGTGGATAATAGTGACCAGAAATAGTTATAGCCTGACCAAATAAAAAAAGAATTGGTTGCGACAGTGAGAATCGCAAGATTTCTCCAATAAATTTTGCTTGAACATTACATAAAGCTACAATTGCTATTGGCGATTAGCAAAACAAAGATATCCGCAAAGGCCATTCAATACCAATTACCAATAGAAAGAGCTTGAAGCATCGGCTGCCACTTTTATGATCTATACATATAGCCGCTAGAAAGACGAGGATAAACAGGGGAAAGCACAAAAGGTTCCCCAGAGGCTTAACAATCTCATTGAAGCAGAAAGGCCCCCGACGTAAAAGCTGACCTTCGGATAAAATGAGAATGATGAAACTATACTGCCATTCACAATTTAATT